ATACTTGTGGCCAGACGGAAACGTTTATGATGGAGACTGGAAAGATGGTCAGAGAACAGGCGAAGGAATGTTTCTATGGGCTAACGGTGATAAATATATTGGAGATTTTGTTGCCGGTGAACGAACTGGAAAGGGAACTCATATATGGATAGATGGTTCGACTTATAATGGTGAATGGAAGAACGGAAACATGCATGGAAAAGGCATCCGTACATACACTAACGGAAATGTCTATGACGGAGAGTGGATGAACAATAAGAGGATCGGTATTGGTCATTTCAAGTGGAAAGATGATGGAGAGTATAATGGTGAGTGGAAAGAGGATAAATTTGATGGCCAAGGAACTAGAATATTGCCATCGGGAGACAAATATATAGGTCGGTGGATCAATGGTAAACAGCATGGGCGTGGAAAATACTTCTATCCAGACGGAAACGTTTATGATGGAGACTGGAAAGATGGTCAGAGAACTGGTAGAGGAACATTTCTGTGGGCTAACGGTACTAAATACATCGGGGACTTTGTAATCGGTAGACAAACTGGTAGCGGAACACAGACATGGCCATCGGGCGCGAAATACATGGGGCAATATCAAAATAATCAATTCCACGGCTTGGGACAATACACATGGCCTGATGGATCGATACGTGTGGGTCAATGGAACAACGGACAGGAATGTTAGTCAATGAGTCCAACACGAGCAATACGTAGCTACTTTCAGACCTTGGAACGATGTATCATTCCTTCCTTTTTTTTATTAGAACATCCTTCGCTTCACATATAATCTATTTTTTTGTTCTTTTTTAATGTTTGCTCAAATATTCTTGCAGAAACGTGGGACAAAATGCTTAGCGTTTTGAGGATGTGGGTGTAGGTGTAGGATTCGTGTGAATGGAATTGTGTGTGCACGCTGTAGTTTTTCATGTACACACAATCTTACCTACTGTTAGGCCCAACAGTGGTTAAGGTGCACTGGCCTCAGTCTAATCTATCCTCACCCATCCACTAACTTCGATCTGCAATTATTCGCACTATCATATCACCCCTAAAAAATCACACGCATCCCCGCTTCACTTTTTATATTAAGATCTGATTCATAAGATGAAATATGTTTGTATTCGTTTTGTAATCTCAGAATATGGCTTTAACACGTGAACTTTTATCTAGCGCGTCAGATTCGTTTTATGGTTGTAAGTCACATATACTTTTGTTTTGATATTCAGCGAAAACAGTTTCTCAATAACACACGGTCAATACTGAGTCAAACTGTTACGTTTGGCGCCCAAACTATTATAGAAAAACAGTGAATAATATGGTATTTCTCCAATGCATCGAAAACGAATAGAGATTATATCATGTATTCACTTTTAGAAACTTTATGTAATGAAGTACTGTTCTCCTTTAGTTAGTCTTGATGAATCAAACTAACACTACGATGCGCTTCAGTCTTGTTGTACGATTACTAGACTTATAGTGGTAGAAGACGAATTAATAGATACTTGTATAGAATTTTTACTATCGCAACCACTTAATCCATGTTTAATAATGAATTGATCAGGCGTCGAGAAAGTATTAACTCAGTTTTATTCTTGCGAATGACTATTTCTCCTCGACCAGTTGCATCTGTCTTGCAGAAATAAAATCAAGGGGGAAACAGCAGAATCCATGAATCCATGAATCCATTTGAATCCACTTGAATCCACCTGAATCCACGTGAATCCACTTGAATCCACATGAATCCACTTTAGTCCACTCTGATATAAAATTCTTAAAATTATAAAAATATGCGTAAAAAAGTGAGCTCGACGTGTAAACTTGAACTTTCGAGCTTCTTACGAATCTGCATTTTATTGCTCAATTGCAGTCTGTACGTCTACATTCGGATTGATCTCACATGTTTTCCATAAAAACTAGGTAAACATCAGTATATATTTAAGATTAAACGAAATACCATTTTTTACTTCCGGTAATTAATGAAATATCTCTAATTACTTCTGGAAGCTAATAAAACACTTCTAATCACTTCCGAAAGTGATTATAGGGGTTTCATTAATTATCAAAAGCAATTAGAATTATCTCCTTAATCATCTGAGTTAATTACATATATTAAATTAATTATCGAAAGTAATTAGAAGGGTATTCTTGATTAGTGATGCTGATTAGCAGTAGTTTTAGAAATCTTAAGCACTTACATAATGAATTTTGATATAAGATTATGATGCACTGCTTTTCGTGGTAAAGTGTGAAGTAGACCTAGGACAGCTTACAGTTCCAAGTTCGGAGGAACTGGTCAAGAGAACTACCAATACAGTAGTTTTGAAAGGGACTGATCTGTGCCAACAGTCCTTTGACAAGAACTGAACTGTATCGACAGTTCTTTGAGAGAAATTGAGCTATTCTAACCATTCTTCGATAGGAACTTGTCTGTGCCAAAACTCATTTTTTCAATACGAATTGGAATATTTCTTGAACAGATATTTCAATTTGGAAAGCCACGATAAAATTCTTCAAAAGGAAGTCACAATTTGTATTGAAAAAATAAGTTTTGAAGTAGGCCAGTCCCCATGAGAGAACTGTTGACACAAATCAGTTTCTGTCAAAAAAAATATTATACAGTTCCTAAGATCGGAACTAATATGGAATTGTCCTACCTAGGGGTGAGTCATTTGACTTAACTTACAATTAAGTTAAGTTTTTTGACTTTACGCTTTGTATTAAGTTTTAAGTTTTTTCATTGAAAATCAAAACTTAGTATTAAGTGTTAAGTAAACATTTGATACTTAATATCAAATGTTAAGTGAAAACACATAATTAAGTGACTCACCCTTAGTCCTACTCCTAGTGTGAAGTGGTGTGGGGTAAACTCGAAATTTCGAGCTTACGACGATTCCAGTACACTTTTTTTGGAGTAAAATATACACATAAACAGACTACTAGTTGGCTATCAACTGGTGAAAAAACTAAAATGTCAAACAATTGATTGCTTCGAGTACAACAGATTCGTAAAACAGATAATGTATGTTTGTATCCGAAACAAGATTTCTAAAAATTTCATACAACAGTACACGATAAAAACAAAAAAAATACAAATATCGAATTGTTACAATAGATTTCAGAGAAATAGGAAATCATTTTACGAAATTTTATGTGACTCCGCTTGAATCCACCTGAATCCATGTGAATCCATCTGAATCCGTGAATCCACTTGAATCCAATTGAATCCAATTGAATCCACTTGAATCCGAGGGACTGGATTCTGCTGTTTCCTCCTTGAATAAAATTCATCCGTATTCGACGAATTAACTTTCTTGCCATTCCTTCGATAATGTCACTTGAATTCAGTCGAGTCGTCGTCGAATTGGCTTAGACCGCCTGTTTTGAAAGGTATTTGTCTATCATTATCTGATACAGAAACGTTCAACTACGTTTTTGGGGTGTGGATGTGAGCATCTCCTGCTGATGCCAACACCCACACCCTTGAGATCTTTGACCTCTCAATGGCACTATAACAAAAAAATAGTCGTTTTTCCGTCTGTTTTAATCGTTCAAAATATTGTGAAGTGGACGGCTGACGTCGAACACGCACATATACAATGCCTTTTTCATTTATTGGTCGGGATTCATCAATTACCCTGCCATATATTTCATTCACTATATATTTTATACATATGTTCGTTAGTCAGTACAATGGAAAATTGTATGCAATTAGAAGATTTATCCAGTGAACTATTTTGTGTAATTTTTGATTACTTGAATGCATTCGATCTATTTTTGGCATTTGCTTCTCTCAATTCACGTATTTCATCTATTATAAAATTAACTCGTCTTCATGTAATTATTGATCCTGTATATTGTCGTAGCCAAATTAAATTTATGTCTCGTCATTTGGCCTTTCATTCCGATCAAATTATTTCGCTCAATATTTTCGATAAAATATGTGATCAGAAAAATGTCGTCGCATATCTTTTTAGTCGACATGATTTTCCCAACCTTCGTTTCTGCGTATTGAGGGATCTTCAAGATTCATCTAAATTGGAAAATGTTATCAAGAAATTGAAATTACAATCTCAGATGACATCGCTTCACATATTTCAGACTTACTATACTAGTGAGTATAATATATGTAGAAGTCATGCTCATCTGTTCAGTGAAATGACCCTGTTAAATACACCATTGACACTTCGTTTTGCCACTCTTCTATATCATTATGATCATTCTGAATTAACGACAACGATGACCACTAATATAAACCTCAAATATCTACATTTGATATTTTACGGGGAAGTTGATAAAATAATAATTTATTCGTTAATTCCTGTTCTTCGTGTATGTAACGCATTGCGACAACTCATTGTTACAATAAAAAATCCTCCGATGTCACGAAATAATCATAATATTAAGTAAGAAGGCTATTTAAATGACTGAGATATAAAGTAATATTTATTTTTTCTTTGCAGTATTCCAAATCTTCCATCTATAAATGAAGATGATTTACCTACAATATCAACATTACAAATACTTGATCTGCAGATATTCACACAATGTAATATTCATTCACTGAATCTTATTCTTCATTGTATGCCTAATCTTCAAGAATTAAGTGTTACTCTTGTCAATGACTGTATGAATCAATGGCTTATAGATTCATTCATCGATGGAAATAACTGGCAACGAATGTTAACAAGTCATGTAGCAAATTTGAAGATATTCGATTTTCATATGTCTTTTTTAATGGATAATCGATTACTGGATTTAAACTTGATTCTTAATTCATTTCGTTATTTTGTCACACATTATAATGGTTGGCATATGGGTATCAGTCGATGGATAACCTTTGAAGATATCGGAACTGGTAAGTTTAAAATATCATATGACTTATTTTACTGAATTTTGCACATGACAAAAGAAAGATACACTATTTTCTTCAGTGTTGTTACATTTTGTTGAAATTGAAATGAAATTAGAATCTGCCGAGAATAGCGAAAACTACTATTGATAGAATTTTTTAGATAAATCTTTAAACAAGTATTGATAGCGTTCGTTTGATTATCATGAATTTCTGACATACTATGCTCGTGTCACTATTTAGAAAGATGCTATTCTTCTTCCATCATAGATTGTAATATTCTATTACTTTTTATTTTTATTTTAAATGATATCATATTTAGGTAAACCCATTGTTTTACAAACACTCAATTACAAATCTATAGTACCACGATATAGACGTCCGACAATAATAAATATAGTTTATGGTACATTTGAAACAATATCAACAGATATATCAAATACGAATGATCATAAATATCAATCAAATAACACTTTCATAGAATTTTATATGCTGCCATATATGGAAAGACAAATCATTAAGCCATCTTCAAATATTCCTTTTAGAAATGTCGATTATCTTGTGATATATTTATCATTCATAGAAGTATCAGTAATCTCACGACTATTAAAAAAAATATATGAATTAAGTGAGTATATTTATATTCATTGAAATATTGTTACTTCTTATCATTGATTAATTACATTTTTGTTTTCTGTTATTCAGATTCTACACATTCATATAGAAGTGAATCACATCAATATGTTAGCAATCTTTCAGCTCTTATTGATTTGTTCAGTATTACCAACTTGGAATTCGAACATAGCAATGACTTAAGCCGATCATATGTTGCCCCATATGTTTTATTGTAAGTTTATTTATTCTGAACAAATTTTTGATAAATATTTTATAAAGAAATATTATAGAAACTTGTTTGTAAAAAAATATTCTATAAGTAATTCAATTTTTGTGTGCGTAAGATCACAGCAATCATTGTTGAAGTATTTTTATTGAGTCAACATCATTTTGTAAACTAGAGTATAAAAAGATTTGTTTATGGTTCGTATCTAGACAGTTTTCATCAAAGTGTAGAAATAGGATACATAAGAAACCACAAGATAAACTAAGCTCACTTCTTTGACTTCTTTTTTAAAATCGATATGAGAGTGTAATTTCTTAAACGAGATGTATTTGAAATCAATTTGATATATTAGTCACAACTATATCCTACATTGAATAATTAATCAAAAATAACTGTTTTTAGAGCATGTATTAATGTTACAAAACTTATTATGCATACTTCATTATTTTTCTCGTCTATCGTCATTGACAATCCGAACCTTACACTCACTTTTGCTCGAATAAAGGAGCTTGAATTAATTTCCGATCATATGTATGTTTCGCTGAAACATGGATCGAAAATTGTCGACTCTTTTCCATCTTTGTCACATGTCGAAATTGAAGTATATTCACTCGATTCTGGCATACCAATCGTCGATGTTTTTCTTGGTGGCCTTAAAATGCTACGCCATATTATTGTAACATTTTCTCATAAAGGTTTAGCAGATGATACAATCACGCAAGAACATATAATAGAAAAGTGGCGTCAATCGTTTGGTTTAAATAGAAACGATGAATACAAAGTAGTTGTAAAAATTGAAGATCATACATTGTATATTTGGATTCCATGATCTTTCACTTCTATATATTCTTGTTTCATATTACATAGATAAATTGGATGAAATATAAAAAACGTTGTAAGATTATTTTCTTCGAATGTTTATTATGTATAAATTAGTATAATTATTGTTCATGGATGTAGAAATAAACTATGAAATTGTACATAGCGGAGCTAAGAGAAACTTTTAAAAAAAGAATAGAAAATCGTATCAACATATTAGAATCTAATGTAAACACTGATTAGACTAACTATCACAACGTATGAACGAAGAAAACTGGTGATTGTCTAATGTTATCTTGGGGATATCGGTGTAGTCAAAGAGGGGAAAAGTGTAACTTCCATAATCCCATATAAAGTTCAAGTATATTTTACATGAATAGTTAATCTCTATTTTTAATTTATAATTTTTAGAAAAAAAAATTATTAATTAAAATACATACTTAGGTATAAGAATTACCATTACACTACTTTCACTTCGATATTTATCATCTGAATGTAATTCATCCATAAAACATCGAAGATATTCTACTTTTCAAATCAACCTTGTGGAATATAAGAACGAATTTCTGTTGCTATCAGATTTGGATTCATTACTTGACTAAATTTTAAAAAAACCAAACCCACAAGAAAAACTATTTCAAACTTTTGTCGTCCACGATTTGGTTTTGCGCACATTGATTCAATAAATTTTGAATAAGCTTTGACTAATCCTCCATTGATTTATCATGTGATGATGATCGTGAATCTTCATTAACACGACAATATGTATTATTGGCAACGAATGGAATACAATCAAGAAAACAGCTTGTTAGTGGAGCACTTTTATGAAATAAAATAAATATAAGAAAAAAAAATAATTCATTTTCATTTACTAGTTTGAGAGAGCTTGTAAAGCTGAGTTCATATAACATGTATTACCTAAACTATACAAACCAGATATTCCTTAATAGAAAACAAAGAAAACCTCGAGTAAAATCTGTTGTATCTGCATATTCAAGTTCAAAAAGTGTTGATTCAAATGATTTTTCATATTGATTATGACAATTAGTTGATGAATTTTCAATATACAGACCATAAAAATGACTCACAAGATAGCTAGTAGTTGTAAATTTTTTTACACGTCATAACTAATTGCATAAGAAGTAACCATGATAAAGGTATATATTCGACTTTAATTTTATGATTCTTTATATTATTTTATATTGTATAATCATCAATCTATAAATATATAGATGGGAGATCCAATTTCTATTGGGATGGTTATGAGTGTCGGTTCTACTGCAATTAAAGGCATTGGCGGTATTACTCAGTTAGCAAAGCAAATACGTGATACTATCGCCACTCATGAATTAAATAAAGAGGATGGGGTGGATTTAGAATAGCATGTTTATGAAGTTGTTAATTGTATTGAATCAATCCCACCTCATCGGCTAGATCATGAAAATTTTCCGCAACTATTGTCAAATCTAACCAATTGCCTTGAGAAATGTTTAGAACTTGTAACCGAATTTAGTGAAGAATTTCGTATTGGACGACTTGTACGAGTTAATCATTATAAACGTAAATTCGACAAACTGAAGGCACAATTAAAAGAATATAAAGAACGTTTTATGTTTATTATGAGTACCCTTAATTTTGCAAACACAGCATTATCCAATCGTTATGGATACAAACGATCAAAACGTGATAACGCCCATCGAAATCACCAACTGACACCTTCAGTAAGTAAATGAAAGTCCATTATAATATATATACTTTTTCTTGTTCTTTCGTTGTAGAATAGTTTTATTATGAACCCAAATCATTATCAATATAGACCTTATGTATATCAACATATGTACCGTGGATCGGTATCTTAATTATATGACTAAAGAATGGATGTGAGAGTGTAAATTAAGAGAATGCACATTTTTATTTTTAATTTATATACAAAACAAAAGTTTTCTTCCTGTACAATTCTATTGATACCTAAATAATTCACATTTCAAAACATAACCGTGCGATCAGAGTGTGGATGAAATAAAATACCCACACCTTCAAGAAAATATTTATTTTAAGATAATCATCTAGAAAATGATATTAGTGGCAAGAAAATCAGATTTATTTATTTCTTACATACACCATTTCTTATTCTCAAAAGTATACAGCGTTTAAGTCATGGATAGGATTGCTATACTCTTTGATAATTTGTGGTTAGCGTGTTAGCTAAAACGCGTAACGCGTCAACTCAGGGGGACCAGACTTTAAGACTTTCGATCTAAATATCATGACTATAGTCTTCGAAGAGAAAAACAGTACTTAACTTTCTGACTTTCATCATCGCGTTACCTTAATGTTACAAAAATATCACCTTCCATAAAAAGATCTTTAGAAATGTTTTTTCCTTCGTTGAATAGACCGAAGTGTTTTCTATCGCCCATTGATAGAAAAGTTTTGCAACAGTAGAATATACTCAGAGAAAAGCAAGCAAAAAGTGGAACACCCTCAATTTTTTGTCCCTAATTCATCATCGCGTTTCGTCGTATATTGCTACTGTAATTTTCAGACGGCTCGTTCAAATGAGGTAATATTTTCACAGAAAAAGCTAATAAAACTGTAGCCAAAACGTCATCGCGCTACGCTCGGAGAAGTCGATTTGAGATAAAGACTTATTATCTTATTGAGTGTTTCTTTTTTACAAAAAGTATACGTTCTAGTTATCTTCAATCGAGTTTTATCCATATGAAGACTATTCTTGTACAAATCCGCTAATGATATTTTTCGTTAAATGTACTTTCAAAAGGTCTCGTTTTTATAAAAAAAAAAGTTGTTTCACAAAATTGATCCATTTCGTTGTAGTTCATCTTTTTATAATTCATTCAATAGTGCAACAGATATTGTAATTCTTATTATGTCTTTTCAAGTTTTATCTACTTTGAAGATAACGTAAGATTGATTTGTGTAATCAAGCGAATTTCTCTTTAATCACTTTTCATTGTTCACAAAGAGATAACAATATTGAAAAATTTTGACTATCATATTTGAAATAGATGTCGCTGTATTAATCACTTATCGCTATTCCTCTACGCCGATGTCCACTAACAATAAAGAGAAAGAAAGAAAGAAAAAAAGTTTATATTTCAATTTCGTTTTCATATTGTCAATGCCGCTTACATTTCCATCATCAGTTGCCAAGAAAGTTCGGTAAATATTAATCAATTTCTATTCTTTTTTCTTTACGATCATATTACTCTATTGTTTAAATAGTTTGGCTCTATTACATAAATGTAATAGTAGTCGAAAACGACGTGATGATATAACAGTAGTTGATTATAGTCATGGAAATTTATCATCTGTACCAGAAGATATACTTCTTTATGAAAATACATTAGAAGAACTTCATTTAGAAGCAAATTGTCTTCAAGATTTACCAAAAGTATATAAAAAAACATACATAAAATTAGAATATATTTACCTTTTCTATTTTTTTCTCATAGTGGCTTTTTCAATGTCATGCTTTACGTCATTTGATATTATCAGATAATGAGCTAGATTGTTTACCACCATCAATTTCAAGTCTGACAAGTTTAGAAAGATTAGATCTCAGTCGAAATGGTATGAAAAACATGTTATTATTATTGAAATTACAAAATTTCTTATTTAGATTTAATGGCATTACCAGATAATATACGTTATTGTAAACAATTGACATCGGTTGATTGTAGTTCTAATCGATTAGAAAGGTGAGTTATTTTTATTCTTACTTTGAAGAAAAAAACCTAATTAATAATTTGTTTATTTCAGATTGTGTGAAGGATTGACGATGTTAATTAATTTACATGAGTTATATCTTAATGATACTCTATTAGAATTTTTACCGGGCAATTTCGGACGGTAAGTTAAAAGCATCATTCAAATCAGTATAATATAGAATTTTGTTTTAGTTTAACTGAATTAAAAATCTTAGAAATGCGTGCAACTCGTATGCGATTATTACCAGTCACATTACCAAAATTAACTAAACTTGAACGATTAGATTTAGGTGCTAATTCATTTATTGAATTCGTAAGTCGAAGAAAACTTTCATTTATAATCTTATTTTTCTTTCTATAATTTAGCCTAATGTTTTAACACATCTTCCATCTCTTCAAGAATTATGGCTTGATTCAAATAAATTAATATCAATAGATGATGTAAGTTCTTACAGTTTATAATCTATTTGAGATATAAATTTCTCATTATTATTCTAGAATAAGAAAGATTAAAGAAGGTATTAAGCTTTCCATTCCCTTGTATATCTTCTTCATGCTTTAAATGTGTTTCTCTATTTTGATTTATTCCTTTTCTTATTTCTATATTTTTGTTTTTAGTCAATTGATAAATTATCGAATTTAACATTTCTTGATATATCACAAAATCAATTAACTGAATTACCCAGTTCAATTGGTTATTGTAAATTAACAGATTTACATTTATCTGACAATTTTCTTACAAGTTTTCCAGAATCGATTAGTAAAAGAATATTTATTTATGAGAAAAAGAAGAATAACAAAATATATTCTTCTATTTAGGTAATATAACAACTTTACAAACACTAACAGCAAATAATAATCAAATCGAACGTTTACCAAATACTCTTGGAAAGTAAGTGAAATCAATAAGTTTTTCTTCGATCAATTAATCAAAGGAAAACCTGATTTTCTATTTAGTATGGTATCTTTAGTTGAATTACATTTATCATTTAATAATATAACATCAATACCTACAAGTATTGGTTTATTACATAGTTTACAATTTCTTACATTGGATCATAATCAAATTCAATCAATACCAGCAAGTGTAAGAAAGATTGACCTTATATTATTTTTTATTAAATTAAATCTAATATTTAAATAGATTGGTAGTTGTTCAAGTTTAAGTGTATTTTCATTACGTTCAAATTGTTTAACACAATTACCAGATGAAATAGGACGTTTAAGTCAATTGAAAGTACTTAACGTCAGTGGTATGTATTTATTTTGAAGATCAATATTAATAGAAATTCGAGGTTTTTACAGGAAATTATCTTCAATATTTACCGTTTACATTATTAAAACTGAAGAATTTACAAGCATTATGGATGAATGAAAATCAAGTAAGTTAGAATTCTATGATTTAAAGAACTTCTAATTTATCATTCTTTAGGCAAAACCATTGATTGCTTTTGAACAAGAACGTCATCCAAGTACAGGTCATCGTGTACTTACATGTATACTTTTACCACAAACAGATCCTTCAATGAATCGATATACATCAAGTATATATTGAATTAAATTTTTTTTTGTATTCATTTCCAAACGTTTTCTCTAGAAAATCGATTTATTACCGATCAAACAAATGATTATTCAGATAGACTCACAACTCTTCGTTTTGCTACTGATACCATTGATGAACCAGTATAATCTTATTCTTAATCTTATTGTTTTCTATACGTTTTTGTTTTACAGCGTCACCTTGTTCGTAATCCAACACCATATCCAAAAGAAATGCGAGCATTTGCTAATATACTTCGAAATTATAATCATAACAAACAACGTCAAATAAGTGAATCACCTAAGGTATATTGAAAACTCTTGAATATTTTTTATTAATTCATGTTTTCTAGAAACATTCTTCATCGTCAAATCTTTTAATGGTATGTGAAGATATTCCAATAAATGAAGAATGGTGTCAACGTACAAATTCTGCATCAGTTAATTCAATGAATTCCGATCCATTGTGTTGTCCATTAGCACGAAGTCATGAAGATCTCTTATGTAGTACTAGTCCATTAGATGATATAGGAAGAACGCGTCCAGATTTATTACCTGGACAAATTAATGATATTGATGAAATTAAAAGTAATCATTCATTCTAGATTTTGTAAATAAGAACAGTGAGTTATGAAGGGTGTAAAATATAAATCAATATTGTTTTTTTCTTTCGTTAAAATATTCAAGTGATGTGTCATGTGTGCAATCATTCAAAATTGTATCCTTATTCCTATTGTTTATTAATTGATTCTGAAGAAAAAAAAATAATAAAGCGAACTTATTTATATGAAATAGTTGTAGAAAAATATTTGTTATTTGAATTCTAGATAAACAGATTTCACATATAAGACATAATGAATTCATCGAAGGCTGAAGCTGAAAATATTGAACCATCAGCTGGTAAAGAAATGCTTGATAAATATTGGGCTGAAGTTAAACATGAAATAGATGACATTAATATTGTAAGTAGAAGTGATTTTATTTGTTTTTTGATGACTATTACAGTTGTTTCTCGCATACTAACAAGGATAAAGAGTTGCTAAATTAATCTATCTATTGTAATGATACAATGAGAGTGAAAATAAAGTTTTTCTTTCAATGAACTAAAGCCATACATAACTATGAAGTGTACAACAATATGTTTTTCTCTATTTTAAGCCACATCTATACATTTGAAAGAACAGAACTATTGAAAACATTTCGAATCATAATCTAAAATAAAGATATGTGTGTCTCATATGGTAATTGATTTAATTGTAGGTTGAATTTCGTACAACTGATCTTCCTTTAGCTCGTATAAAAAAGATTATGAAATTAGATGATGATGTTAAAATGATCAGTGCTGAAGTACCAATACTTTTTGCCAAAGCAGCTGAATTATTTATTCAAGAATTAACCATTCATTCATGGTTACAAACAGAAGAAAGTCGACGTCGTACATTACAGGTTAGATAAAATCAATTAATTTTGTTTATTTATTAAAATAATCATACTTTTTTTTTGTAGCGAAATGATGTTGCTCAAGCTATTTCAAAAAATGAACTTTTCGATTTTCTTATTGATATTGTTCCACGAGAAGAAGCAACAAAAACACATAAGAAAAAGGATGCTGTTAGTGAAGTACAATATATTGTTACACTACCAACATCAAGTGGCATGGGAAATACAATTCAATTACCAAGTATATATCATTATTTGTTTTTATAAAATAATATTTTCTTTGTTTTAGATGGTCAAATTATTCAATTACCTCAAAATTTATCATCAAATATTGTTACTATGGCGGTAAGTTTGATATTAATTCTTTTTTCATATATATAAACAAAACTTTTTTCTAGAGTCCACAAGGTACTCAACAACAATATACGATTGGACCTTGAATAAACGAGTGAAATTGTATTTCTCTTTCATTTATTTGTGCAATGCTCAGATATCTTACTCTTCTTTGTATAAATGTTTTGTGTAAACAACAAAAAAAAAGTATCTCGCTATTTTTCTTCTTGTATATGTATATAAATATATATGTATTTCATGAGTATCTGTTGATGTTAATCATCAGTCGTATATTTCTGAATATATTCTAGATAAAATAAATATGACACAAACATCAACTAATGAAAAAAGTGAACCGTTACAGCCAACAGAAGGTGCTGAAATGCTTGAACGTTTTTGGTCAGAAATACGTCAAGACGTTGATTCGATAAATATAGTAGGTTGAAGTGTTTGAAATAGTTGATAAGAAATAATTCATTTTTGTATTTGTTAAGATGGATTTTCGTGCCAATGATTTGCCATTAGCACGAATAAAAAAAATTATGAAACTAGACGATGATGTGAAAATGATTAGTGCTGAAGTACCAATACTTTTTGCTAAAGCAGCCGAAATGTTTATTCATGAATTAACATTACGTTCATGGCTTCATACAGAAGAAAGTAAACGACGAACATTACAGGTTTTGAAACAAAACCATATCTTTCTTTTTGTAACAATGTATATTTTATGATTATAATAGCGAAATGATGTGGCAATGGCAATAACAAAATATGAACAGTTTGATTTTTTAATTGATATTGTACCTCGAGAAGAATCGAAACCACATAAAAAACATGTAAATTTTCAATAAATTATGAAGAGAAAACTTATTTACTTCATTTAGGATAACAATATGGGTGAAGTACAATATATTGTTACACTTCCACAAGCAAGCCAAGCCAGTACTATTCAATTACCAAGTAATGAGTTTCTCATTAAAGTTCTAATTTCTATTATTATTATTATTATTATTTAGATGGACAAATTATTCAATTATCTCCATCGATACAATCACCGCTTGTTACTATTGGTGTAGGTATACTTGTATGAATCTTTCAAAAATAAATTATTCGACTTTAGAGAAGTTCTAAGAACAAATTAACAATATTTCTTATTTCTCATTATAGAATTCCGGTCAACAATATGCAATTCTATCTCAGCCAAATCAAATGCAAACACCAGCACAATATATTCAAATAGCCGCACCTCAAATGACTGAAGTATGAAAATAATTTTATAATTTAATTTCCATGCAAAAAAATCTCTCTTTTTAGACAATTCAACAACAACAAACAACAGCACCTACAAAAAATGTACATGTGTCAACAAATCCTAATATGATACAAACGCAACAACGCTCTGCAAATTCCACACATGTAAATTTTAATTAAAATTCAAAAGACAAATATTTTCATAAGCTTTTTTTCTCTCTAGATAACAATAACAGCAGCTCAACTGCAACAAATATTAAATGCTTCACAAAAAACTAATAATAATACTAATAACAATAATAATAATTCAACAACACCAAAAACAGTACAACAAATTGATACTACAAATCAATCATCGGATGAAACCAATACAGTTGATATTAAACAACAACCTGTTTAATACATAAATTTAATAACATAAATTTAACACTTTCATTTTCATTCTTTCACGTGCCAGTTTTTTTTCTTCTCGAAGAACGTGTAACTTTGATTAAAGTTGGATAAATGCTGTGAATTTTTTTTTTTCTCTTTGTTTTGTTTTGTTTTTTGCTTCCTATTACTTATATTAACAAAATGTTGCATTTAGACAACATTTTCTTATGTAGATTTTGTAAAATGATTATTTTCAAGTTAACCTGCCGAAAAAGAAAAAGAAAAAAAAAACATAGAACTTAAGTAGATGAACTTCTTCTTTTTTTGTTTCAAGATATTAGACAAAAAAAAAATAATGAATATCATATCTCGTACTATACTTCATTCTCTACGTACAACAAATCGATTATATAGAAATCCTTTAATAACAGGTAGAATATGAATTATAGGGTGAGTTTTTTTTCTTCTTCTTCTATCGAATAAATTAATGAAAAAACAAAAAACTTTGATTTTCAATTAAATATGATTAAATTGAAGAATTATTTAGTTGAGCGTAGGCACGTAGCGAACCCGAACGTTCGAATTCAGTGAGTTCGGGTTCGGAGTGGTTTGGACCGAACTCTAACAACTTAAGCATCGAAATGATTTTTCTGATGTATGTGGAGACATAGTAACAGAAATTATGAAACATCAACCGAACCCGAACTGTTCGGGTTAGTAGCGTAACCACAATGAAGCCAGATGGGGCTTAGCCCCATCACCCGAATTTTTTAGTTACTGAACTTGTCAATCAAAAAATCCAAAAGACTACACAGTTTTAGACAGAGCTGGACAACTCAGCAAAAAAGTGAATGAATTCAACTCAATTCGCGCCCACTAAAAGTTTTCCGCAATTCAACTCAATTCAATTCAAATAGTTTAATGAATAGAATTGAGTTAAACTGAATTCGTCATTTTTCGAATTGAGTTACCCATCTCTGGTTTTGGGGCTGAGCCCCATCATCCTTAAGTTTCTGGTTACGCCACTAGTTCGGGTTCGGTTGATGTTTCATAATTTCCTTTATTATGCTTCCACACATGTCAGAAAAATCATTTCGATGCTTAAGTTGTTAGAGTTCGGTCCAAACCATCCCGAACCCGAACTCGAACTAACTTCGGGTTCGGCTACATCCTTAGCTGAGTGTCATTATACATGTAATGATTTTTAAGTACATTTAATGATTATTAAGTACACGCCTAGTCACATGTCTCGGAATCCATCAACCGTGTAATCATAACAGTAGTGAAGCTAAAATAAGCATATTAATTATCTATTGTTTTTTTTTGAATTAAGTCAGTATAACTTTATTTTATAAAATCCGCGTACGAATTAGAATAAAATTAATTATTCTATTATAAAAAGTTATTTATAGTATTATTTTTTCTATCTATAAGATTGCATTTATACTATTCAATAATTTAATTGAAATTATTTTCTTCTAGCTGTACGATATCATGGTGAATATGAATCAAAAGATCCGAAATCAGAGGATGAAGTTGTGAATGTTGTTTTTATTAAACGAGATGGTGAACGTGTTCCATTACGTGGTAAAATCGGTGATAATCTACTATATTTGGGACATCGTTATGGTGTAGAAATCGAAGGTTATATAACAAAAATAATAATGGACTTTACATTAACCTTTTTTAAAAATAAATTTTAGGTGCTTGTGAAGCCTCATTAGCTTGCTCAACATGTCATGTCTATGTCAAAGAAGAATACCTTGATAAATTACCTGAACCTAAAGAAGAGTAAGTTAATAACAAAAAAAAAAGAAATTAAATTTTATTCATTAAATTTATTTCTAGAGAAGAAGATCAATTGGATTTAGCACCGTTTTTAAAAAGTAATTCTCGTTTAGGTAAATACAATAGATATTTTTCATATTCTATATGATTATTTTCATTTGAATAAATTCTAGGTTGTCAAGTGATTCTTAAAAAAGACCTGGAAGGTGCTGAATTTATATTACCACAAGCTACTCGAAATTATTATGTTGATGGTCATAAACCGACACCTCATTAAATAAAATTTATTTTTTGTTTCGAATAAGTTTATTTCTATATAAACAAAACTAATAAACTTGAGATAATCAATTTTTCATTGATTTATTTTTGAAGAGATTGTTGAACGAAGAGACTTTAAGTTTCACACGACTTCGCAATTTTTTTTTTCTTCTGACATATTTCAAGTATAGAAATAATCTACAGATAACTAAAATTATTTTGATAAGAAATTGTACAATCAAACAACCTATCAGTAATTAATATCACTCATCATTTGATATATTTATTAATAAGTATTAAAAGATGTCTTTCGACATACATAATTTTATAATGTTTTTATCAGAAAAATATATATCCTATTCGAAGCTAGAAAAGAATTACTTATGTAAATAAAGATAAGATTTTTATGACTCATTAGGTACTACGCTAAAGGATAAAATTCAGTTGTAATTGGGTTCAGTTAGTTTGACTTCTATTTTAGGAAAAAATGAATGCTTTGCTATAAATAACACTGTTAGTCGGAAATGTATTCAACGGTGATTACAGGAAAAGTTTATTGTACTTTTTTAATATGTTATAAACTACTCCATTGAAAAATACTGTTTATTTGACATGTTAAATTTATCTGTATACTGTTTCACCAAGACACCTTTATATAATTTATTCACTTTCATCAAAAGAAAAAAATTCAAAAAATAGAAAATAATTAAAATTTTATAATTGTTTAAAGATTCTAGGGCGAAAGAACACATCTTGTTCATTAAATATAATCTTCAATAATTTTCTAAGCCACCCTATTGAGGACAAACTAAATCGACAATAATTATATGCTAGATAATTTTCATATTCCAGATAAGATAATCAGGCATTTCATATATATAAAATAAATTTTCTCCCACATTAATAATAATCATAATTATTTATTCATATGATTTTTAATGAATACAATCTTTTAGATGAAAATTATCACTTATACAAAATTAGAAAACAGCTTCATTAAATTTTAACAAATGAAGATAAATATATATATATGTCTATAGTTTATGTAATATATTTCGTTATTTATTAATCTATAATACATTTTTGATAATATCAGTAATATAAGATCATATGATAATTGGTTAAAAATAACTATGTATTCAAAATGTCATCATTGTATATCATGTGGAATAGTTCTTTCATTCTAAATTCAATAGAAAAGTCTATAAGAATTAATTAGCACTATGTAATTTTATCCAAAAATAATAATTTACTTCCTATCTTTTTGTTACATTTTTGTTCTTTTCTAGGCATTATTAAGTGTTACGATATATTTTTCGAGTAATTTTATATTTCTAAGCGGAAATACCTAAGAGATTGTCTATGTCTTGTAATTTGGCCTGCTCTATAATATGAAATATTTTATGTATCATTATTTTTACGAAATTTTTCATAAGTCTAGACAATAATAATCTATATTTTTGAGATTTTGATCGAATTATTATGTAAAAGTAACTTTAGTGTCAATATTCAATTCATAATAAGTACATCAGGAACTCTTTTTTTCTCACATAAATAATGTATCAGAACATTAACTCGGTTCGGTCTATGGAAGAATGGCATCAAAATGCCTTAAGCTCTAAAGATAAGTGAAATCTCTAGTAACGCTTTATAGCAGGCAATTTTTCTTGAGTTCGCAATAGTATCAAAATTAAGTGCTATGTACTTTTTACATCTATAAAGCTTATAATTAATATTTAAATTTATCTCTTCAAATAAATTAACAACATGTTTTTGTTTATATGAAATTTAACAATTATTAAGTTTTTTATATAAACAAGATAAGTCCTAACACGAATAAATTAACATGTATCGTTAGTAAATTATATTTTGTAAAGAATAGACTAGGTACACTTGTCGTCTACTACCAGAATTATTTTGCCTATTCTTTTACGGTTGTATTTATTATATAAAAAAAAGAATAATAGATTCTTTTTTTCATATAAAAAATCTTATGAGCACGTTCTATTCTTATTCTTTTTTGTATATTGAAGATTTTCTTAGTGCAGTACGTCATTAAAAGATTTGTATTATGCTAAGATCGGATAATTATTTCGATAATAAATTTATACGAAGAATATGAATAATATTCGGGTACCTTATGTTCTTTTATATGGTGTATCTAGTATTTTTTTTTCTATGCAGCTGTTACTTATATTACTTAATATGTTTCTGTCTGTTATTTTTCACTAGAAAAACAAACTATTAATTCACTTAAAGCTTTTGGTCAATCTTAAACAATGTAGGATATTGTTTTTTGTTGACATGATTGTATATAAGTATTGAAAATAAACTCCACTCTTTTGTCAATCAATCATTGTCATTATTTGACGAGAATTTCTTTTTTTAAAAGGTCATAATAAGCAACAAAACATGTATACTAAAAAAAAAATGTATATATATAACAACAATTAATTACATATATATATAAATATATATATATGCATATGTAAAATGTATACGCGCAGTTAATTTGTCGTACAAATAAATTTAACAAAAAAGAAACGCTACATAGAAGAAGCGGTTGGACGTCTAGATAACGGTGTATTTGAATATCGTGCTGGTTGATATCTTGATCCATGTACATAAGATGACATATAATAACTTGAACGATGATTTTTACCATTTCGTCCACTAGATTTTGAACGTAATGATGAATGTTTAAAAGCTCGTACTAATTCATTACGTATGTGTTTACCACTAATAATATATAAATAAAAATTAATACCATAATTAAAATTTGTTAATAAATCAAATATTTCATGATTTATATGAAGATAATATTGCCATCTTGGATTACATATTCTTAAAACAGGTATATATATAGATTTAATTACATCTAAACTGGAACCAGGTACATGTAAAATAAGATAAACTGTTGTAACAATAACTAACATTCGAGATATTTTATAAACAAGTTTCATTTTACGTTGAGCATTACAAGATGTATTTGTATGATCAAGTAATGAACCTTCATTAAATAATTTCGTCATAATTAATACATTAACTGTTATGATTATTGTTAATGGAAATAATGTCATTAAAACAAGTCTCCATGCATAAACAGTAAAATTTACATCAAATTTTGAAAAATTTCCATGACGTATTGTTTTACAACGGCAACTGTTTGTCGACGATGATATTGATAATGGTGATGGCGAACAATCAAGGCCTTTTGTAACAAAATGATAAGATTGAATAATCATCGTAAATATAAGTATCATAAGTATAATACGTCGAGCATTCACAACAGTACATATATTTTTTGACCATAAAGGAAATTTTATTGCAACTAATCGTTCCATAGCTAACGCTACAATTATCCTATAATAAAAAACAATTTTTCGATATACAAAAAAATCATTAAATCTTACCAAGAACTCATAGAATAAAATATGAATCTAACATAATAGTATAATTTACATGATATATTAGTATGTACTATAAGATTTATATTATATTCATTTTGATGTAAATCATCGAGTGCAGAAATAACTATAAGTCATAGACGAAATTGTTTATGTATATATGCATGAAAATTTTTATATACCTTCTGCAAGAATCGCTCCAGTGTCTACAACAGCTAAAGCGATTAAATATTGAGTATAAGAATTTCGCCTTAAACCTGAAAGTGAAAAACATGATATATATATGTCAACATATATTTTATCCATTAATGGAAACTTACGTCGACGACATAGGACAAGTAAACATAATATATTACCACAAAAACCAATGACAAATACAGCTAATGTTCCTAGAAAACAAAAAGAAAAATATTTAAATTAAAAATTTCTTGTATATGTATTCGAATTTCTAACCAATACGATTTAACTGCCATGCCCAACTTTTTTCATCTGATTCAAGTTTATTGACATAATATCTTTGTGTGTCGGAAACATTCCTTCCAAAACAATTAGCCATACTAAAATAAGATATAATAAATATAAAATTATTTTTTTTATTTCGATAGAAATAACAAGAGATATGTTGTTGAATATAAAAAAAACTAAGATGGAATATCTTTTTAGACGAAAAAAAAGATAACATTGATTTATTTTGGCTTTTCTGCTTTTTCTCTTCGTCTTCTTTCACTTCCTTCTATTTCCATATAAGATTATATAACAAGAAAGACAGGCAGAAAAATGCTTGTTATATGATACACTATTGTTCGAGAAATATATATACACGTATATATTATATGCTACTAGTGCTGTCTTCGATTCAGTCATTTTTTCCGCGACTAAATATCTTTTCTTGTTCTACTTTCTTATGTCGACATAGTTCTCATAATATGTGCATATAATCATGCTCAATTAAGTTTTTAAATATCGATTCTTAAATTAAGGAAAAAGGAAATACAGAAAAGTTTTATATTTAAAATTACCTTTAAGAAATAAGTATTTTTCTTCTTGCTTTATTTCACATAAAATTTCTAACACATCATTTTTTATGTGTACGCATATATATATATATATGTGATAGTTAATTATAAATAACAATTCTATTATTATTATTATTTACTATTTCATGCTCTTATACATTTATCAAATGTCCTATTTAATATTCTTATAAAAAATAACTATTCGATATGATCAAAGTTCATTTTGTTTCGTCATCAATAGTCATTTGTTACTAGTAGCTAAAGAATAGATGAAGAAAAAAAAGGTAACTTCTTATTTTATTGATATTTTACATTAATTGTGTTTTTCTCTTTTTCAATCATGAATACTGAATGTCTCAACCGGAAGCAGTACTTTTTGACACCGTAATTCGGTTTCTTTTTCTAATAAACTTTTCTTTTTTTATTTGCATTTGAAATATAAATAAAAAAGAGCGATTGTTTATTTATTTTATTTTTAATTAACTCGTTCCTATTCCTTTTTTTTTCTTCTTTTTCATATAATGATATGTCATATATCTATACAATATTATCTAAGTCTATAGATATCAATCAAATAAAAAGAAAAAGACTTTCATTAATTTCTGTTTACATCATAAACCTTTATCTATTTATATTTATCTATAATACCATCTAAATGTTTATTTTTAAAAAAAAGTACTGAAGAAACTAATTTTCTATCAACACTATTTTTCTAGTTCAATCTTTTACGAACTAAATGCATGTTTTGATAGTAAATACGCCTTAATACGCATATAATAAGTCTCGTTTTCCATTATTTATACTGTTAATTCATGAAGCTGTAAGAAAAGGAGTAGCTATCAAGGTTTTTTTTTTCTTGTCAAAAAACTCCTTTAGGCTAAAAGAATTGTTCTTAATACTTCATAATATAAGATTCTTTTTGGATAAGGTCTTACAAACTTTGCTTGTGCAGACGGAGATATTATCGAACATTGTAAAAAATATTTACCGAAAACTGGGTTGTATACTGTTTTGATTTGTTCGGTTGTCCATATTGATTACAATCAGTGTTTAATAGACGAATAATCTCATTGTTTTTTGGGAAAAGGAAAAGGAGAAATTTCTAATAATGGTAATAACGATTGAAACGATTCCCACTATATTTATAGTATAATATCGATTTAATGAGATTTTTTTCTATTCACAAGTTGTTTATTGTTTGAAGAAAGATGAAAATACTCAATGATGTGATTGTTTAAATGTTTGCATGTACACGGTTGTTTCATTATTGTTAAATAGTGACTTCTTCTAACAATGACACTCACACTATATTAACCATAGCGGAATATTTACAGCAAAGTTATTTTTCATCTTTTTCTCTACTTCTTTCTCGCTGTCTCTTTATTTTAATATAATAAAAAAAAGAAGAAGAAGGAGAAGAAGAAGAAGAAGAAAAGAAGGAGCGCGCAACAAGTAAGATACGGAACATACAAGAGAAAATAAAAAAACTTCTATATGAAACAAGACAAAGCAACTGATAGTGAATAGACAAGACTATATAACGATTTACGATATAAAGAAAGAAAAAGAATGATCCACATGAGGTTAAGAATAGGAGATCATTGCTCATTTTATGTATAACATCAACGATTAAATACCTCTAACTTTTAATACTGCTTGTCAGAGCAATGACGCACTCGATGTAAATGACGCCATGATTTTTTTTTATAGATATACTTAGACCATGAAACGTTAAGAAATTGTTGAGAATTAATGATTATTCAAGAAATCATGCGTTTTCAATGGTTCTATGATAAAACAAATATTAAAATTTTAAAATATTTCTCATGCTTTGCATATATCATACATTATACTATATTCATTAGACCGAAAGAAAAGAAAATATTCAAAAAGAAATAATTAGATAGAATTGCATCATTAGAAAAATATTGTTTCACATTTTCTTAATAATCATCTGTACAACATGACTAGAATAAATAATATGATACAAAAAAGGCGAAAATTTTCTTTCTAAAATGGATTAATAATAAAAAAATCATAGAATATACATCTTTTTCTTCTTATCAGTTATAATAATCAGATCATCGAAAAGAGAATAGACTAATTTAGTCCAGACATTCATGATCTTATGTTATTTAAGATTTACAGTATATAGATATTTATTACAAGCTCTATTTATGAGTCGAATAAAATTTATCTAATATATTGATACGTCAATAGATAAGAGAAAGAATGTAGTAGTATTTCATTTTATATATGTATATATTTATTCATAAGAAAAGAGCAAAAATGCTAATATTTAAAAAAAATGGGGTAATAAAAATGTATCATACCGAATACGCACCAATTGCAAAATATGGTACTAGAGTTAAGATATGTATTTCATGTCTGATGTAAACAATATAAAAAATGAGAAAGCTATTCTTTGTGTACGTGAAAAAAGGACATAAAAGTCAATTGATTATTTTTCTTTTAGAGTGAGAACAGATGCCGACATTATTTATATAGTTATACTTTCTCATCGGACTTTTACTGATACTGTATAATATTTACAATGAAATTAAATACATATATAATTGAAATAAATATGTTATAGGATTTTGCTTAAGAAACTGTGTATAAAGTATCTAACAAAACATACTTACATGTAAGTGACTAAGATAAAAATGAAATAAATATCATTTTTCGCATACTCATGTAGTGGAAGGAAGAGCAAAAAAATCCCCACAAGAAAACTTTGGCGTCTTTCAACCTGAAGCGATCTTACTAATATTGAGGTATTGTCCAATCTGATAAAATTTTGATAAGAAAATGTCTAGTAACATTTAAGCCTTTCCTTTTATTTTCATTATTTCCTTCCTGAGACTGCCTAAAGAATTCATCAGTAGAAAGTGAAAAACGGAAATAGAACTCAAATGTCTGATTCGAACAATACATGTCATCAATAATTATATTGTAACATGGGTTATTCAACAAATCAAAACATCCAGCTCGTTTTTGACAGATTATAGGAATTTGTTAATAAACTCGTTTACTGTTTTTCGCTACATTTATTTATTTGGAAAAACAAAATCATGAATTAGATCATGCAAAATATAATCAATAATTGCTATACTAAATACTACATAAAATAAAAAATCTATAATATAAAGATATTTATTTAGTAAATAGGCATCTTTTTTTCTCGTAACTATCAATCAATCAGTAACGTCAAAATGACAGTCAAAATCTGATTATATTTAAATAAACAGTGATTACAAGTTAGTACATTCTATATATATACATAACGATAAAATGTTCTTATTGTAATAGTATAAAATAATTTTATTAAGAAAAAGGACAAAGCATTTCTATATTAAAGGACATGTACAAGAGTTTTTTACGGAATCAATGGAAAAAATTAGAGCTAAATAAGAACTATTATGTCAAATTAGGTCAACAAAATGACTTCAAAGAAAAAATCTTCTCGTTGAAGAAGATGATGGATACTTACATGAGTTGTGTCTATCTATGTTCTCAAGGCATTTTAATACTCTCAAGAATCTATTTCTTATTCTGACTACATCTAATGTTGCCGATAGATTCTACTAGTATTAAGTTAAACGGGTGATAAGAAGACAATATTATAATATAGATAAAATCTTTTTTTTTTTCTTCTATGCACGTCCTATATTTTTAGGATAGAGATTATTAGACAGAAATACAAACCTTTTCAAATCTACACGTAGATTTAGGCAAATCTAATTAATTTGATTGAAACATAATATAAAAAAATCCGTATGTACCTAATAACTGTTTATTTACGAATTTTATAAGTAATACAAATATTTAAATTAATCAGATTTTATTTGATATGTTTCATAATAATCAACGCCATAGTTCTATTGTTACATTAATTAATAATCAGCGAGATCAAATAACAAGTTATTCTTATGGTTCAGTTAAAATCGTTTTTGTCCTTTTTCAACTTGCCTATTATTGTAAGAATCAACGGGCATTGAGTCCATATTAATGTATTAATGCTGACAGAATTTTGAAAAAAAAAAGTTGATAATACCAAATGGATGAGAATATTATATTTTTTTTCCTTCTATTAGTGCGTCATGTCAAATTGGGCAAAAATTTTAGCTCTATTGGATAGAATATCTGTCATCATATGATTTGCATATACACAATCGCGAAAAATACACATCGAACGATAATTTCTTTCGTTGAAATGTCTAGGATAAATGTATTTAAGATCGACAGATGTATATATATCTATATATATGAGGGATAGAAGTTGAAGAAACGATTCATCAACAGTCAATGATCGTCATCAGATAAGAAAGAATCATTTTTTGTTTTTCTCTTCCATTAACTCGACATCTATGATTTTTTTTAACACATCAGCTTTCCAAACATGTATTTCTAATCAAAACTGAATATAAAGTTATTCATCGATGAAAAAAAATCAACACAGAAAATATGTACTCATCAATGATAATTCTGTTTTTTGTTGTTGTTGTTGTCATAACAGAAAAATCTATCTTGATAAATGATTTATGCCATATTTATTTTCCTTACTGAATAAAAATATTGATAGATTTTTCAAAGGGATCTAGTATATAAAATTCTATTGATTATCAAATGAATATTATAACATTAGTCATTTTCTTTGTCATTTTTATTACTCGCTTTAATACGCTGGTTAAATTTGTATCATTTTGTTCTTTCCGTTTTTTTCGTCGTCGAATAATTACAGTAAATATAGAGTCAATCAAGCGAATCTTAACGCTCGATTCTACCATTTAAATGTATCAATGTTTATAAACAAGCACGTTATTTATATGCTATTTGTGAACAGCGATGGTAAAAAATTCGAGTAATATACTATATAGTTTCTTTTGTCAACGCATATTTCTGTTCTTTTGTCCTTTTTTTTAAGTATATATATATATGTACTTCACTTTATAATATTATGAGCAGCTTGAGATCTAATATAAAACAGTAGAATTGAAAAAACAATATAATCTTATAAGCGCATATAATTGAGTATCTATTACAGTTAAATGATAGTCTAACACTCTTATCAACACATACATATATTAATATTAATCATAAGTTGTAGAAAATCTTCTATCTTTCACTAAATCAGATTAAACAGATAATAAGAGAATAATTATTTTTAAGTTTACTAATATACATATTCTAATGAATTTTTTTTAAATATTTTAGATTAATTAGGAAATATAATCTCAAAATGGCGACTAACAATGCTCAACCTGCAGCAGCAGGAGCTAATGCAAAACATGGTTCAAACACTAATGCTGACAATAAACGAATTTTAAAGTGTGCTACTGGTTTGGGTTTCCTCAAGTCACGTCATGGCATATTAGATATAGTTATCTTTGTAAGTAAATAAATTTTTTTATCAAGAAAAATAATTTTTATATATATATATTTCAGATTGTTGTTATTGTTATATTAGTTTGTGCTGACATGAATAGTAGTGCTGATGTACACGATGCTGATATACTTTATCCTATGACGGACATTGAAATAAGTGCTACTCAAACAAAAGGTGCAGTGATTGCGTTTGCAGTTTTTGGTCTTCTTCTTATACTTGTTGATTCTGTTCTTTATATAAGTAGTTGGATTTATCGTTTATCAGCTAAATTTGATCTTACTGTAAGTTTTTTTGAAAAAAAGGAAATTATTCTATTTCTTTTCTATTAAAATTTAGTTTAATATTATTATGCTCGTTCTTGCTTTTGTATATTTGATTCTCGGGTATGATAATTCTTAATTGAAATGATTATATCGATGTTATTTTTATTGTTTTTAAAAAAAAATAGATGCTGTGCTGCAGCATGGGAGAAAAAAATGGAAGATACATTAGGAAAGATAGGTCGCGCAAAACATAGTGGTGCTGCTGCAGGAACTTCAGTAAGTTATTTGATTTCGGTTAATCCTTTACATTTTTAATAATATATTTTCCTTTAGTTCCTTCTCTTTGTTGCTGTGATTCTTATTGCTGTTAATTTTATCTTACGTCTAACAAAAAAAGCAAAAGAGGAGGATATAGCTGTATAAATTTTGTCTTTCAACTATTTCCAGAAGTAAAATAAAGAACTCTTATTTTTTGTGAACATATCTGTTGTTTTTTTTTTAATTTTAATAATGTAATAAAATTTCTTATTCGTTAAAATCTAAAACATTTTCTTTATTGAAGATATGAACAAGTAAAAATGATGAAAAATCAACAACATTTCTACTAACTAAACTTTAATAATTCTCTCAGTAATTGAGGGTTTGTTTCGACAAGATGTCAAGTTTTGTCTATAATTCTGTATACAAAAGTATTTGATGAACTAAAAGAAAAACAAACATCTTACTGATTTGTTAATGGTTGGTATATTGAAAAAGATTATATATGTTCATGAGAAAAATATTCTTCAACTATAATACAAGAATCTATGGAAAGAATGAATATAATCTCTGGAATCTACATTTTATGATCATCTGTCACAATCAATCATGTCAGTCAGAAGAATCACAAATGCGAGTGCATATTATTTAAAAAATCGAAAAACTTATTAGATGCGAACAATTATTATCGACATGCGATGTATTGAAAGTCTTTTGTTTATTAACTAAAGTCACGAACATATAATTTAATTAATGTTAGTATTTAAAAAATAAGTTGCAATGCGTATATTATTATGATTTGTGAAAGGCTCAAGAAATGTTTTGTTGATAAACATTGAAAGGATACGATGACAATTTTAAAATAGCAGAAAAAGTCCGTCGCTTGTCTAACGAGCTAAAACATGAAGCATAGAAAAAACAACAGCGAAAACGATAAAAAGAATAATTGAATATATTCAATAGAAAAACAGATCAAAAGCACTTTTTGTATTTTACACGTAGTTAGACGCTCAGAACTATGGGAAATCGCAAGAAAAAGATTGACGTCATGTCTGCGATGCTGGTGCTGTTTACAAAGAACAATTTTTTCATTCATAAGAAGGTTGAATTGACATGTGACATGATTGAATTGTCGTCTTATACTTAATCAAATCATATCAAATATATATATAGAACAATATAAGCAAAACAGACAGTATTGATCACCTATCAATATCATCACACTATGTATATATCAAATGTTTCTTATAAATCTTATGTATATATATTATCAAGAGAATCTCGTTTATGTAAAATATTCAATTCAAATATTTACAAGTGTTGCTAGTCTAAGAAGTCCGTATTATATAGATAATAAATATAAAATGAATGTATTTAAAGTGTATAATCAACAGATGAATATTATCTGTATTGCGGTTATATCGACCTAGATATTTTTCTGTAATATCTATATAATCCTTGCATGTTTGTTAATCATTACATCAAAGTATCGTTTCAAATCTACGCTTAATATTTCCTGAGCATGAACAAAACTCTAAGCTCTTATCTCGACTATATTTTTAACTGTTTTTCTTATATTACTCATAGAATTAATAAAGGTCAAGATACTCTACAAAAGATCAAAAGTATATAAAATCTTTACTAATAAAAAGTATTTAAAGAATACTTACATTTTCGACGTTGCTCGTATTGAAGAATTCACAGTATTCATTAAATTTTATTGTAGTTTTGTCAAAATTGCGATTATAAATTGATATGGAATATGATAATCATTAAATCAATGCTTATATCTTTTCAAGTTCATCCTATAGTATTCAAAAAGTTACCATGTATTGCTCTCAGTAGAGTTCACAGAGAATTATTGTCGCCTACTCTAGAAAGAAAAAATATGAAAGTACTTCTTACATATATGTGCTCTTCATAAACTGGGTATAGTATAATACCGTACTTTAGTAATAAATAGCAATAATAGTAACAACTAATTTCCGGATTCAAAAACTCTATTTCCGCTGCATTTTGATCACAGTATACACTTTATCTAATTAAAAAATAGTACAAAGAAAAAGGTATTTTTGTGATACAAATGTAGGCTAGTTAATTAAATGATCCCATGACTAGTTAACTGTAAATGTCGATCTTTATTTTCTCATAGTAAAAAGATGTTGATGCTAACTGATATATATATATTATGTCCATTAATGCTTTGCAAAAGATATTATACATACACGGAAACCTCCCTAATGTGAAGTAGATGCCTAATTCGAGTTCGAATACAAACGGACATTAAAAAAAGAAAAATCAGTGCCTATTTCTAGGAATAGATTTAGTTTTAGAATAATTTTCAGATAAATTCTCCTACTCACATATTGCCCTCCACCTCTCACCTGATTTGCCATCTTCTTTCACCCATCCCTTGGTCGTATACATGAATCATATACATCTTAGAGTAAAACTATAACTGAATCTATTCCTAAATTTCACCATTTATTTTCGAATTAGGCGGCTCATCAAAACATATGACAGAAAGTAGAAAAAGGTTAAAAAAACAAATTATATATATGTTCACTATTGAGAGGTTTCATTGTAACTGAATGAAAAGAGAGAGAAGAAAAATATAGATCTATATTCAAGTTACTTAATACAGATGATACTAATCTACTCGCACGACTAGATTTGATAAAAACGGTAACAACTTCATAGAAAACAGTTCAAAAAATTATTTTGTATATATAATTACTATTTTTATTTTTATATCGGAATAATAATAATACAAAAACAATCTTTTATGTTATTTTGAAAATGAAAGAAAAAAGCAAATAATAAATATTTATGAACAACAACTAAAACAGGATTCATTCATCAGTAAAAAGTTGTCCGCTTTTTTTCTTCTAAGAATAACTCTGCATTATCACAGGACAATGAGTAATCAATAATTCAAAAGAATTGTACTGAAAGTGTGTCAATGCTTCTATTATTCTACCTAGTTGAAATATACTTCCTCAACTACTAACTTTGTTCTCTCAATTTTCTTGTCCAATAAGCAAATAAAATGATGTTTTTCAATTCTGCTTTATTTACCGTTATTCATTAATTTGTTATTATTCTGTATCAAACCCATTATTAGTTAATATGTCTAAACTAACAGACATTTATAATTAATTCTCTATCAAATTTTACATAATAACACAAGAAAAATATTGAACACACTTATAAATAAAGAAAATATAATTACAAAAACAAACCTTTTATTCCGAAACAATTGAAGTGTTTTAACATGAGTGCTGTAATGGCGATAGTATGATTTAGTGTGTAGTTCATCATAGCGTTTGTATATTACTCCGTACTTTGAGAACAAAAAGTATTATAATTAATAAAAATCATATATGTGACAATACGTATCTTGAATCAAACAATTTCTGTATGAGTTAAATTAAATATTGAATAAAATCAGAGTAGATTAATGAAAATTACTTTTTGTAAGAAAAAAAAGAATTTTATGTCATTGTATCTATTTAAAAAACGACAGGACGTATCCTCCTTTTAAAAAGTCTTTGACTGATAACTCGTATTTTCATTGATATTTAGATCCGTATTTATTATATTTTATAATTTCTATAGCAGTTAATGATACTACATACATTAGCAATAAATATTTTAAATTCAAAAGTATAAAGTTTATCGAATAAAAACATCACATGATGTACTAATCATCCGTTTTCGTTATAACCCTTTAGACAGCATGTCAAATCATGTGATTCTTTATTTTGAAATAAAATGAATCAAGTTAGGGTTCGTCAGGTGTACGTTCTTTAGACTTAATCGTCACATGGTTTTCTGTTTATTAAGACGATGTTAGATAAATAACAGATGTCACACTTTACCATGAATAATAACCGATAAGGACAATGTAATACTTCCACCTACTTCAAATGTGATCATATATCAGTCGAAAAGGCGTTGTTGTCATGAAACCAAGTATTTTCAGTGCATTGACTGCTTCATAGATTGAAATATGTGCGCGATGATTTACGCCAATTCGTTCAACTTAAACTCGTAATGCTCATCCATTGAATATAAATTTATATATTATTCATATGTAGACTTAAAATTGAATTCGTATCAAATTTTATTTATAATTCACTCAATTGTTTTTTTACAAAAAGAATTATTTTATTCATTATTGATCCTAGAAGATTTGATGAGCAATTTTGTAAAAACATCATTTATTATTGTTTCCTAGCAATAGCTTGTTGATTGGTAGACATTGTATCTTTGCAAATAAATTCAGCTTTATTTTTTTAAAGCTAAATGTTGAATCATTTATAATTGGTAACATGAGATATATGCTTTTGTCAATATTCACTCAACATTTTGTTTCTTGAATATCTTACATTTAATTATTATGTTTAGATTTCATATGTAATATGAATGCCCAAAAATTTATCTTCTCTTTTCGAGATCACATCATCACAAACATATTTAAATAATGAAAATCGAAATAAATAGTGAGACTGACTCAAGATCTCATCTTAGAGAATTGAAATTATAGTTTTTGACAAACATTGGTATTTCAAAAATACAGTGAGGATCAATAGGATTAAAAACAAACAGGAGTTAATAAAGATCAATTTTCAGATAATAGACAATATTACTATAGAAGTAAAACCATTTTCAATATTGTGCAAATTGAATTGGACTGTTTCAAGCTTATCTGTTTTCTCACGTATTATGTATGACGAAACGTCTAAGAGTGACTATTATAATACGCTTGAATTATTGATTTTCATTACAATCTTGTCTTAGCAAGAATAATTGACGATGAAATATGATAATCACCTAGAATGAAAAATAAAGATGCACTCACAGCTAATATAAGCAACAGCTAACGCTATCTATCCATGAAGAACTGACACGTCCACATCATATTAATCGGTTAAATATGGAGGTTTTGGATTTTCCTTTCGAAAATATATCACTTTCCTTTGTATTGCTTTTTTTTTTATTTGTTTTCGTATTGATATATCAACATTATCATTAAACACACAATATAATCATATCATATCAATAAGATTCAAATCTTAAGTAAATAAAGATTTAACTTTATATTTACGGCAGGTAAAATTATCTTTTAAAGTACACAAAAAGTAAAAACAAAATTTTTTGTAATAGTTATTTTTGTTATGTAACAAAAATGTACTCCATGATATGATATCTGTTAAAATCTTATATCTTCTTCTTCTTTTAGATGTTTTGTAAAGTGAATTTGAATCTCATTCTTTTCTCTCTTACTCTTTTGATCATTCCATCATATTCATCTTCATTTGATATTGAATTAACTGTACTTGTTCCAGCACATCAACGTGAATGTTTTCATCAAATTCTTGAAGCAGGCAAAACAATTGAAGTTGTATATGAAGTAGTAACTGGCGGTGAACTTGATATAAATTATTGGTTTTATTCACCAACAAATCGTGTATTACAATCTGATTTTAAAAAACGTGATGGTCATCAAACAACAAAATTAGAAGAAACAGGAGAATATCGTTTTTGTTTGGATAATTCATTTTCACGTTTTAGTCAAAAACAAGTTTATTTTAGTTTAAGACCTGTTAATGAACGTGGTCATAGTCAAATGGGTGAAGCTACAGAATTTGTGGTGACACCCACGGATCAAGAAGAACTTGGTGATATGCAAAATAAAGTTCAAGATATCAGGGTAAGCAAAAAATAAATACTTAAATTATTTGAGAAGAAACTAATAAAAGAATATTTGTTATAAAATTGAGTAGCAAATTTTTGGAGAATCGAGGACTGTTGTTGTTTTGTATATTATAAAAGAATAAGAGTCAACGATATATGACTCCAGTATTTTTATGACGATAGATACGTTATCAAAGGTATCTGCATTTTTTCCCAAGTGTTTTATTGATAAGTTTGCATATAGTAAAGTCCAATATTTGGTTTTAGTCATTCTCAGTTAATTGATTGAAAAGACTAGAAATGAAATAAAATAAAGTTTTCAGAGTTAGTTACGGTGCGTTTGTACACAGTCAAACATATAATCTACAAACTGAAATATCGGATGCATTGAAAATGCTTCCTTATATTCTGAAAACATCCGAGTTTGAAGTATAAATTGCGATTCAGATTGAATGCATGTCTGCATAGAAGCATTTCGAACTAAAAAAAATGTCTATTTATTTGTTATTCTTATTTGTAATCACTCGTAATGTAAAAACAATGCATTTGTAACATTCTACACAAGTTTTTCACACTCCCACTCACTTATTTTGACATAGACTTTGTACGATAAGCTATTCATTTCTTTTATCAAACTTAACACCTAACCATCAATTTTTTTTGATAAAATAATATAGCATTTTCAATTGATTATCACGGATTAACATTCAATTGTCATATAGATGTATATAGGATATTAAGCACATTTTTATTTTCTTAACATTATCATGTATATATGAAATTGAAATTTAATATGATATTTGTTTTTTTAGGAAACATTTGAACGTATCTATGATAATTTAGAAACAGCTCAACGATATCAAAGTGTATTTAAAAATTATGAAGTACATGATCGTATTACAATTGAAAATAATTTTGATCGTATTAATTTTTGGTCTGTTATAAATTTAAGTCTTATGATCACTGTAACAGTTATTCAAGTTATAACAATTCGTAGTTTATTTGAAACGAAATCTGCATATGGTAAATTTTTACGTGGAAGAAATTAACGCAAAAAACAATATAAAAGACATCTATATTTCCAATTCCATTTTTATTGTGTTATGTTTACTTTTTTTTGTTTTGTTTTGTTTTTGTTGTTGTTTAGAGAAACAGAATATAAGAACTTGAATAGAATTAACGTTAAAAATAGTTCATTTTTTTGTTAAATATATTTATCAAAAGAAAAAGAAGTAGTGATATTTTACGTTTTTTTTCTTTCTCATCTGCCTTTTTTTTCGTTCTATCTTCATTTTATGAGAGGTTATTTAAGTATATATATATATTTCTATTCGTATGTTGTTATTTTTTATTTCGTGATTATCGGTCGTTTTCTCTTCTCTTTTATTTCGTCAGTGTATTCACTTGTATGAAAGAAATGAGTGATGCATTTTTTCGTTTTTCATTTTTAAAAACAACACATATACAACATGCCAATATAAAACAAGCTGTATTTTATTAGTTGTTTCGCTTTTACTTTCATCCTTCAATATCTTTCTCAATGATGCTCAGATTGAGTAAATGAAAAGACAAGCCGACGCGTCGATAGCATACAAAATTGTGTTGGTATATATATATATATGTATATATCCTAAAGGTGAGAACAGCCATTCTTCATCATCTTCTTCTTTTGTTCATTCGTCGTTCATCTATCTATGTCTAGAAGTATATGAACGATACAGACATTTTATATAGCTGTGCTGTTCTCGTTTTTTTTTTCAATGTTGTTCGGACGGGCTCTCGCGTTCGTCACTTGATAAAGTAGAAGGAGGAGAGAAGAGGAGAAAAAGAAGAAGAAGGAGGTGCCAACATCAACATAGACGATTGAACATATTTGCATTGTAATCGTTCACGAGAGACATTCATTTTAATCATCAGTAGCTTGTCTAATACGCAAAAAGTAAAGTATTTTCACTTCATTTACTTTCACTAAATTTTTCTTTTTTCTTTATCAAAAATATGATTTTGTTTATTTATAAGAAGAAGAAACAAAACATAATTCTGATGTATATACTAAAATATTTCTCATCTCTATATAAAAATAGAAAGAGAGAGAAAGTAAGTAGAAGAGAATAAACCAAATAGTATTGAAAGAGCGAGAAACGAAACAAGAATAAAATCAGATCCTTTGTCGTCGTCATCGTCGTCGTCGATGATCAATGTTGTATAGTGAAGGAGAGCGATCGTTCTTATGCTTTATTTGCTTTGATCAAAGCCTCCGCATCCGTACATGCACATATTTGTATCTGGATCGATCTTTGAATCGTCAAGTACACCTATTTCTTTTTTATTCATGTTCATTTACTGATTTTTTTTCTTCTTCTTCTTCTTCTTCTTCTACTACTGACAACGCGCAACTGTTCGAATCTAATCCATATGAGTTATTACCTCTCAAATTTCAATGTCTATCTGATTTATTTTATAGATTTTCATAAGATAAGAAATTTCTTTTATCAATGACAACCAACGGTGAACATAAAAATGAACCAAGACCACGTTTATGTCATCTTCGACGATGGCCAAATTTTGTTGGTTATGGTTTTAATTTACATTGTGAAAAATCTAAACCAGGACAATATATTGGTAAAGTTGATCCAGATTCTCCCGCAGAATCAGCTGGTTTACATGAATATGATCGTATAATTGAAGTTAATTTTGTTCCTATTGGAAATGAAAATCATAAACAAGTTGTATCAAGAATAAAAGAAGGTGTTACAAGAAATGGAACAAAATATGCTGAAGAAGTTATTCTACTTGTTGTTGATCCTGATACAGATGCTTATTATAAAAATAAATCAATTATTGTTCGTAGTTCAGATTCAAATGTTGAAAAACTTGAAACAGAAATTCGAGATGGAAAAGGTTTGATTAATAACAAAATAAATATTTATTTTGATTTCGTTTTCATTAGAATATGGTGATCAATCACCTCAATCATCTGAAAAAAGTATTGGCAAGACAGATTCACCTATTATCCGACAAACATCACCAAGAACAATGAAAAATGAACCTGTTCGTGAATATAAACATGTTACTGATTTTACCGGTCCAACAGTCACACATACAACTAAGGTAAGAATATATTTGATTTTTTTTCTTGAAATAAATATATATCATTGATACTTATTTGACTAACATGTCAAATTTTCTTGACATTATCTATTATTTACCTTTGTCTTGATAGACTTTTAATATTCACTTGTTCGATTTCTTTTTATTTTAAATCAAAGAAAATATATTTATGTTTGGAAGCCATATTAGCTTTGAAGACAATAAAATGTAATTGATTTGATTGCTTTCATCGATTGAATTTTCTTTACTATTGACATTCAAAAATGAATTTGTAATGTTCGATTATTGAAAAAGAATACGTTTCGACATATTAGTAAGAAAATAACTCTGTTTTTTAATCAATTGTTTTGATGCTTTCAAGCAACACTTATACAATATATGTTGTTTTTATCTAAAAGCAACTTAAATTTCAAAATTCTATTGTATTTTAAGATGAATATTTATTATCATAGTACTATTGAGAGTCGTTTTTCTTTCTATAAGCTATTCTTTATTAATTGACTGTAGGTAATTTCGGTCCAATTTGTTTAGAACTTGAATATTTTCAGTACATTCTGATAAGATAAATGATCTATCATATAAACTACCATTTCATGATTTATCTTGGTAGTTATATAAAAAGGAATATCTTGGGGATAATAATATATCATTCAATTATCCATAGAAGCCGACGTATTGTCATTACTATCGAGAATAAAAGAAAACTGTATAGAATAAATAAAAAAGGAGTAAAATAAATGAATCTTTATCATAACTCTCAAGAGAAATCATAGCAATTCGATGTAATGTATTCTTCGTAATAGTCTTTTTTTGATAAGGATAAAAATATCAATTTTTCTATTATTATCTATATCTTATTTCAACTACATTAAATTTAGTAAAAACTATGATTGTTATTTTTTTTGTGTTCTTCAGACTGATGGTTCACCTACAATATCAAGAACATCCGATCAAGATGATGATCATGAAAATTACCTTCAATCATCTCCTCGATTGCCTGACAAAGAGAAACGTAAAGAATTTACGTCCGTTGGTAATTCATCACCAAAACTTTCTACAAAAGATTCACCTCTGAAATCAACGGGTACGGATGGTTCTCATCAAAGTCTATCACATTCATCATCATCAGCTAATGGTTCAGAAGGAGGAACACTTGAAATTAGTAAGAAGAAAAAATTTCTTTAGACTATTTTTTTAAAATTTTATGTTTATAGAAATGTCAGCTGCAGAATATCGAGAAAAATTAAAAGCTCAACATGCTCGTAAACGTGATTCACGCCAAGATCAACAATTATCTATGAAACAGAAACATGATTTAATCGATCGTTTATAAAATTGATACAAAAATAACAAAAATGAGAATGAATAAAAAACTACTCTTTTCTTGTCCACGTTTGTTACAATTCTAAAATTTTCTTTTGTGCGCTTGTTTCTACTAGTTTTACTATTTAAAAATGTTCGTGTGTGTGTGTGTATTTTGTCTCTTATCTTTTTACTACTTTCTTCTTTTTTTTCTCGCTTAGAGAAGTTTCGCACACAGTACATAACAGTGAACATTGTTCAAAAAACTAATTTAATCCTTCGTAGAAGAACAAAAACAACAAAACATTTATATTATAAATAAATCATGTTAATATGATCTTGTCTAAAATCAAAACTAACAAAGAAATAATGTGTGTGTGTGTGTGCATTTTTATTCATTTGTATATTGGCTGATTTTATTTCTATCTTATTCCTATTATGCTTCTCGTCCAAAAGAAACGTGTGATCATCTGTAATGTTAAAAACAACTCAAGGAAAATTTTAATAAAAAAAATGTTTATTGAACTATTATTTTATTTAATGTAATTTTATAGACTATTTCAATATCGAATGATTTTCATGAAAATAGACAAAAAAAAGAGGTTGAAAAACACCTAAGAGTCTATGTGCATTTGGTGTAGTTTATCTGACGGCACGTCGATGTGTTGTAGTACGCCCAGGTCGTCGACAGGATATTTTATTTGCAGGTAAAAATCGATTTGTACATCTTGTTGATAAATCTGATAGCCATGCACCTATTGTCCAAATTCGTTTTGCTTCTTCTTCCGTAAAAGTATTTGAAAGTAATTTAGCGAGAATAACATTATTTGTTTGTAAACAGGGTGTTGTTGTTTTAGCACTTGAATTTAAATCATAACCTGTTTGTTGTTCAATAAGAATTCTTACACCAAAAAATCGACTATCCATACATGAATAATCAAATGTTCGTGTTTGTTTTATTTGAAAAAAATCAAAATATGGTACTAAATGTCGATTAAAATGGTAAATAAATTGTCCATTACATGATATTGTTTCAAACACACAATTTTCAAGATCTTTTATATGAAGAAAATCACAATAACCATCATTGATATGTAATTCTTCTTCATCTAATGCTTTACCAATTGATGTACGTATATCATATATATCATCAAATGTTTTAGGAAAATTTGAAGTATATTTTGATTTAACAACATCAATATGTGTAAATTTTGTTGAATATCTTAATAGACGTTTAACAGAAAAATATCTTGGATCATTTAATTCACGTTTTAATTCAAGTATTAAACGTTTTTTTTCATAACATAAATATAAACGATATGTTAATTGTTGATTATGTGTTTCACGAAAACCTGTACAAGTTAATTCATGTTCAAACTGATCAATATCATTAATACCTTTATTTTTATTAAATGTAATTAAAAAATGTTTATCATCACGAGCACGTCGTTCTTCGTTACGTAATGAATCAACACTTAAATTTTGACAATATAAACTATCAGGATATTGATTTTGTTGACGACGATTTTGATATGTATAAACTGTTCCAAGACGAATTTCAATGGGTAACGAATCAATTTGTTCGGTTTGACGAAATTCATTTGATTTTCGAAGAAAATCTTCGAGAAATAATTTTTCTAAATAACTTATCTCAAGATTTTCATTATCATCATCATCCATCATAACCATAGGTACACAATTCATTTGATTCATATGTTCAGGATTGACCATTCCACAATATGGTACAAGTTGTACTTGTGTTTGAGCATGATTAGCTTTTTCTATTAACATAATTGTAGTTTTTCTTGTATGTTGAGATTGTTATAACAAAATAATGGAAAAATGTTTCCTTTTATATTTGAAAAAAGAACACAGAGGGGAAGTCAGCTGTATGTACTTAACACTAACGCGTGGTTCTGTTATCAACGAGTCTAATAACCTATGCAGGGGTAGAATTGAAAAAGTCGAATAAATGAAAAATCGAGTACCTTCAATCACGCGCCTATCATCGATGAAAGTCAGACAAATAATCATATGTCTTTCACGCATTGAAGCAGACATAGAATAAAATCTAGATAAATATGAAAAAATATGATATACAAAATGACTAATCAGGTCTCAAGTCAGGATTAAATAACAATGAACTTCCGTGCATGATTTATGTTGAGTTGATTCATATCAAACAAGCTGTTGTTAAATATAAACCACTTAGTTAACGCGGAAAGTGTTTTTTTTTCATGATATTTTTTTTTATTATCTTAGTGACCTTGTTTTTTGTACTTTTTACCGGCACAGAGCTTAGAGGTCAAATGATGTAATTTATGATCGACAATCTTCAGACTAAATAGTCGTTGACATGAATGGTTATTTAAAATTGTGTAAATGAAATATATGTCTTTGAATAATTCAAACAAATAAGTATTAGTGAATCTATAGTTATTCTTAAAAATAACTAGTATAATAACATGACATTCAGATTTGCCTACAATGTAATAGACTAAATTGTAGCGTGACATAATTAATTTAAAAAATGAGCGAATCATTAAAATGTATATTTTTTCTTGTATCATAATTCATAAACTAAAGGTCATGCTCTACAAAGTCATTCTACTAAATTGTATATGCGAATTCTGCTTGTCCTTTGATCCAGTGTTTTTAATGAAGTACGATATGCAATATTTTATTATGCTTTTTGAACATGTGCACCAAATTCGTCATTTCGTGTCACGATAATCTAAAGAATGACAAGTCACAAAATAGAGATGAAAATATCGAGATCGCATTTATATTATGCCTTTTTAAGTTTTCAATGTATAGTTTAGTTTATTTGGAAGAAGCCTTGAAAAAACACGATTATTTTGTAGACTTTATTTTTCTAGTACTTCAATATAAATACAAGAAGAAGAGTTAAATACCAATCTTTTTACAGTAGATAGTGACTCAGAAAGGTAGACATATGTTCAGGTAATATTATTGTGTAAAGATAAAATCGTAATTATTTTATTTTGATCCATTCCTTTTAAATTAACGGAAACTACTTAGAGTGACTAGTTCTCTCTCTTGATCCAGTTCTTACAACAAGAAAAACATTTAATAAGCTGACTCATTCTCATATTAAAAGCGTACTAAAGTTGTAAAAAGAATAATGAAAAAGTACTGAGTTAAGCCAACTGATAAGATAATACACATACGTAAATATATGTATAGATGATCTTCATAGTCGTGATGAGGTTTCTCGTTTCTGATGAGAATATTCTATATAATAGTAAAAGATTAACTGGTATAGTAGTAGTAGATAAGATATATCTTAACAAGAAAAAGAATCCGAGTAAATGAAGAATAACGTTCTTGATGTTGAACAAGATCTTGTATAATCAACAAAGAGCTAAAAGAATTCAGTATATACATATCAATGTGTCCTAAATACATATTCTAATTTAATAAATGAATTAGTGTTCATCATCAATTACAAGTAAATGAAAATAAGAATCGTTTATTGAGATTTTTGAGTGCCGAGAACGACAATGTATGAGTAAAATGAAGATGAATCGGTAGATGTTTATCGTTTAGATTATTATTCCATACTCTCCTATTTCGTGTATTGAGAAACGTGCCCAATAAAATTATAGTAATATTAATTCCTTCACAATTTTCGTTGATATTCAACATTCTGTCAAATTATTCCGATATAACATACTGCCATCTATTGCCATATTATGATATATAATCTGTTTCTATTAAGGTTTTCTCCATAGAAACAGGTAAGTATGATGAAGAAAAAAAAATCTCTTCAAACATTTTTCTGTATTCTCTTTCCATGAATAATCCTTGAATCTAATCAATATGAGTAAGAACATTAATTTTTCGATTATTAAAGATAAATTAGATAAAAATTTTTTTTAATTAATGCAATCTTAGGTAGACATATATTAGATGATCTTCTTCAAGATTTAAACATTGACAATGACAGTGAGTTAATCAAAAGCCAAAAGAAGGTATAGTTTTGTTTTTTGTTTATGCAGATAAAAGCTCAACACATGCAAAAAATCAATGGTCTAGTGCTAATGCTAATGATGATGATGATTGGCTTCTTACTCCAAGAGTAAATTATTTATAATAAGAAAAAATTTGAAGTTTTTGATATGTATATGGACATTTTAGGATACAAAAAAATCAACGACAAATACTCTTACAAAACGACAAGATGATGATGATTTTGATGCAGATGATAAATGGAATCGAACTGGTGATTCAAATATTTCCTATACACCAAATTTTGGTGGTACCATGACTAATACATTTACTGGTAAGTTTCGTTCTAATAAAAGATTGAATTTAACAATATATATTAATACAAAAATCTGAAATTCTCGTTCATGATTGAAAAAACGAATCCTATGAAATTTTTGATATTAGTCCTGATCGAGTTTTGATTCTTATAACATAATTTTATTCAGATATTATTTCTAATAATTAATACAAAGATGTAAGTATAATTCAGGTTTCATTCTTAACTTGAACGATGAATTGCATATTTCGATGATTATTACATAAGTATAACTAGTAAGAATCTGTAAATTTAGTAATACTTTTAGTATATTACTTCAGTAGAATATTGTTCGTTATATCATTGAAAGTATTATTTATCATGTCATGCATCTTTTTCATCGATATTTTAATCTATATACTTTACTTTCATGATCTTTTATTGTAAACATATATCTCAAGGTCAAGATACTATACAACGTATTGTAAGTCAACCTCGACCAGCAACATCAAGTGGCTCTCGAACATTTGATGATTTATTTGGAAGTAAATCATGTTCATTTCATATTTTTCTATTTACTATATTATTAATCTAGATTCACCACCGAAAAATACTACTCTTGGAGATACAGATAGAAATAAAAAATCAGTCAGGTAAGATAATAAATTCTTCATTAAAGAAAAAATCTTTTTTCTAAAATAATAGATTTGATGAGTTTGATCTTGCACGCCCATCAACTGCTCCATCACCAGCAGATACATTACAAAATCGAGCTAATACAGGAGCATTATCATCAATGCGTACCGGTCTTGATCCAAAAAGATCTACTGATTTATTTCCTCCAACTAAAAAAACGACTAATGAATCAAATAATCCAAACGATTGGCTTGGTCTTAAAGATGAATCAAGCGAAGAAGATGATCTTCCACAACGACGAAAAGAAAAAATCGAACCTGCTATTACTACTCTTGCTAAAAAAACACCTCTCGCACCTGTTCATGAAGTTTCTGCAACAGTATCAGAACTACCAAAAAAATCTGTACTAGATGATTTAATCGAAGAAGATCGACGAGCATTATCAGAAAAAACGCCTATAACAGCAACTGCTACAGTTAATAAAACATCTCAAGATTCTTGGTTTAGTGATCATACAAATTCCAATAAACGTCCAAGTGCAGGCGCAATACCAAAAGCTTCATTACATATAGACAATCAACAAATAAAACCATCTACTAAACCTCTATTTGATACTAAAACAGATTCAGGTATATTTGTTATAATTTTTATTAGAAAATTAATTTCTTATATAATTAATATAGCGTTCAAAGATGTATCAGAAAGTTTGATGTTTAATACAAATTCGCAAGCTTTACCAACAACGAGAAATAACTCTTCGACAGTAAATGTAAGTAAAATACTTTTTTTGTCTATATTCATATCGAATTCTTCTTATAGCTTGATATGAAAAAACTTGAATTTGAAAATAACGAACTTAGAATGACATTGGATCATATGAAACGACAACATGAAATTGAAACTACAATGCTTGAAGATAGTCATAAACATCGACTTGAATATATCGAAAAAACATGTGAAAGAAGAGAATCTAGGTAAGTTTTTGATTTTTTCTATTTCAATTTAATAAATAAAAATTATTTATTTAGATTAAAAGAAGAAAATGAACATTTACTTCGTCAATTAAATGATCGTACTCAACAATATGAAAATGACAAAGCTGCTTTAATAATGGATCATCAACGACGTCTAGATGATTTACAACGAGATCGAACAACAGAACTTGAAAATCTACGAACATTACAACGGTTTATAGTTTTTCTTTTGAACAATCAATTGAATTCAATTCTTTTTTTTTCTCTTTAGACAAACTCTTGATCATCTACGACGAGAACATGAACAAACAATTCAACGTTTAAAACAACTTAAACAAGAAGAAGTATCAACAGCACTCGATGTTACAACACATACAAGGTCTATACCAAAAAAATATCTCAATATCATATTAATTGATAAAAAAATTTCTTTAGAGCGTTTGAATCTGTTGTTGATCATATGGAACAAAACGCAAAAAATATTGATCAATTAAGACTTAAAATCGAAGCAAAACATAGTTCTGCAATGACAGATAAAGAAATTGAATCACGAGCTAAAGAACAACAACTTAAAGGTATAATAAAAAAAAGTAGTTCAGCATTAAGAATACAACTAAAGCAATAGGGTTATTCATGACATAATATCGCGTCGAATTATTAATGTACAATAGTAGGGAAATAGCGGTCAAGTTAAGTGTACTCTCTAATAGATACTCTGGACTGTGTTGAGTCGACTGGTGATACCCGAGAGAAAAAACACACAGTTACAAGCTTTAATTCTTCGAAAAGCTTGAAACTCGTAAACTTCAAATCTGGAGCTCACTTAACTTGACCGGAAATAGTTAAGTGAAGATGAATTTTGTATTGAAAAAATCGATAAATCAAAGAATCGAAATCTATAAATTTATCATATCTACTCGACTATTTTCTCTTGTTTAGCTTATGAAGAACGCTTACATCATCAATCAACTGATTTTGAACGTGAACGTAAAAACTTACAAGAACTTATATCACGATTAGAAGTTCATCTTTCTGATCAAACCAAACTTGTTGAAGAAGTATGAATGAAACTATTCTATATTCTTTTGAAATATATATGAATATCATTTAAGGAACGATGGAAAGCATTACAAGCTCAAAAACGTATGGAAGCAATGCAAGATGCATTAAATGGTGAACAACGTTTATTTACAGAAAAAATCTCACGTGATCGTTCGGAAATTCAACGTAGTAAAGATCAATTACTTGATGATCAAAAACTAGCATTAGCTAGTATATATGAAAGTCGTTCACAATTAGCGGAAGAACGAGCAAAAATTGAAGCATTCCAAAAATCTTTTCAAGAACAAAAACATCGAGATATGCTACAAAATGCTACCGTATAAAAACAAAAATTATTGATTGTGTTGGAATTTTTATTTTTATTTTTAAGATTGATGCAGACACTCGTGCACAACAAAAATTAGTTAATGAACAACTAGTACGTCTTGAAAAACGTGAACAAGAATTAATTAAACGCGAAGAAGCATTAATATTAGAACGACGTTCATTAGCGGAATTAAAACAACGTATTGATAATGAACAATCATCATTAAAAAATGATCAAGATGATATAAAACAAAAACAACTTGATATTGAACATGCAAATGAAATGATTAAAAAAGAAAAAGAACGTTTATCACAACTTTATTTCGAATTACATGCATTAGATGGAAAAAATACTGGTAGACTTCAACAATTACAAAAATCTATTAGTAATCTACGACAAAAAGAAGAACTGATGAATGAAGTAAATCATTGATTTAACGATATTTAATTTAGGGGATAAAATGATTCTTCAAATTGTGAAGGATCTATCAATCCGACTAAATTGAACAGGATAACCAAAATTCTCTTATATAAATCGAAGTACACTGTTTCACCCTGAACTAAAATGCAATAGGAAAAGACAGATTTCTATATTTATAGTTATTCGGATATAACTACACATGTTTTTTATCATTTATTTAATAATTAAATGAATATAATCAAACAAATTATAGAAAAAAGTAGAACCCATCATAGAATCTTCTTTTGCATTACATAATTTAAACATTGTTATTCCTTTTGGTTAGATAAACTAGTAGATAACGAAGTAAAAGAGTACGCTTTATAAAATGGCGCCACATGTAACTACAGAAATCTACCTATTTTAATGTCAATGTGTTATTATAAAATACCAATATACAGCCTAACTAAATGAACTTGAGATCAATTCTCGATCATTAACGCTAGTCGATGATAAAGTATATAAAATCTTCTAAACTATATTTTTAGCAATATACTCGTATGTCTGATGACCGACAAAATCGAAATCAACTTCGTTCAAGTGTTACACTTAAACAACCATCTTCCATGATTGATTCAGGTTTTTCAAGTAACAAAAAAATATTCATTTAAAGTTTCCCTTCTCATTAATAAACTTATATTTATAGCCTTACAGTTAGCTTCTCATACACCAATTTTACCAATCAATTCTACGCAACAATCCGTTGAAGAAAGTACAATTTTACGAGCATTACGTATGAATGCTCTTCAAGTAAATATTTTATATTTAATAAACTAATTATCATATGAAAATAAATGCTTGTCTGTTTAGGATCAATTATATATTCAAGATGAAATGTCATTTCTTAATAGTTTACGTACTGGTAATCATTTATCAACACGTAATAATAATTCAAATAGTTCTAATCTTCATCGTCATTCCGAATTAAATTTACTTAGGACAAATCATTAATTTTAAAGATGATATCTTTTCTTATGTATTTATAGATGTTTGTAAAAGAAAGAAAAATCAACCAATGATTGAACTTATTATTGAAAACTTTTTATTGTATTTTTATTTTCAAATTATCTGCTTTTCTTTTTTTTTTATAAGAATGTTTGATAAAGTCCAGTATTCGAGGGTAGACAGTGTAATAATAAGAATAAGAATAGAAACAAATTAAAATAATTGAAAAGACGAAATAAAATGTCTGCTTCATATCAAATGTTATTGCTTTAGGTAATATAATCAAAAAGAAAGAATTTTGCCGTTTAAATAATGATCATTTGACAAATAGACAACATTATGTTATATTTTGTTTAAAGTGAAGTAAGTAAATTTTAGGTTGTTATGTAACAGATTTTTTTATTATTCGTTAGAAAAGAAAAGAATGTTGTACTCTGAGTTGTTTCTCTTGTATCCAAGATAACCCTTGGTATAATTTGTTGACTTTATGATAGCATGTAGTCTTAGACAATATGATGCATTATTATGCCCGGTGCGTGATTGTTAGAGGAGCAGATAAAATAGCTTTTGTTTATAATTGGCAACCAACTGTATATCGGTGAGTTTAACTGCACACTTTCGAAAAAAGAACGAAGATGATAAAGGATTTAAATTATTGAATTGAAGTGTCGTATGTATAATCTTTCTATCACATCGTTTTACTTTAAATTACTACTAAATAAAACAATATTAATATTTATTCTATGTCGTTTTGTTTGAGAACCATTTCGGTCAATTTATTCTACAGTCTTTCGTATTTTACTTATTGTAATCTGTTAGAAATTTCGATTACAATTCAGAAAAAAGTCATATATTGCAATGAACAATGTTTCATCCTTTACATACTAAAGGATATCAACATTTAAGTACAAGTGTACATAATAACAAACATATGAAGGAATATACCGACTGTAATTCTTATTCAGATAAATATATTACTAACAAAATTAAAAAGGAAACATGATTTCCCTTTCCTTGATGACATAATTACTATTCATTTAGTCTTAATATATATTTCATATAAAATACAATTCTTATATCTGTAAGTAAAGTTTTGAGTTTCATTCTACGCAGCACTCGCGCTAGCGGGAGGAGGGATGGGGTAGGGTGTATACCTCCCCCTCCCCCCAATAATTGAAAATTTTTGTTTTTTTTCAACGACGGGAGCTGATTTGGAACAAATTTTGTATTTTTTTTAGCAAATTTTGCTCTAAATACCCTTTTACATCCCTAAAATTTTTTACACTCTTTCAGAAACCGCTCCCCCCCCCCAATCTTAGACCCTTCGCGCGGGCACTGGTTATACGAGATAATATTGACGTTAAACTAACATAACCATATGTAACTTATTACAATTATTCGGATTACTTCTGTCATTAAACTATTTATATATACTTAAATATTGTGCAGGAAAAAAAGCCGCATCTAAAATTGGACAGTCATATTATTTGCGCACAATAAGGTAGCACGTGTCACTTGTTTCATGTTTCTTATTATTTATCATGATGAAAGAAGAGAAAGAAATCTGACGAACACGAGTGACGATAAAGATAAAAAAAACTAATAGAATCGAGGAAAGAACAAGAAGAAAAGATCAGAACCAATTTATTCGCATACGAATAAACGATATGAATGATTTGTATATTCAAATATTAACAATTTATGTCAGGTATAATTTGAAAAATTTCAATCATTTTTATAATATTAAATTTCTAATTATAAACAATCAATATCCTATTGTTGTTTTATTTTAGGCAATAATAATTATCAATGTCTACGGATTTCACCGAAGTTCCTGAGAATCGAACAGTTTCAGGAAAGTAAGTATTTCAATTAGATTAAATTTCTTTAACAAAGATTTTGTATCCCAGAATTTCTTGAGTTCATATTCTATAATATTTAGTTCTATTTTTACACTAATGAGTTTAATGTTTCTATATATTAGGTAGCAGTCTCGAATATCACTAATCGGAAACTACCTTAATTTCTGTGTCATATATCGAATAGCCGAGATTTTCTTGATTTAAGTGTAACTAATTAAGTGGAGCGTGTATAGCAATAAACTGTTATCGTGCTAAAGGCCTATGTTATATTAAAACATATCATAAATATGAATATAAATAATAAACTATTCTTTTTTCTATCTATAGGCGAAATTTCTTTGAATATTTATTTATTAAATTCAATACATTTTATGAAAAAATATTTTCATCTGTTGGTGAACAACTTGGTAAAAAACCCTATCAATTTATTCTCATATCATTTATATTAACTGGTCTTTGTTCATTGGGTTTTTTACGTTTAAATATGATTAATAATGCTGAAGTTCTATTTATTCCAACGGATTGTAAAAGTGTATTAGATCGAGAAATAGTCGCTGAAAAATTACCTATGAATTATGATGAATATTATCTTCATCAAGATTATGATTTAGGTATCTTTGGTGATGTTATATTTTTAACAAATGATTATGCAAATATTGGACGTTTAAATATACGTAATGAACTTAAACGTATTTATATACTTATACAAAATATTAATGTAACATATAATAATCAAACATATTCTTATAAAGATCTTTGTGCTAAACGAGATAATCAATGTGTAACTGAAGGTGATATATTTTTTCGTGAATCATTTTGGCAACGTTTAAAAGATAAAGATTTATATAAATATCTTTCAAATGATCTTTATACAGATGATGATGGTGTACCAAATTTATTACCATTTATATTTGGAAAAAATTTAACACTTAATTTAGAAAAAAAATTTTTATTTACTAAAGTACTTAAATTACGTTTTAATTTACGACGAACATTATTCATTAAAGGTAAACATGTTAATATTGAAAACATAAGTCGAATGTGGGAACAAGCTTTCCTACAATTTTTTCATCATTTTAAATCAATTATGGTTCAAGCAACGTATGCAGTTTCAACATCTATTGATCAAGAACTTGACAGTAATATTAAACTAGGTAAATAGACATAATTCGATCATTAATCTATTTAATTTATTAAACTTTATCTATAGATATGATATTAGTAGTTGTAACATTTTGTGTTATGATTATTGTTGCTACAATATGTTTATCAGTTCGTGGTCCATTTGCACAATCACCTGCATATTTATCAGGTGTTGGTGTTACAGCTACAATGTTAGGATTAGTATCTGGTTTTGGTTTTTGTTCATTGATTGGTATACCTATGTGTTCATTGGTATTTGTAACACCATTTTTAATTATTGGTGTTGGTACTGATGATATGTTTCTTATTTATTCGGCATATCGTCGAACAAAAACATCTGAAACAACTGCTCAACGATTAGCAGATACATTTCGTATATGTGGTTCAGGTATAACAATAACAACATTAACGAATGTTATTGCTTTTCTTGCTGGAGCAACAACGAATTTTTATGGAATACGTTTATTTTGTATTTATACAAGTAAGATTTAGGAAAAAACTATATTTGATTTTCTTTTTCTGTTCTCCTAAGGTGCTTCAATGGCTTTTTGTTATTTATATCAAATAATGTTATTTGGTAGTGCAGTTGCTTTATATAATGAATGTATAAGTAACAATCGACATACACTTATTTTATGTCTTGTTGATCGTAAACAACCAACAAATAATCAACGACGTCAACGTCATCATCGACAGCAATGTTTACCATGGAAAGAAATGTTTGTATATATTACAAAACCATTATTTACAAAATGGGGTCAAATTATTGTATGTTTAATATTTATAATTTATACAACTTTTGCTATTTATGGAGCATTACAAATGAAAGATGGAATGAATTTTGGACAATTATTAAGTGATAAATCATATGCAAAAGTTTATTTTGATACATTAGATAAAGAATTTGAACTTTATCCATTAGTACAATTTATAATAACAGAACCAATACCATATTGGAGAAGTGATTATTTAAAACAAATAAGAGATTTAATAAAACGTGCTAAACAATTAGAAGGTAAAACTATTGATTTTTCAAAAGAAATTGTAAATTAAAATTTAGGAATGAATCCGGAATTTGAAATCTCATGGTTTTCATTAATTGGTTATGATGGACAAGATTATCCATTTGATAATGGTACACAATTTATAGAAATAGTTCATGGTTTTGTAAATTTATTTCCAACATTTTCTAATGATCTATTAATTAATAATACTCATCTATTAACTAGTCGTTTTTATTTAAAATTTGGACGTGTTTACTATAATTCACTTGATGGTCATTTAGTCAATCAATTACGTTCTCTTGCTGAACAATCAAAATTACCAATTAAAGGTATTCTATGATTATTTAATTTTATTAATACTCCTCTATTTCTCTTTATTGTAGTTTATAGCAGTCTTTTTAAATATTATGAACAAATGTATGAAGTTATTCCTAATATAATACAAACATTTCTTATTGCTATTGAAGCAATGTATTTAGCAACTTTAATTATAATACCTGATCTTAAATCTGTTCTTATTATAATTTCAACAATGGCTATGATATTAGTAAGTCTTGTTGCTAGTTTACATGCTTGGGGTATTCAAGCATCATCAGTTATGATGATTGAGCTTGTGATGTCAATTGGTTTTTGTTCGGATTTTTGTGTACATATTGTACATGCTTTTTTAACATCGACTGGTACAAGAAAAGAACGTGCACAACAAGCATTAATTAATATGGGAATGCCAATATTATGCGCAAGTTTATCATCAATAATTGGTATTTTATTTTTAGGTTTTGCAAATTCATATTTATTTCGAACATTTTTTGTAACAATTGTTTCTATTATGATATTTGGAGCTATACATGCACTTTGTTTTCTACCAATTATTCTTTCATTAATTGGTTCTCATTGGTCGTCACATATGAATAATAAAATACAACCAAATAATACTCTTCAAATGACAGCAACTATAAATAATGATTCTCAAGCGAATGGATATATAACAAAAAGAGAAAAATTACAAACAAAATCAAATACAATTGAAGAAGAAGAAAATGATGAATTTATGCCAACAACAAGAGATACTTAATAGATATTCGAATATATAGACATTTTCAAAGATAATAATAATGATCTTTACTTTATTAAAATAAATAAGTCAATTGAAAAATATTTTTTTTATTTGGAAATTTCAGAAATACTATATAGTGTCTAATAGATTTAAACTAGCGATCTAAAATATTACTCAAAGATAAATACAGGCGAAAAACTACACGTAAAATTCAATAAAATACTCTCAATATTTGATAATTTTCTATAAATAACGACGGAGTATCTAATTATAAATGACAAGTCTAAAATTTCAATGGAAAAGTACATGTAAACAATCTATTGAATATTTATGAAAAAAAGTAATCTAGATAAATCTAAAATATTTCTAACATTTTTGTATTACTCAATTTGAATTTCTAAACAAAGAAAAACATCATTATCAAAAATCAAGAGATAGTCTTCATCACATGCTGATGTCAAGCTTATGCTAGACACACAATAGTTGAATGTACTTTTTCATATTGCCCTCTAATCTATAATTAGCAACTTCCAGTTCAACCCTGACGATATACTGATAATGATAATGTTATTTTTGCATGAATAATTTCATTAATCTTCTTTTTTTTTTTGATTAAAAAATTTTTTTTCAAAATATAAACTCAAATTGACATACGTAAATAATTTGATTCTGTTGAACAAATTCATTAATTGTTTTTTTCTGACATTCGTTGTAAGATGTGGTAATAAATTCTTATTGAAATAATATTTTGAAAGCATTTCTTTTATTACTATTGAATGTCATGAAACGAACAATTAGTTTATTTTGTATCATATATTCAACACGTTACTATTCATTTCCTCTTGTATTCTTATGAGAGCAAAAAAAAAGCGTAATAAATGAGTATAGATTCATATTTCCTCTATATTGAAATAAAAGTCACATTTTTCTTTTCTTTCATGTAATTAGATTTTTTGAAGTGTAAAAACAACGTAATAATAGATTATTAATTTTTCTTGTATTGTTTTAATCAGAAAAGTAGTTTAAAAGTGCATATTTTTTTTCTATATTGAAAACTAAAGTATATATTTGTTGTTTTATTTTCAATATTTAACTCAATTTTAAATCAATTGTATATAATAGAATGTTTTTTTTCAATCATAAAATACATATTTATATTCGTATATGCTGATGACAGATGACATATATTCTTTGTTGTCTGTCATTCGCACTTATCTTATATTAGCATGTTTTTCTGTCATTCATAGAAAATAAGATGATATTGTCGTTTTTCATTTTATGTGAAAATAAAAATAATAGGTGTGAATCTCTTATTTTTTTTTTAATTATATCTATAAACTAATCAACATATTTAAATAAATTTTATTCATATCCGGAAGACCTAGACTTTTTTTGCACTGAAGTTATAAAGAAAAAAGGATGAATCTCGATCTTCGAATGTCATCAAGTTGAAATTTAAAAGTAAACTTGTCAAGGATAGAATTAATTTAAGTCAATATTTTTTTTGATAATTGATTCATTTATCAACATCTTTATTTGTCAATCAAATATATATAAAAAGATAGAAGAATAAAAAATGCATTAGAAATTAAGTCTAAAAATAAAGCAAAAAAAAAGATTACTTTTGATGATTATGCATGGTAAAGTATGACTCATACTGAATGTTCTTTTATAAGAATTCCGACCGATAGTATAAACAAACCATGCCTAAAGATCTATTTATATATAAAACAAAATACAGGCAATATACATCAATGATTCATTATTTTTCTTCGTCTATCTCTTATTACAATCTTGTTTTTTGTCAACAAATAGTGATAATCAATATATTGCAATTAGCCAAACTATCGACGTGTTATGAGTGTGATGACACAAACGACGACTATTTAGATAATATTATACAGGCAGACATGTGCATGTTAAACGAAGAGTACGTTTAAGTATGAGTATGATTTAAGTACAAATCAGAAGAAAAAAAATATTCGTAATACATAGAAATGAAAGAGGAAAAGCAAAAAAAATAGAGCAGGAAAAAAAAGAAAATACAGAAAGAAAGAAAAAGTGACTGTGGAACTAGAAGAACGACTCATCGGAAAAAAAGAAAAAAAAGGCCAACATGATGATAGATGAAAAAAAAGAAGGTTTGAGTACGTCAGCTCGAGAGTTATTTTGTTTTTCCTTTCTATTACTAACCAAACTAAATGAAAGTGATGTATAAAACATTTGAGAACGAACACTAATATTCTCTTAAGCACATGACTAACATTCTTCCCATAGCTGGTATACAATCATTTTTATTCGATTTCTATCTCTGATATATGAAGAAGAAGACGAAAAAAAAACCTACACGTATAGTTGATCGAACTGAAAAAAATAATCAAAAGATACTTAGTCGAGCGTAACGTTTTCGTTTCTTTCCGGTATACACATATACATTTTATTTTTCGATGACTATACATGTGCATACATAGATAGCTTATTTAATGTTTTCATGCAGAACGATTATTCGTTCGTTATAAAGTTTTTATCCGTTCTATACGATTGGTATATTCTCTTTTTGATTCATGTCTACATGTTTTTTTTCCTCTTCTTCTTCTTCTTTTGTTTAGACGATAATGCTCATATGCTTATTATCGACTGTTATTTTTGAACAAAATGCGTTTTTATAACCCATTGTATACACGTAAATGGACTAAAATGTTTTCACCAGTGTCAACGTTTGTCACACAATTAAGTAATTATAATGGAATGTTCTCTTTTTTTTCCTCTTCTTCTTCTACTTGGATTAGTCATCTAAGAATAATTGAGAACGAGAATGTTACGTTTCTTTTCTTTGTTTAACAAAAAAAAAAAAGAATAATACGACACTATTTTGTTATTATCTTAATATAGTTAATGTAAACAAATGACTATAGTTTCAGTTTTATATTGACTTATTTTAAAGCAAAGGAGGATTTCGTAGATTAATAATAAATATGATGTATTTTTTTATATTTCAGGTAAACAATTAGGATTGCAGACATTATTCTTAGGAAAAGATCTTAGCAATGAATTTTTAATTAATACAGATACAATGCCTAATGGACATGTTAATAAATCAACACCGAATAATAACGATTCGAATTCTTTATCAACATTTTTTTCTAGTATGAATTTTTCATTTCGACCTCGTTCACCATCAAAAACTTCCTACGGTAAACAATCACGACAATCGTCATCATCAAAAACAACAAAATTTTATAAAAAAAATCGTAATCAAAATATTAAACAAACAGAAAATAATTCTATTTATCATCAACTTAATATACATACAATTAATGATGAAAATAATAATAATAAAACTTTAAATGAAACTAATCAAAATTCCGTTATTATTAATATTCCACCAGAAACATCTTCACAATCGAATGATGATACTGATAAATTTATCTTTACATTTGAACATTTTCTATGGATATTAATTTTAACACTTTGTTATTTTACTTGGTTTATATTTATTGCTGGAATATCAATAATACATATTGTGTTATATTCAATTATAATTTTTCTTTATTTTTTATCAGATCGTACAAGACGTTTTGCATTAGCTATATTAGTTTATTTAACATATTTACTTTTATATGATGCATTACATTTAGTACCAAATTATACAGTATCAAAAGTTCATATACTCGATGTTTATTTAATAGAAAAAAAATTTTTTGGAATTTATAAAAATGGACATTTAATGACATTAAATGAATATTTTCGATTAAATCATATACCTATATTAGATATTATTTCTGGACTATGTTATCTTAGTTGGTAAGAAAATATTTGTTTTTTTATCTCATTGAAAATATTCAATAGAAATTCCAGATTTAAAGAAATATAATTTATTATAATAAGTATATGTGAAGTTCTTTTTATTTATAACGACTTGATCATATGATTAAATCTTATATTATAGCTCGTTTTTAATTTATTCAGATAGTTTTATAGGATCATTATGAAAAGCATGGGTAATAAAATTTTTGCACTTTCTTAGTTTAAAAGAAGGATAATATCTTTTACGTCTTTTCTTTGACAGCTTTATATAGAAATGTGTCTTGAATATTAATAGAAGTTTATGAAAACATGTTTATAATGCTGTATGAATTGAAAAGTTGTACTTGTCATATTCAGTGTGTAAGAAATATTATCAGAAATTTTCATGATATATCTTCTAGAATCAAATTTTTATCAATTGCACTGACAGGAATATTTGTCGAAAATAGTTTGCATTATAAGCATTCTTTCACATCTATTATATGATCGTAGATCATTCTAACCTATAATCTATATAATAAATATCATATTATTCAATATTTTTATTTCTAGGATTCCAATACCAGTAGCATATAGTTTATATCTATATCGATATAAGAGTAAACGAGACTACGCTGATTTTGCATTCACATTTCTATTAACCAATATATGTGGTTTTGTTGTTTATTATATTATACCAGCAGCGTAAGTCTTTCATTTCTTTTTCTTATCATTTTACAATTTATATTTTTTTTAGACCACCATGGTATATTGAATTATATGGATTCAATATGAATATGAAGGCGCCTGGTAGTCCAGCTGGTTTTATACATTTCGATCAGATAACCGGAATAAAAATATTTTCATCAATGTATTCCAAAAATGCAAATGTTTTTGCTGCTATACCATCTTTACATGCAGCATATCCAACAATAACTGTTCTCTATGGTTCTTTAAGTAAAAAACTTTGGCTTCATATAGGATTTGTTTTTTTTACATTTGGTGTTTGGTTTTCTGCTGTTTATTCTGGACATCATTATGTTATCGATGTTCTCGCTGGTGGTACATGTGCAGTAACAGCTTATACATTATATCGTCTTATATCTCGTATTCCAACAATAAATCGATTACTCGTGGCATACAGTAAATTAATCTAAATAACAATATATTGTTATTTGAAAAAATCTTTTTGATAATGTGTGAATGGCGATTGTTGCTTGCTTTTCATTTAAAATCGTCAGATTCTTGTTTATGCAAAAAACATAAAAGCAAACATATTTCATTTTTCTTTAACAATAAATAAAAATTCTTAAAAAATATATTCTTTTGTTTAATAATAATTAGAAAAAGTTTGAAATTTTTCTTTCATCTCTTTCTCGAACGTGACAGTTGTCTTTATTTACAATAAAAACGATATTAATGTTCAATGAAGCATGATCAATATGTAGGCGAGATGTTTTTTTCATTTAATATAACATGCAGTTTTTTTTTGTCTCGATCAAATTGTTCATAATTTTATATCATTCACAGACTGAAAATATCTCCGCTTTAGAGTTCATCAATTTCAACTACCGATAAATATGATTATCGTTTTCGTAAATAATATGTCTGATTTAATTATCACAACTACATAGTCATTTAAATTTAAAAGCAAGATAAGATATGATGCCTATCTATGACAGATGAAGGAGATTCATTTTGAAAAAGACGAGTGATATATGATGAATTATGTTATCTTTTGTAATAACGATACAAAGACGAAGAGTATATTTTACATACCTGAAATAATTTCAGAACATTTTTTTTTTCAATCCGAGAATAAAAGAAGAAAAAGAATGATCGTTATTTTTGTTTACATTCACATATTTGACATTTTATGTATACTTCAATCATTATTGATGAAAAATCTATTGGTCTTTATTTTAATTTTTGTATGTAAAAAAAAATGTATGTTCTTTTTCCATGAACTTTAATGATTTTTCAACCATGAATGAAGAAAAACTTTCATTATTTAAACTTGTGATAGACACTTTTGAATATTTTATTGCGAGAGTTGTTAAATAAAAAAACTATTATTACACTATAAAATTTTTTCACAAGAAAAAATAACGTATACTTCAATCTATTATGCAATATGGGTAGGTGTTGAAGTGGTGTTGTACTAAATTTATAGCTTGTTTTTTAGATAATATCTTTATTTTACATAAGAAATTCTAGATTTTGCAACACGGAAAGAAAATTAGAAAAAAAGGTGAGTTGTCTAGAGATCTGAATGCTAATTGATGTGACTTTACTCTAGAGCATGAGTTTAAACAAGATGAGATTTTTTTTCCCAATTGTATAGAATATTATTCTAACAATCGATGAATGTTTCTTCAATATTAAAGGTTGATTTATAGATATTGAATAGTTAAATTGTATCGAGTACTAAAAATAGTTATCTAATTTTTTAATTTAAAACCATTCTTTGATTTCTTTCCATCGTGAAACCTCAATTAAACGTATTACACCTATTTTTCACTGGTTATGCTTATGTCCAATAGGTAAACGTATGTCATTTTATTTATTCTGATTACTATTTTTTCCTTCTCGTCTTGTTCTGTTCTACGTTTTCTTTTACCTTTTAGAAGAAAAACACTTTTTTTTGTTTTCGCGCTTACTGACCACGTATTTGTCTCTCTCTCTCCCTCTCCCTCTCGCTTTCTCTCTCTCTCTCGCTTTTCCCTTATGTTGGTTTTCTTCATAGATGTTTATTCTAGCTTTTGCATTGTTCTTGTGTGATATAACGGTCTTTCATTTGTCTTCCTTCGAATACCAAACAAATGCTCTCGCGACTTGTGTAATAGTTTGTTTGTCACAACATCTCTAAAAGGTATTCTCAAACGAAATATTTGAGCAGATGTATCATCTTTTTACATAGAAAAAATGTTTGTCTCATGAACGTTTAGTTGATTTTGACAGTGACCTCTGCACCAAGTATTTGCTATGTGTGTATGTTTGTTCATGGCACAACAAGGTCGAATAGGTGCGCATATCTATTCTTCTTTTTTTAAATAATAAGAGAAAAAAAAGGATTTTGTCTTTTAGTAGTTTTAGAAGAATAAGGTAGTCAGGTATGAATGAAACAATAGTAACAATGTTGTTTTTTTCGATCCGTAGTCATTATTTTGTTTACCATGCATGATTATTGTTATTGTTAAAATAGAATTAAGAAAAAAGAAAGATAGAAAAGTAAAATCGTATATATATAGTTTAAGTATAATTTGTTTTTGTAGTCAATTATAAATAAAAATTAATGATAACCATAAAATCATGAATAATAGTACTTGATTTATCAGTCTTTATATATATATATATATATATTCAAGTTTGAGTCATTTTGTTCCATGTAGTTTTTCGTTTTTTTATTGTAGACAGAGCACATGACGGCGATAAAAAGAATAAATGATTCATCGTATTTGTTGGCTTATGCGCTCGGAGGTCTTTTTTTTATTATTAATATTCTGCGATGTATGTGATTTGTTTGCACTTGTTCTTTCCTTTATGTGTCACGGTAGATCTATCCTTTTCTCCACTTTCATACAATCATTGTACTAATTTAGTATAATAGTAGAGAAGTGCACACACACACACACATTTGTCATGAATGTTCGATTAAGAGTATAAAACAGTTCATATTTGCTTGAGATTTTACTTTTTTTTTTCTTCTTTTTCTTCTAATTACATGGTAAATATTCAACTATGATCAGCTTGCCGTCAGTCCTCGTCCTAGACAGATCGACGAATAATATACATAAATCTTTTGTTCTATTATAGGAGTCACATCGAGAATCTTTTGTTAAGTGCCTTCTGGGCAACACATGGATGTATTTAGTACTTTTTTCTCATTCATCATTTCTGAAATGAACGAGTAATAATATAGCAATCTTCTATAGTTCACGGTCTACTTATCTATCGGCTATATATATTACCTTCATATTCTTGCTTTGATCGCATGTTTGCATCTTTTATCAAATAAATATGATGCAACTATATATACTAGAAGTCAATACTTACCAGACATGAACTCATTTAACAGATTAAACTCAATGAATGTTTCAATTTTCAATATATATACATATGCTATCATTATATTTTTTATTATTATAATTGCCTCTTCACACTTTGAACTGTACAGTAATGATCGATTCGCCTGAGTGTTTGTAAAACTGATTTTCTTTACCCTTTTTTTTTTACATTCTTTTTTTTTCCTTCTTTCTATTTCAATTTTTTTTTGTTTGAACTTATGAGTATAGGTATATAGGTAGGTAACATAGTTTCTTTTCTCCTGTGTACACACATACGTACATATATATATATACGTGAATAGGTTGAACTGTCTTCAACATGTCACAAATGGAAGTCGAACTTTTCCTCTGTCGCATACGACTTTTTTTTTGCCATTCTTTTAATTGGCCTACTGAATGGACAGAAAAGCAAAAGAAGAGGAAGAGAGAGAGAAAAGGTGAAGATTGCATCGTTAACATGTCCTTTTTGTCCTCGTTGTGTAGTGCAGCAATAGTAGATAAATAATTGTGTGAATGTTTGCTCGGATGTATACTTAGCAAATGAAAGTTCTCTTTTCTCCTTGTTCTTTTTTTGTTTTAGATGTTTCTTCGTTGAGAGCATGATATTTCCGATCATAATAAACACTAATACCATACAGAATAATTATGATGGATATCGATTTAAAACAAGTATTTTCAATTCTTGACGAAAACGACGAAGGTCAAATTCAATTACGACGTTTTGTTGACGTTGCTAATAATTATTATTCTGACGCTGAAGTAAGTTCACTTTCAAAAATTTCAATATAGTGAACTTTTGTTAAAAGTAATATATACTTTAAAACCAATGTCAAGCAAAAGACTGTTCATTATTGAATAGGATACAAAATAATAAACACTTTTTGAAAGTTAAATGTATGCATCTATATGCCAGTTGTTTCATTCTATTCTATCTACACGAGTCAAACATAAAGGTCAACGGATTATTTCGTATTCTCTCTGTCACCATTGTATAATATTTCAATTTTTGTATGTATTTTCTTTCTTTTTTAGCAACTTGCGCGTATTACAAAAGCATTAGATCCGACTAATACTGGTTTAATCAATTTTGAACAATTTTGTGAAGGCATTGCTCAAATAAGTTCATTGCAAGGTTTAACATTAAAAGAAGTTGCATCCGATTTAACACGTCGTAGTCGTGAAAATTCCTTAGTTGAAGATTCTGATCGACGAAGTTTGGTAAGATAATATTTTATTTAAAGAGAGCAGCTACAAAAAAAAAACGATAAGAAGAAGATAAATTAAGATGAAAAAAAAAACAATCATCAAATTTTTTCTTTCTATATTCTATAGAAAACGAATAATGGTTTTGATTTCTCTTCCCTATCTTCTTGGCCTAACCTTATACAAGAAGAGGTGATAATTAAATTATATTTCTGCTTATTTATTTTTGCTTTTTTTTTCCTTTATAAATGTTTTTTGTTTTTCTTTTCATACATACACCTGTTATTTTTCTCTTTCGATGTTTCAGTATCAAGAAGGCAGTGACGCGACTTTCAACGAATACGACGTTGAAAACGACGAAGCATTCCATCCCACTAATCATAAAACACAAATAACAAACAATCGAACACCTTCATTAATAAATAGTACAACGAATACAAAAAAACCTAATAATCAGAACAGTAATCGAAATAATCAATCAATTTCACCAAGATTAGAATCACCATTGTAAGTTAATTTCATATAATTAATTATCGTATCCTTTTTTTTCCCTAAAAACTATATTCGACTAGTCTGACACTAAGTCGAGCTTTGAAATACTGACACAAAAAAAATGAGGTATCTAAATATAGATCCTTTTATTAAATTAAAGAATATTTTATATTTAACTAAGATTTATTACAAAATAATGCTCTCGGGAGATGGTACGTTTTTCTATGTCGTTAAAAACTATATTTGTTAGACAATATCTCGTTTAGAATCTTTTTTTATCCTGCAGGTATCTTAATTAATATTAATGATTGAACAGTTTTCGTTTCGATCTGAAACATTTTTGTGTATTTACATTCTATTCTACTACTAGGCATAACATATAGAGAATAATTGCATATATATGCCAATTACAGGAAAGAAATACAATAGTGATATATATATTTGAGTAATCTTGAATATTGACATTCACTAGAATCTCAATAGAATTATTTGACTTTAAACTTATTGTGAAGTGCTCTACTCAAACATGTTCTTTCATTCGTAAGAAAATCTCAAATGGATTTTTTGAGAGTCAAAACGACGATATCTTAAAAGATAAAGAAGAAAAAATAAATCCTCTTTTTTCCTATAGTTACGGTGATGATGAAGAATTTGTAGCTGAGCCAACTTCCAGTATCTACTCAACTGACACTGCACATCCTCGAGCTCCAGTTCAACGTATCCCGTACGTCGTTTTTCTATAACTATTTTTAAAATAAGTTTTCACCATAAATAGTCAACCGTTCAAACGAAATAATTATTTGCAACCCGTTATATCACCCGAACAACCTGAACAACAATTACAAGAAACAGTATGTAGAAATTTTATTCGAACAAGAAAGTTATGAATATTAATTTTTTTCTTCAGGTTGACGAACTACAAAAAACTGTTGAAACATTAACTGAACAAAAACACAATACAACAGAACGTCTAGCAAAATTTCAAAGTGAAAATAGTGAATTAAGAAGCAGGTAGAAAATTTGAATAAAATCGAAATAATTTTATTATTTATTTTCTTTGCTATAAAAGACTTTTAGCACTTGAAGATCGTTTTCACGATCTTGAAGGACAACACACACGTACAACAAAAACTGAACAACAAAAATACGCCGAATATATTGTAATTTTAATTAAATTAATATATTTTATGAAAATTAAAAAAAACTTGTTTTTTCTTTAGAATCAAAAAGATCGAACATTTCTACAAGAGAAAGAAATTTTACAGACAAGGTAAAAGACTATTCTGCTCTGTTTGTTTTTTCCTCTGTTTAATTTCTTTCAAAATAATTTACATAATTGATTTTCTGTTTCTAGCGTTATGAGGTTTGTAACCCTTTTTTCCTGTTTTGTTTAATATCACTTTCCACATGTTTTCTTATTATTTAAACATCCTTTCTTTCATCTTGCCTATGTGTGTATTGAGTGAATGGTTTCTTTTGTTATAACTGTAGTTCAGTTCTTAGTAGATATTAGTATACTTTTAACACTTTTTAAAATTAGTAATGAATATATTCTTTGATCTTTATTATTCTTCTTTTTTTCTTTTAAGGATCAATGCGATCGAAGCTGATCTTAAACAGACACATGATGTAAATGGACAAATGAAAAAAGACGTTAAAGGGTTACAGCAGGTAATGTTCAACAAAAGAATAGCATGAAATCACGTCTGCACTGAAGACAAATTAGAATCGTCGCAGCTCATTTTAGGGTTCAAAAACGAATCGCTAGTAAACCTTTGATGTTGGACAGTGTATGTCCGTGAGATGTTAATAATCGATACGCCTGCGACGTTTTGTCCGGTCATCTTAGAATCAATATCAACATGAGTTTTAAAGCGACATTATGCTACTAGAGATATAATACTAAGATTTTCCGATCCGTCTTATGTGTGATACTAACTTATTATTTTTTTTAGAAACTTGAAGATGTTGATGTTCAATTACATAATAGTCAAATTCGATGTAACCATTTATCAGAAGATAATGATAAATTATTAGAACAATTACGTCTCCAACGTGAAGAACTTGAAGCAGAAAAATTGACCAATGCACAAGTAAAAATAATTGATTTTTCATTTTGTGTTTATATAACACAAAAGAAAATTTGATTTTTTGCTCTTTTATAGCTTGCTGAACAATTAACATTTGAATCATCACGTAAAACATTCGGTCGTACATTAACTCGAACTGAAAGTATTATAAAAACATCGGAAATACGTATTCAAGATCTTGATGCTCAAGTTCAATCATTAAAACTAGTATATATCATTAGAAAAAAAACCCACCAAACACATCTTTTGAATTTTTATAGGAAAATGAAAAACTTAAATATGAAAATGAAGAATTACGAGAACGTGCGGTTGCATCGTATGTTTTTTGATACAAAAAAAATCTAGATTTATCGAAGAAAAATTTTATTTCTATTCTAGTGGTATTCATGAAGGTCGAAGATTAATGGCTAATCCAGATACACTTTCTTATGCTGCTGAACTTGAAGTTCTTTCTAAAGATGAGGTATGAAAAAAAAGTAGAATTTCTAATCTATAGGTGAAAAAGCTCAAATAATTTTCTAAAAATGTTTCTCTCATATGCATGAAAGTGTTTAATATCTTTTTTTTTTAATATAAATCTTTGCAGCTAATGAGCAAATTGAGAGAACAATTTTCCATTAACGATCGTTTACGAGAATATATCGAACGAATGTTAACTGTTATCATCGAAAATAATCCTCAATTACTTGAAGTAACAACTAGTAGTGGTGTATCAATTGGTTCTATGAGTATGTCATCATTATCATCAACAACAACACCAATAGAAAATAAAAATTCCAAAACAATTGAATCAATTAAAACTGATTCATCTGTAATAACAAACAAGCAAACACCAACGGACAAGTATTGTCGCCTGTAACGTCGAATTTCTCCTTTATTTATGCCTAATGCTTCTCTTATACGTTCTAACCCAAGCCATTTTATTCTTTCGTATGCGCTTCCTTCTTATTCTTTGTTGTTGCTTCTATGGGGGATATTTAGTAAAGCACTTTTATTATCTATATCTTCATAGTTTACTATATTGCATGTGTGTTGTTATATATATATATATTCTTTAGCACATCTCTACATATATATATTCACTTGATATTGAATAATGAAAGATTTTAATATTTGCCTTTATTTCTTTTTATTTTAGCTCATAAATATGAACCGACGTTTGAAAGAATACATCGATTCTTTATTGATACAAATTCTTGTCAATGATCCGACAATACTCGAAAAACAGTAGAAAATGAATACATATATTTCATTCGCATTTGTATAGATTTTGTTTTTTGCAAGAGAATGTTTTGTGTGATTGCAAGCTTATTTGATTTCTTCTCCTGTCCCAATATATATTCAAAAAAGAAAACTTTTTTTTGATTGTTTTTTATCACTAGTCACTCTGATGTAATTCATCATGTATCAAAGAGTGATTTTTCTTTTTTTTTCGTTTTATGCTATTATTATTATACATTCCGTCTATTTCTTTTTTTAATCGATCAGTATATGAACATTCCACTGTTAATCAAAATGAGTCCATGAATATTGTAGTTGTCTCGTTTCTTTTTTTCACTTGGCATTTTTTTTTAAAAAAGGCATTTGTTACATGTCATGTTTTTTTTTCGAACCTATCTGTTTTTGCCGGTTGTATGCGTATATATCTTGTATAAAAGAAAAATAAAGAAGTACTGGTTTTGGTTTTTAAAAAATAATGATGTCATTTTTTCTGTTCTGAAAACAGATGGCAGAAGAATAAGAGAGATGATTATATTTATGAATTTCATTGGTTAATAACATGACGTCAGTATGAGAAGAGATTTTTCATCGATGAATCATATGTTCTAGAGAAATTATTTCTCTTTATATTCTTTATATAAATTTATTGTCGATCTTATATTTCTTCGCATACAAAACAATGAGTTTTCTTGGTAGTCTCGGTAAAAAAGCTGTAGAAAAAGCTTATGATCTTGCATCAAAAGTTGAAGGTGGTCGTGATTATTTAACAACTGCTGCGAATACAGTTAATTCATTAGTTAAAGGCAAAGATGCTCGGTAAGATGAAAAAATCTTAATTAAAGTTTTCCTTATATATATATTTCTTAGTGTTTATTTAAAACCTGGTAATGTAATACAATTTATATCACGAGCATCGAATCGTTCAATACAAATTGTTGTTGCAAAAGAAACAAATGAATTAATATGTGATGCTATTGGTGGCACTGGTCCATTTTTTCCTAATGCATATTGGTTAGTTGTTTGTGGTCAACATGGTCGATATTATTTTCATAATAATTATAATTATCTTGCAATAAAAAATGGTAAAATTGTTATTATTCCATCATCAACAAGTGAAAAACCACCTGCAGAAGGAGAATTTCGTGTACAAGATGTCTTAGGTTCAGCTCAAGCTATTTATCTTGAATCTGTACATATGCCAGGATATTTTATTAGTTTTGATGAAGAAGGTACACTTGGTGATGAAATTAAAACAAAGACAAAAGAAAAATTTTCACAATTAGAAATTCAATTAGTAAATATATCTATTTTTGAAAATAATAGATTTAATTATAAATTTTGTTTCGTTTTAAGATTGCTTATGGTCCTGGTATTCAACCTGAAAAAGATGATCATACAATTGAAACATCGAATGAAGCATCACCTCCATCTTATTGGGCAGCAGCAAATGCATCGACATCACCAGCATCGAATGAACAATCTCACAATGGCAATAATGCTAAATCACCATCATCATAAACATCTGATAAATTCAAATTTGAATGATTTTCCTTTTGTCTACTGTATTGAAAAATAAATATGTTCGTATTTTTTTTATTACTATTATATATTTTATGTTGTATTTCATGTGCAAACAAACGTTTCTTTTTCTCTTTATATACAAATAAAACGTCAAATACATCTATTATTTGAAAAATATCTTAGTTTCTATTGATTGCATATTATCTAATCAATAGAACTAGCAGTGTCAAGTAAAAGACAACAAGTTTAGTATTATTATTCTACGTATACCAACTTCATATAGAAAATATTACTTCATGAAATGACTAGTTTTTTCAAACAATACGAAAGCATTTGAGTCTAAATAATTGAAGAGCATACCCATTTCCGAAAATGAACGAAATAATATCATAGGACTGTTCGAAAGAGTTTTGTAATGAATTCTCGTTTCATCTATCGGTATAATATTTTTTTTTATTTATGTGGGTAGTAACAATATGATTAAAGGAACTCTGAAACTAATTTACGAATATAATTACTCGTACTTGTACTCGTATTATTTCATTTCTTTACTAGCAAACATACTTGACTTTTACTTTATTCTATACAAGTAAAGAAGCACTTAGCATTAACTAATTATGTATTTCGAAGTCTAGATGTATGTTCACTAATTGAATGTATACAGATCTAAACTGATATCTTTTCTTGCATATATATTTACAAGTGCATCTAGAAACGACTCTTTATTATTTGTATGATAACCAACGATCGAACGGCATATCTATTCAGCCATCCACCCACACCAACACCTATAATTCAATTCTTCATGTTGAAAGCTATAACATTAACTCAACGAGCCACGAAACTTATAAAAATACTAGTACAGTAAAGTCTCTCTTAGATGAACACCGTTGCGACTTTTAAAAAGTGTCCAGTTTTGAAAGCTGTTCACCAATAGAGATTTTACTAAGAATACAACTGAAGAACATTTCTAATGTTAGTGAATACGATAGCAATCATTCACTTTCTTTTCATCTACAATCCAATTCAAATCTTCTCTTATTCTCGCTAAGAATCTCAACATTTTCACTATTATCCGTGACTCTCTTGTATTTTAGCTGATAGTATATGTCGTTAAATTTTGTCTATAATATGTATTCAGAAGCAATATGTAACGTCACCTATTATTATTTATCTTTTTCATTGGCTATTAGTTTCTTTCAAACAAACCAGTCAACGACTAAGAAGGAAAAGAAAGCAATCACGACAGACAGAACTAAATACATTTCAATATATTTTCATCGTATGACCTTTTTCCTGTTAACTTAATCAATGAAATAATATTATTTTCTCAATAGTATTCAGATGTTATTTTATATCTAATATATATCTATATATTAAAATTGATCGATTAAATCATGAGACGTTCAGCAATAACAAATAATGACAATGATAATAATCAATTGTCAACAACAACAACAACAACATCATCATCATCATCGGCAATAACAAATGAAATAAATAATCAGCAACAAAAACGTTCATTAGAAGATTATGGTTTTCTAACGAACTTAAAACGACGTCGTCATCTTTCACCACAAAATTCTAATATAGATATTAATAATGATACTGATAATGATACAATATCATTACCAACTATTAAAAAAAAAACAAGAACAAAATCGAAAAATCGATCAATCTTAAATGCATCTAATGATACGAATGATGAACATAATTCAGCAAATGATAGTCAAACATCTCGTGTAAGTATTGTATATTAGACAATATAATAAATCATATGTTTATCTTCCCTGTCTTTATTGACGTAGTAACAGATAAGTAGACAAAACAATCTGTACTTCAATTGAACTTATCAGATTTAAAGTCACATATGAGAACCTGTTTTAGGAAAGGAAATGTTTTTGATTCTAGAATGTGTTAACATATATTCGAGATGTAGGATACGATAAAATGTTGTCAATACTTCAGAATTGTGCAGAAAACGGTTTGTCTATAATGCAAGACATGGATGAAATTCATATCACTTACAGTTCCCAATTGAGGACTGTTGGTTGATTCTGTCTGTAAAACTAAAATCGTTTGTTTATATAAAACATCATCAATCCCTCATTTTGTATAACATGATGTACTTCCCAATCAAGTACCATAGATAAATGTCAATCAGTTTTTCATATTTTAAATAATGGAATTTAATAAAATTGATTGATAAGACAAAAGTCATCAGGATATGTTCTATAAACGTGACCATGAAAACAGATGACGTTGACAAATAAAAGATAGAAGTCGAACATATGTTAGTTCTTCCAATCTCTATTCAATATGTAATTCTTCTTTCTATAAATCTAATTCATTTCTGTAGCTTCTAAAAATCTTTTATTTATTTAGAAAACTTCATCTCGTCATACATTATCATCTCAACATATGCATGAAATAAGTTTACCTAATTGGGAACGTATGTGTCCAAATATCGATCAAATATTATCAAATAAACATGCACAATCAGGTGTATTTGCTCATGAAGTTCAATTAGTTCAACAAGAATTAGAAGCACTTTTATCTATGTCAATAGTACGTGAAAATATTCTTAAAGATCTTTATAATCCACCTGTACATAATTCGGATACAATACGTTCAAAAATACGTAAACATCAAGAAGCTGAACGAATATATTCATCAAAAAAAATACCACAAAAACCTTTACCACCATTAACAAATCAACATCATCAACGACATAATGGATCACATTTATTACTTGATAGACAAGTAGCAATGACACCAATAATTGGTGCACAAATTGATCGTGTATGGTCGGATATAAATACATTTTATCATGAAATATCATCAAATGATATTTCAATGATAGAAAATCTAGTCGAATTTAATCATCAGTTGGAAAATAAATTAGAAAAATTTAAATCGGAATATAATAATCAAGTTATTGAACAATCAAATATTATTGAACAATTAAAAGAAGAAAATTATGATCAATTAGTACAAATATCACAATTAAATCCATTAGTTACATATTATGTTGATAAAACAACAATAGGAAATTTTCAAACAAATATATATGAACATATGGGACAAACATCTCCGGTTTATCGAACTCCTATATCAAGTCCAATGCATGGAAGAATATTAGGCAATAATTTTGATTCGAAAGATAATGGAGCAGCATTACGTGTTTCACCACGTTTACATCCACATGAATATTCAAATAATAGAACAGGATTATTTTCATTGCCTAATGTAAGTTGATGTTTATTTTCTTTTGGATATCTGTATTTCATAAGATAAATTCTTTTAGGCTAAACTTGACGATGATTGTGAAGTAACATCAGTAGCAATAAAATCTAAAAAGAAAAGTAAACTTATATCTAGTCCATCATCAACAGTTAAATTTCAACAACGTTTACAATTAGTTCAAAATTATTTACATGATCAACATCCATTATTGAATGAAACAGTTAAAAGACAATTATTTAGTGATATAAAATCAACAAAAAAACGAAAAACTTCACTTTCAGTTTCTATACCAACTGCAGTTAATACTAATGATCATTGTGTAGATGTATTTCAGTCAAAATTAACAACATTAATATCTTTATTACATGAATGTTCAACAATAAGTTCTTATGCATTAAAACGTGCACGTCTACAATCAGATAATGAACAAACATGGCAAAAATTAAATATTATTGAACGTGATTTAGAAAGTTTAACTGAAAAACTTGATGTAACCGGTGGTTATAATAATAGTTCAAATAATGAAAAAGCATTTCAAAATCTTGCTCAATTATTAACAGATTGGCAACAAGATGAAGAAGAATTTGATCGACAATTAGAAGAATTATTTATTATTGATCAATAGGATAAGCCCGGTTCTTTTTTTAAATTCTTCTTTGTCTGTTTATTTGTTTGTGTTTGCTTGGTTTTTCTTGTTTTACACAGATATATATATATACACATACGCATATATATATATATATTTATATAGCCAACAATGAGACAAAATTCTTATACTGTATGTTTATCTATATCCCTATACCCATTAGTTGTTTTTCATTGTCAGCTTTCTAAAAACGAAAAAAAAAAGTGTTCAACCATTTCTCTATCTATTTTTGTCATTTCTTCTTCTTCTTCTTTTTCTTGTCAATAATTTTGTTTGATGGATTACAGAGACAAAAAAAAACAAACAAACAAACAAATCTATTTTATCGGCCGAAGATCTGTCATATAAAATAATCTATATTGATGTCATTTTTTTTCTATTTAAGATTTGCCAATTATTCAAATCTAATCCTGTTCATAATCGAGAAGCAGCGATGTCTACTACTGCTTCTCGTTATGCGGATTATGGTTCAGCATGTCCACGATGTCAACAAATAATCAATACAATTGATATTACATTTCAACAAGGAATATTTATATATGATTTAACATTTATTCAACAAGAACTTGAATCAGTTCTTGTTGCTGCTTTACAACGTGAGCATGAACTTTTACAAGAAGATGCTGATATATTAAAATTACCATCATCATCAATGATTCGATTAGCAAATGGTAAAAAACCTCGTGATTTTAAAGCTGAACGTGAACGAAGACGCAAAGCACTCGGTGGACAAACTTCAAGAAAACGTCGAATAAAAAAAAATTCAACCAAACATTTTCTAACAACAATTAAACGTGAACGAAATCATAATGGTTCTATATTATCTAAAAAAGATTCTTGGAATTCAAAAATACGTTCAGATATGAATGGAAATTCTTCACGTCCAATACGATCATATCGTCCAATAAGTTTTACATTTCCATATTATTATGAAACCAATTATCGTAATGGAAATAATCATAATTTATCAACAAATAAATTACAATTAAATAATATTCCTTATCCAGATCAATTTTGGACAAAAATTCTAACAAATCAATATGAATTTATTAAGGATGATAAATGTAATTTTATTGATAAATTAATTCATATTGATCAATCATTATTAAATAATTTTGATTATGAAAAAGAATATAATCAATATAAAGATATTATTAATTCAAATGAATATATCTTTTCACATGATAAATATATACATCCAGAATTAGAATATTCAGTTGTAATTAAACAAAATTCACATTTATATAGTTTAGTTGAAAATATGTTAAATAATAATCAACATAAAAATGGATCAACAACAACAAATAATCATCGATTAAAAAGAAAACATTCTGCCATATCAAATAATAACCATAATTCATTACAAATTGATGAATCTATATTGAACCTTTTTCGACGAGAAGAAAAGTAAGATATTAAATAGCTTTAGGTTTAGTTTTTAAGAATCTGGGACTCACTGCATATTTCTGTTGATAGGATATTTCAGATTCGACAATAAATTGTTACACATTTGCATATAAATGATTTGACATAGAACTGAATGATTGAAACAGTTTTCAATATAGGATAAGATCTATTCATCAGTTATACGAAAAAAACAATATCTGACATCGATTCGATAAATCTAACAAGTTATATTTCATATAGGATTGTGTATAAACAACTAGTCTGGACTAGTAATTCATTATATGTGAGCAGTACACACATAAAATTGTAAGAGCAATGTTATTAAGTATATAAATTCGATCCCAGGGGCGGATCTAGCTACTCGGCGAACACCACCCTCTCGAAAATAGATACTTCGACAAATACTGAAAACAGGTAGAGCAGTATAGGTTTCTCTCCTAAAAAAATAAAACTACTTTTCGCTTTTTTTTTATTAACCGTCACCCCCTCATTGAAATTCTGGATCCGCCCCTGTTCGATCCATCAATGATGAAAATGTCTTACGATAGAAAACATGATATTATGCTTACTATCTTTCATCATATACAATCAAATAATATGCTTGTCTATTTCATTATCATTGTATACAGAATGACAAATAAACATTTCTTTGCTTGATACTATTCAGATTGCGTAATCATGACATATAATAAGAGATACTAGTAATCAAGTTTGTCTACTACATCAGAAATAAAATTTAATTTTTCGTACATTTGCTAAATAGTTTCTCTATTTTTTTTGTTTAGTACTTTTACATCAAAATATGCTGAACTTCAACATCGACTTGCTGAATCTCTTAGTTTAGAACGTTTAGCGCTTGATCGTGCACGTAAACAATGTAAACTCGATACGATTCAAATTGAAATCAATGAAATCGATGATAAAATTCTTGAAATAACAAATTCAATTCGTCAACGTAAACGACCAAGTGAAAATGCTGTTTCTCTATGCAAACCAGCAAGTCCAATAGATAATAATTGTACTAATCATCATCAAAATGAAATAAATGAAAGTGAAGCATGGCGTAAAGGACGTCGACAATCAACACTTCGAGTTTATGATGAATTAGCACGTTTAGTTGATGAACGAATTGATTTTGAAAAACAAATCATAGAGATAAATCCATCCATTCAGTTATAATATCCGCAGTCAGATTGGTTTTATTATTGTGTATTATGAGTCGATAAATGGTGCTCAAAGATTAATAAGAAATAATAATTATTTGTAGTAATTTTTTTTTTCAAGAAAACAAAATTATCTGAAATTAATTCTGATTGAATCTCAATTTCTTTTTTTCATGTTGTGTCAGATTTGTGTTGTTATTGTGCACATAAATTTGCTTTTTCTTCTTGTTATTGTTATTATAATATTATTTAGCAATTGTTTTTAGTTGTAACAATTAGCTATTGTTGTATAATTCTAGGGAATTTTCTTTTTTCTTTTTGCATTATAATCATTATTTATTTGTCTTCTAGATTTTTAACTTTTATTTTCATTAATGATTGTTTAGGTAAGTCAGAAGATTAGAAATAGAAAGAAATCTGCTTGTTTTTCTCTAATTGCGTATGTATTCTAGAAAATATAGCCATGATTTTCTTTGCCATTATCTTATATTAAAAGTTTTTAAAATAGAACGATGATTTTTACGCATAACATCCTTTTCTACATTTTGCGTTTTTTTCTCTTTAGAATGAATACGTTTTGAATAATGGCTGACAAACAAAAACGATTTATGAATTATTCATCATTCCAACGAACTGTTGATGAACAAAATCACGAGATAGATTCTCATTCTCAACGACTTATTCCAATTACTACTACTGCTGCTGAACATTTACCCTCATCAACAATTATGTCACAAAAACGACAATATTCTTCAACAAAAAATGATCAATCAGATTTATTTTCAAATAATCATCATTTAATATATAATCCAAATATTCTTCCAATAGCAATAACTACGACGAGTCGAAAACGACCAGCACAAGATAATTCCTATATTCAAGATCATAATGAACATGTAAAGAAAATATTTTTTCTTTTGTCTATTCAAATCATTTTCTATTTAGGTTAATAAACGAATTCGATATGACCAAACAAATAATATTGAATTAGAAAATCAACCACCACGTGCAACAATCAAACGTCGATCTTTATTTTTATATCATCAAGGACAAGATTGGAATAATTTACAAATACAAAATGATATTCTACCATCAACACGTCAAATAAATAATGTATCCTCCTATGAATATGAACAAAATCGATCAAATTATTTTTCTCCTTGTGATTTACATACTGAACATCTACCGAATCAACATTTATATATGTTTGGAAATGATGCATTAATGACTTCTACTCATAAAAGTAAGTAAATATGAAAATTTCGATAAGAAATATTTTTTCTTCTATTAATTCTAGATACATTTCCGAAATCATCTATGAATATGTTTAAAAATAATGTACGATTATTATCTCCACAATTCAATGTTACTAGTCCATTACGTACAACAAATTTTGTTCTTGATAGTAAACAACAAACAATGAGTGCAACTGTATTACGTACAGGAAATATTTCACCAGCACATTCAGATACTTCAACTGAATCAACATCAACATGTTCGTCTGATGAACAACAATTTCATCAAAATTTTCCATCATTTCATTATCAACCATCACGTTCATATCGTGAACGTGAAAATTATGAACAATTATTAGATTTAGCAGAGAAATTATCGGATCCAAATCGTTTAAATAAAGTTGATATTGAACAGTTTATCTCCTATCGTTATAAAACAATAACAACAACAGATACTTCATTATCAAAACAAACAGATTGTGTTATCTGTATGTCACAGTTTCGAAATAGTCAACGTATTCGAGTACTTCCATGTCAACATGAATATCATTCAAAATGTATTTCAAGATGGTTTACAATGAATTCATCATGTCCTATATGTCGACGAGATAATTTTCTCTCAAGTTGCTGATATTTAACTACGTACATTTCGATTTCACTTTTTTTTTTTGTTTATATACAACAGTAAAAAACTTTTATATACTTATAATATTAACAACTCACAAGAAAAAACAAATTTTTCTATGTTTGTCTTGTCTTCTCTCTCTTTACATTTTTTTCTCGCTCTCTCTCTTTCTCTTTATGTTTTTTTTTTGTATGTAAGTGTATCTTTCTTAAGAAAAATTAATCATCAACTAAACATGTTTCTCTCAGGTCACTTTTAAAAATGAAGTTTCTCCTTCTTTTTTTTTATTAATAGCATTAGTACGTGATACTTTACATGGTTTTTAACCTGAAGGGAAAAAAAAACTAGACCGTTCAAGTGTAGAAAAAAGAATATCAACTAAAGGATAGCCTAGGTCCATTTTCATTGCAAGAAAAGGAAAAAATACCGACAGAACGAAAGAATAAAACTGTATAATTAAGAAGAAAAAACGACACATCGAGCATCTATCTTGGTCGTGTTCCTTTTTTCTCTCTCTCTCATTCCCTCAAAAAAAATTTCCTCTCGCATTCGCTTGTTCAGAGCGAACAAGCGTCTGTTCTTCATATTTAGAGAAAGCATATAATACACATGCACAGTTGTCCGGACGAAGTAGGTCTGCTTATTTTTTATTTGTTTATCTATAATGAATGAACATATGAATATATACATGCCTTTTTATTCTAGATGATGATGACACTAAAAGATAATTCCACTAATTCAATGTCTCAACCTATTAGTATGTTAACAAGAAATTTCTTTTTATTTTAATAATTATGATTATGATTTAGATTATAATACTTATTCAACAATAGGTTATAATTATCATCATCATAATGGTTGGGAAAAGCCAAATTATGAAACATTTAATTATCATCAAACTCCATATTCAATTGGAACAATGTCTTCAACAACCGGTGATATAACAAATAAATCTACTAATACATATTCATCATCATTCGATCTAACATCGAATCTTAATAATTCAAATTCAAGTTTATATAGACGTCATAGTATATAAATAATTAGTTTCGTATTATATTATATTTAATCATATTTTTCGTTTAGCTGAATCAACCTTGCCAACATCGGCCTTGTTTCATTCATCCTCGTCGTCGTCGTCGTCCACAACTAATTATCCTTCACCGAATCCATTTAATTACTCAAATACAACGACACATTATCATCCATCAGAACTATTTTTTGGATGGAATCATGGTCCATCACTAATGCGTGCACATAGTGCTTCATATCGAGATTATCCACAATCAAGTAATTTTCATTTACAAAATAAGATTTTATTCAAGTTATCAGAGACAAAAACAAAAAGAATCTATCTACTGTCCTATTTATTGACGAGTAGTGACTACTATTTGCTCCAATAAAATTTTGTACATAGCAATTCATGCTGTTGATAAGAGTGTCCATATATGGTTTCATTTTTAAAGAATATAGATTATACATTACAGTTTATGTTGACTGATTCCTTAGTAATCTAAGTTGATGAGAGTTTCGAAATATGATTGCTATCTACAATTTGCTCGTCTTTCTAAAGCAGACACAAATAGCCTAGAGATTAGCGAAGAAAATTGCTTTTCAATTACTGATTATCTAATATATATTCATTAGGAAAATTTAAATTTTTTGTCCAATAATCTCTAAGAATATATTCGAATTTTAGCTTCATTTCCATCTTACAATCCAATTCATTCTTCTACTTTACAATCAACAACAAATACGAAACCGTCGGATAATCGATCATCAATTCGGACACATACAGAACCGATAAATACACCTATGAATAGTAATAATTATTCATCGTTTCTTAATATTATGCCACCACTACATTTTCCGTTACCGTCACTACCACCATCATCATCATCGGCATCAATTTCTTCGAAACCCAAACATCCTATCTCGTCAACAAGAAAACGTCCTCGTTTAACTGCTCAACTTCGTAGCGAAATTCTTAAACTTAAAGCTAGTAGACCAGCAGCTTTTGTTTGGGAAATTCAACAATCTCTATTACAAAATGATATCTGTACTCGTCAAACATTACCACATGTAATTAATCAATACGATATTTTTTTTCGTATATTTAAATTAAATATCATTTTCTTGTTTCAATAGGCTACAGCTATACAACGAATTCTTAATGAATCTACGAATTCATTGAATATTATTAAACAAGAACCGAAATCCAATGATAATATATTAACACAAAAATCATCGTCGTCATTAACAATCTGTTTATCTCCATCACAATCTGATAATGAATCTGCATCTGAATGTTCAATTTGTCTTGAAACATATCGTAGTGGTCAAGAAGTTAGCATATTATCATGTTCACATGAATATCATTCATCATGTATTAAAGAATGGATGATAAAAAATCGTTCATGTCCAATGTGTAGAAAAGATATTCATAATCAACCCCAATTTGTTACTTTACTTATTTGAAATATTAATGATTTATTTTTGTTTTGTTTGTTTCTTCTTCTTCTTCCGTTGTATATACGAATATATGAATATATATCATTCTACTGAGCTAATATTTGTTGTATGAAAAATACGAGTTGTTTTTTCTTTTTTGATAATTTTGTGATTTAAAAATTGGAATAGGTATATTGGACGTTTTGTTGGCTTTTTTTCTTCATATTAAAATAAAAACGAATGAAAGAGAGATTGATTATTAGAGAAGATTAATATGTGAAAAAAAATAGCAAAATCTCGTTCTTTTTTTTTTATTGATTCATTAGAATATTTTTTCGTTACATCGAAATTATACAATAAATTAGTCTGTCAAAAAAAACTCCCATTGAGTTGTATGAATGATTTTAAAACTGCACACTATGAATTTATTTTGATTATATATTTTTTGTACAATTAAATAATAAATTCAATCAAATATAGAAATAAAATATACAGAATTTAATCTAATGTTAACAAATAGGTAGAAATTATAAAATTAAATAAGAATATTTTTTTTGTGTTTAAATTGTCTTTATTGCAGAAATTTTGTTAAATAAAGATTCAGATGTAAGGAAAATCGAGAATGACTTTTTTAATTAAAACCTAGGGAAATATGTGTACCATAATGAAATACTTCAGGAAAAGTCTAGTACATTATAACATAATGAAAAACCCTGAGTCTATTATTACACAGATCGAAGAGTCTATATCGATAGTCCTGCCAGTGGTGGATGTAGGATTTTGGAAGAGAGGGGCGATTTCTGAGTAGGGGGGGGGTGGGCGATTTTAATTGAAAACTATTTTTGGGTCCAATCGAAGTAGTGTGAATCTATTTTTTTGTTCATTTTTGCTGTAAAAAATCGAAAAAAATTTCTGAATGGGGGCGATCGCCTCCATCGTTTACCCCTAAGTCCTGCCCAGGTATTCGATACTCCATTATAATTCAGGCCAAAATATTCAGCTGAAACTCAAACTTGAGGGGGGGGAGGATTACCTGCTTCCTAATGGTGTAACCAGAAATTTAAGGATGATAGGGCTCAGCTTCAAAACTGTCTAGTCTTTTAGATTCTTTGATTGACAAATTCAGTAACTAGAAAATCCGGGTGATGGGGTTAAACTCCAGTGTAGTTATGCCACTACTGCTTCCCTCTCGGTTTGTAATAGCTAAGTGTACCGACCAAGTTCAAATTAAGTATATTAGAAAGAAATTGCCTTATAATATACAATAAATTCAATTATATAAATCAATTTCTTAATTCAATAATAATATTAACTAGGATTGAATATCTTTTCCACATGACTCATATTTCACGTGTGTATTGATTGATGATGTGTAGCAATTAGATCATTATCAATGGACTATTAAGATTCGGATCAATTCAGAAAATATTATTCTTTTTTTTGTCATTATAGAAGTATTTTTTGAATTTAAAAATATTTTTATGTAGAAACAAAAAACGTGATATTATATTTTTAATTTAATAGTCTTTAAAAAAAAAGTTCTTCATTATTAATAAAAAACAAAGTCATATTTTCTAAACCAACTAGACATCATGAACTATTTTTATTCTATGATATTACTATAAATTACAGATAAATAAGTACAAATGAATTGAAGCAGAATAATTGATAATCAAGGAAATAAATCAGTTTTTTCCTCTGTAAAGTCATTAAAATGTGTGTGTGTGTGTGTTTTCTATATAAATATCATATATTTTTAAGTCTATTAATAACATTAACCCATTGTTTTTTATTTGTCTTTTAAAAATATTCTAACAGGATATAGATGCTATATAAAGATACTATTTCTTTCGCATTTAATTCATGCATGGAGGTAACTAGCTTTCTTTTTTTATTTGCATTCAATACAAATTCTTAGTCTTTTACAATTGAAGAATATTAGTAAGTGTTATTTTTTTTTTTGATAATAGAAATATATGTCTAAGGTTATCTTAACTTTTATCTGAAGATAAAATAATCGATATATAGACTGTAACGAAATATCTTATAAAGAACGATTTACTTTGAAATTGATGAGAAAGAAAGTTTCCAGACTTGTTTTATTTCATCAAATCTATTTGTATTAATAAGAAAAAAAGATATAACTAGTAAATTAGTTAAATAAATAGCCCCTTGAACCTTAATAAAGAACGTCAAGTCTCTATTATTATATAAGCTGCCAGGAATAAATATAAAAATTTCTTCGTCTCAATTCAGTTCAATGATTTAATATTATCTGTTCGTTTTTCTTGATTTGTTATGTATGCTTGAAATATATATAATAAATGCTTAATGTATATCAATTTCCTTAAAAAAATTTCTTCAAATAATATCGTCCATGCGAAAATAAAGGTTTCTTTTTGTTTTATTAAGCTTTATAGGAAAAGAAAATGCCGGAAAGACTAATGGATAGAAATGGATGTATTGTTTTATCTTAGTTTTTTTTTCGTTACTTAAATAGTTATCATTTTACTACTATACTATATAGTTGTGTCTTTAGAATTTTTATCAATAGCTAAGGTAAGTTAACTATAACAGCCCGAAGCGAATTTTGAATAATACGGAGATGAAAATGATTGTCTTCTTCCGCTCATTTCGTCAGTATTCTATCATATATCATACTCAATTGAAATTTCTTTCTTTTTTTTCTGTTCATAAGCCTTATACTCGTTTTTCTGTCTTTCTGATTGTGCGACCGATTGTATTGTCATCAATCGGATCAGATCATGTTCGTTTCAATGAACACACTATAACGAGAAAACGAATGACATTTGAATTCTGATTTGATTCTATATTTGTCTATTAACATTCAAAAATCGACTTCTTCTTCTTCTTTTTTTCTCTCCCTTATACATTAATATAAATTATAGAAAGAAAAAAAATTATTTTATCATGAAAGTACAACAATAATGTAGATATGTGTGTTATTATCAAACTAAATCAATCAGATCTCTGATTGAAGATGTGTGATGTGTATATGGTAAGCGTTCGTATTGTCGGTCCTTATTTCATCATTAATGTTCTACACTGATTGCGATCTTTTTTCTCTTTGTCCTATTAAAGAGTGTGTGCGCATACAAATTTTTGTCGTCGCTCAATAATGATAAGTTCTTTGTAATTAGGTACATACATATACATACACACTATCTTCTTCTTCTTTCCTATTGATAGGCATAGGGCAGACATGCAGAGGCCCTAAAGGAATGCAATACTAATTTTACTTTGATCATTTTAGCGGAATAACTGACGGTGACAGCGACAAGCAAGAACAAGGCAAATTACATTGCGTTAACACCTCGTCCTTTTCGCCTTCGCTCTCTCTCTCTCTCTCTCTCACTCTCATATCTGCTGTCTGTTTTCTTTTTGAACATCATCGTTGAATTGTAGAGATTTCTTTTTTCTTCTATGGAAAAAAAAACTATTTCATAGGCGGACATCATTACACTCGAATGATCATCAACCTCATCAGAATGAGTGCACAGGCACGAAGCTTTTTTCCGACATGTGTATGTCTCTTTTCTAATTTCCAAGTCTAGTTATCGCAAATGTCTATCGGTACTTGTGAACAAGAAGAAAACAGAAATAACAATTTTTCCTTCTATTCAATATACATGTAACGATTGTTAATCAAAAGGAAATGAGGATAATTACTAAAGAAAAAGATTGACTAGGGACTATCCTCATTATCACAAGAAGAAGAAGAATGTAAACCTGCTGTGTTTGATCGATGATATACAATATTTATCCTGATCATAGATGAAGAAAAGAAAACGAAGAAGAATATAATTGTTTAGATCAAAATACACTTGTTTATGGCGTCAAATAATTAAGAAAGATGTATTTATTTAATTCCACCTGCTGTTACTAATGATCGACAATAAGAAAGAGCGAGAGAAAGAACAAGAAAGAGATGTATTCACTAGAGGATTTAAGAATCTTTTAGCTATTTAATAACAATAATAGATATGACAAGGCAAAAGAAAACATTGATATTTATAGTAAAGAATGTAATGACCGTAACAAATAAGAACTTCCATGATTTTCTATAATAACGAACATTACCCTAAAGAAATAACCTTTAAAGGTTTCTGTAATTTTTATAAAACTTTTAAATATAAAGGTCAAAAACAAAGTAGCAAAGTCAATCAACTATATATTCATGTAATAATAGACGAAGAATAGTTTTCCTTTTCAATTAATATAAATAAGCTTTTCTGAAATGAAATTCTAAGGTATCTATTATAGGAAGAAAAGATCTTAGAAAATAAAATATACAAATCAATCTGTGTATAAAACAACAAAAGCAATTAAAATAATCAAATGATTCGTTTTTTTCTTAAGGATATTTATATACAATCCAATAAGAAATAATCATTTGTATTGCTTATAATCCTAATTTTTCAATTGTTATTGACTTTCTCATATGGCGACAATAACAAACGGATCGTTTTTCTTCTTCTTCTTTTTGTTTCTCTCAACCTCTCTCTCTCTCTATTCTTTTTTAATTAAAACTTCTTTTAGGCGTCGTATGTTTTTCTTTTATTCTTTGCTTGTCCAAGAATATCGAACAAAGATACATCAGTTGAATTTAAATGATTTGATACCGACTTGACAAAAATGTCATAAGATTTTGTCAAGCAGAAGTTATGAGATGATAATAACCGAAGAAAATAATTGTCGTTCGTTTTCATCCGTTGGGAATTGTCACTGCTGACCAATGTCCTTGTCTAACTATGTGTGTAATCAGGCATAGTTTCTCTCTTGGTGGTCAGTAATAAGTCTCAATGAATGGAATACGGAAGAAGCAAGCAAGAAGAAGAAGAAGAAGAAGAAGAAAAAAAAGAGCGTTGTAAGTTTCAGGTACAGGGAAGAAAAAAAGAATGAATGACAAACTAAAAATAAGTAACCAATCATGAAAGGACCCGAGAGGAAAAAGAAATCAGCCAACCAATAGTTAATTTGTTCTCTTCTTTTCTTCGCCTACTTGATTGCAATAAAGTGCTTAGGCGCCGTCTATATGACTGACAGAAATGAAGAGAAAAAAGGTAGCCAGTCAGAAGAGAGGAAGACGAAAAATGCTTATTCGAGCAGAAGAAAAAATGGAGAGAAAAAAAAGAAGAGAAAAAGACCGACAAACAATCGGATTTGCTGTCGGTAGAATTTCTTATGGCATTTTTTTTCTTCATCTCTTTCTGTCTCTCTCTCTCTCCCTTCGTCTTATCCTTTCGCGATCTATTTCTCTTTTTCTTGTCGTTATACGCTTGCCCGATTTTTCTCTTGTATATGTGTTTTGTCTCGATGCTTTCAGTTGTAAGCGCACAAATCGAGCGTTCACACGAGGCTAACTAACCGAATCCGTGCGAGCGTTGTCCGCCCGCCCGCCCGTGTGTGATCCGAAACAAGTTCCAACCCACTGAACTGTAAGTTGTTACTAATATTCTCAATATAAAAAAAAAGAAAATCGAGAGAAGAAGAAAAAAAAAAGAAAAGAAACGGAAAATGTATTTTTCAAAGATAATCAAGATATTCGATTGTATCCCTAGATTTCTTCCCCTTTTTTTTTTGGATTGTTATATTGAAAAGAAAACATACGCCCCAATGAATGACTGTTGATGATCAATAAATATATGATTCAATGAACATTAAAAATATAGTTGAATAAATCACAATTAGAGAAATAGAGTCAGAGAAGAAAAAACCGACATAATATAACATACATTCAGATAGGATTAGTTTGAAAACATGGCTGGGTAAATAATTTTTTCCTGTTAAGTTTATTTCTTTTGATTTCAATGTATGTTTTTCTTATTCTAGTTCAACGATACTACAATGGATATTCATAATGATCTATCAATGTCTCATAAAGGTAAGTTATCCTTACTTGAGTACTAGATCAAACATAAGTCTTGAAAAAATGCCCGTAAGGTTATTGTTTGTATATTTAAAAATTTCATTTATTTCTATCAAGAAATAGACAGAAGAAACATGTTATTGTTGTTGTTTTGATAAGAAATTAGAATGTGATCAATCACCGCCGGTGATCACAATCTTATACGGTGCAATGAATTTCAAGTGTTTTTACTGTTCTTTTTTTTATTAATATTAATCATGAATATGCAATGAGAACTGTATATACATACATATTTATATATTCTAGGACATTCGGGAGTTAATCAACTCGGAGGTTTATTTGTTAATGGCCGACCATTACCAGATAGTACACGAACACGTATAGTTGAACTTGCTCACAATGGCATGCGCCCTTGTGATATTAGTCGATGTTTACAAGTATCAAATGGTTGTGTATCAAAAATTTTAGCACGATATTATGAAACAGGTTCAATAAAACCACGTGCAATTGGAGGTTCGAAACCTCGCGTAGCAACAAATGATGTTGTACAAAAAATTGCTCAATATAAACGTGAGACACCGTCCATATTTGCATGGGAAATACGTGATCGTCTCTTAGCTGAAAATGTTTGTAATTCTGAAAATATACCAAGTGTATGTCATATCAAAAAAACATTTTCAAATCTTATACATATATATATATTTCAAATTTAGGTATCTTCAATAAATCGAGTTTTAAGAAATCTTGGTTCAAAATCATTAGATTCAATGACAAATCATGAAACATATTACTCTGTTGATAGTAAATTACGTGCTTTACATAGTCAACCATGGCCATCATCATCATCATCATTTTATGTTCATCATCCTGGTACACAACCATCATCAGCTACATATTCAACCAGTGGCGATTCAAATTCAGAATATAAACATCAAGCAAATGATGCTAATCATGGACATCATCAAGATTTAGGAGGTATGCATATATATATATATATACAGTCTATATCTACACTTCAAATAAAACAAATTCAGTTAATCTTTTTGATTTCAAGTAGTAAAAAAAAATCATTGATATAGTATTTAGTAAATAGACCACCTGTAGAGATTGATTGGTTGAATAGAGTAAACTGTTCATGCCCTTAAGATATGAATTCTCTTTTTTTTCATACGAAGAAAAAAAACGACAGCATGATAAATTCTTTTTTTTGTCAATGCCGAATAGACTAATTATTTAACGAATCTTATTGGACATTTTTTAAACGATGAGAAGAAGAAGAAGAAAAACTTGTCACTATTTTACAGATGTTCAATCTTTTCTAATCCGTATTTTTCCACATCGTTGAAAACATTGTTTTTATGCATTGAAATGTAAACGACAAGAAAAAAAAATCTTTTTTATCTTTAGATTTAACTGATGCTAGTAATGATAGCAAATCTGCTGTACGAGATAACGTAAATGAGAATGATGAAGCTGTACAAGAACGCTTAAAATTAAAACGTAAATTACAACGTAATAGAACATCATTTACACAAGAACAAATTGATGCTTTAGAACAAGGTATATAATAAAAAATTTCTCGAAAAAAGAACATGTTTTTTTTTTCTCATCTAGCTTTTAATGGTACACATTATCCTGATGTATATGCACGTGAAAAACTTGCACAAAAAATAAATTTACCTGAAGCAAGAATTCAAGTATGATTTAGTAAAAAAGAAAAAAAGAATGTTTGCAATTTTTTAATTTATATTAGGTATGGTTTTCTAATCGTCGAGCAAAATATCGTCGAGAAGATAAAGTTAAAGGTCGTCGACAACAACATATGATGAATGATATGGGTGAAAATATGCGTCCAACAGGTTCAACACCACCTAATCCATCATCACAACAAACACAACCATCATCATCAACATCATCGTCACTTTATCCATCTGTACTTCCAAATAATAATGATCCACATCTTCATCATCATCATCCTCATCAATATGGAGCATTTAGTTCAGGTTTTACTGGACAAATGGCTGCTGCTGTTGCATGTAGTTCAACTGGATATCCAACATTTTTTCATAGTAAGTTGTTTTATAAGATAATTGAATTGTTTCTTAATAGAGATGTCTATACCCTAAAGAAATCTTTTCGTGTTATATAGAAAAATAATTGACACATAACTCAATTTTTTATTTTATTTTATATTAGATTCAACACGTGGTTATGATGGACTGAGTCCATTTAGCACACCTTATAATCGTTCTTGTCCAACTTATTCAACAGGTATGCCACCTAATCTATCATCAGGTATAGCAGAAAAGCAAAATGTGTAATTAATCACTTTTGAAATTATTTAGATTTAGATCATATGAAAAATATGCCATCGATGTCATCATATGGTGGTGCACCACATATCTGGTATTCACCAATAATACCATAAAAAAGAAGAAAAAGGGTAAGATTGATACATATATATTTATTTGTCTCATGAGATTATAGTGTTTGTTAAAATGAAATGCTATCTAAAAAAATGTGTCATAGTGTTGTCGATTGTTTTGATCGAAAAGGTGTTGAGAATTTGTGATATGTATTATTAAAAACAATCACATTCTTTTTTTTTTTCTTTCTTAAATTTTGTTGTTTCTATTTTAGATTGAACAATTGATTCTGATTTGAACTTGATCATCGGTTTTTTTTGTGAACATTTATTGATTGTATTATATTTGATCGGTTTTTTTTCTCTTCTGTATTGTCGTGTCTTCTTCTTCTTCTTCTTCTTTTTATATTTTCAATTAAATAGAAATTCGAGATCATCATTCAATATATAAATGTATATTCTCATCAGGTGTTTATTTAAGTAATCAATTCAATCATTCTATTACTTGAAAAAACAAGGCTAATTCTGAATTCAACAATCTTTTATCGAAAAAAATCAACTAGATTGTAAACTAGAAAATAAGCTATAGTTCTCTTTCTCGTAGAGAAGAGTCCAGTAAACATAAATTGTCTACTTGCTTGTATGTCCGCAGCGTCAAAAAACATCGAAAACCCATTTTTCGAAAAAGACATTTCTAGAAGTATTTCGAATCTGAGGTCTGTTGGGTGATCATGATAAAGAGGAAGGGTAAAGAGGGTGCATAGATCAAAAAAACATCGAAAACCTATTTTTCACGGTATTCAATTGTTTGTCCAGTCAACGTGAAGAGGATGCATTTCTACGAGAAAGAGTTAAGCGAGTTCTCGGACGAGCGTTACTTGTTTTTCGAAGGATATTTTAGAAATGCTTATATGAGTTCGACCAAAATTTTCCAAGTACTTAAAAATTAATCTGCAGATTTTTGCTGGACAATAAATTTAAATTCATGAATTCGCGAAAACCAAGGATTTCATAAAAACTCGAAAATCAACTAAACCTCCTCTGAAGCAAAATCGGGAAAAAACGCCCGAGAGGGGTAGCGGGATTTTTGCTCAAAAAAAATGCAAGTGCCGAAACTATAATAGAAGGCCCCGGCCTTTTTATTACGGAGAAGGGTTTAGTAAATCATAAGATTTAAAAATCGATTGAACTTATTCAAAAAATTTACAGTGCATATTATTTATAGTCTTAAGTTAAGTTGTACTTTTTCTTTTCTATTCAATTAATTTTATGCGGGAAATTATTTTTATGTTAATTATTTTTATTCTATAATTAATATTCCTAGCAAAAACTAATGTGTGAATTGAAAACAAATCTCTTAATTAAAAAAAATTTTAATTGTAAAAAATGTAATAACTACTTTAAACATGAAGAACATATTGCATTATTTAAACAACATCAATATCATTTTCATTGTTTTTTATGTCTTAATTGTAAAAAACAACTTTCACATGAATCATTTTATTTTGATGAAAATTTACAATTAGATGTAATTAAAATTCTAGGTAAAATAGAAATTACTATTTTTATTTAGATATCAAATCCACAAGTTTATTGTGAAATATGTTATTTAAAAAAAAGATATTCATCATGTTTAAAATGTAATGAAGTATTTACTCCATTATCGATTATAATTGAATTTCAAGGAGAAAAATATCATAATGAATGGTAAAAGAAATAAGAATTTTATTTAAAGAATTATTTTGATTTAGTTTTATTTGTTCAAAATGTGAAGTAATATTACGAAATCAAATATTTTATTTAAAAAATAATTTTTTATATTGTCATTCATGTATGAATGAAATTGAACCATGTATAATGACATTAAAATCTTTAGAAATTTTGAATGATTATCAATGTAAAAAATGTAAAAAAAATTTTCTTGAAGGTGAAACTATATCAATGTATGAGAATGATTATTATCATTCGGATTGTTTTCGTTGTGAAAACTGTGAAAAATTATTAATTGATCAAGGATGTTTTCGGCAAGAAAATGAATATTTATATTGTTTAAATTGTCATATTGATAATGGACCACATTGTACAATATGTAAAGAACCTTTTTTAACAGGAGAAATTTTAAGTCAATTTAATGGAAAACAATTTCATACTACTTGTTTTCTATGTGATATTTGTCAAGAAAGAATTCAGATGAAAAATTTTCAATATCAAAATGGAAAAATTATCTGTGAAATTTGTTTAAATAAATGAGAATATGTGGAATGTAACGCACTCTATAGTTTATTCCGAATAACTATTGGTACGCGTCATAATTTTCGATGAGTCATCAGTGGAATTCAATGTATGAAGACTAACCAACGGTTTGCTTGCCACGTTTAATTTCCTCATAATTTAATACATTGCTGTCGTTTCAACATAGTTTTTCAATTTATCTATATAAAAGTGAAGATTTATTAACTTATTTTCATTCTGCAAATTTATTCGGTAGCAAAAAAAACATTTTTTCATTGAAACAATATAAATAAAACATGTTGTTTTATTCTTTTTCTATTACTTATTTATCAGTTGTTATTATTTCATTAACATGTGGATCATTATCATCAAATCCTATAAGAACACAACAATCTGATGGTAAAAAAATATTCCTCATTGTTTTCTCGTATATAATTTTGTTTTATTTTGTTTTATTAGAAAGTTTTGTTCAAAATAAAGAACAATTTATTCCAACAAATGAATGGCAAAACGTAAAAGAAGGTATTGATGATTTACTAATTCTATAAAAACAGTTAACATAATTCTTTTTTTATTTAGGTCAAGCTGTTCCACCAGGTCTTCATGTTCGATTGAATTTAGAAACTGGTGCTCGAGAAGCTAAATTACTTGATAATGATAATAAAGAGCAATCATCATCAAATGATATGATACCTTTATCAACACATGTTGATGAACAAGAAAGAATTAGTAAAGAAAATCTTGAACGAGCATTTGCTAATCTTGATTTCACTAAAGATGATGTTAAAACCGACCAGGTATGTTTTAACAAATTATTTATATTTTAGTTTTTATTATTGTGTTTTCATAGAAACATGAAGACGAAGTCAAAGCAAAATTTCGTGGATATGATGAATTGAAAAAAGATTTTGAATCAATGAATATGAAAGTTCAAACAGATCAAGAAATTTTAACAGATCTTATGAATAAATTACGTACAACAGATAATAATGAAGATCGAAAAACAATATTAACTGATCTTGAATATTATCTTCATCAAGTTAGTATTCTATTGAATTGTATATTGATAATATATATATAAATTATTTTTTAGTATGATAATGCGATATTTTTTGCTGATAACAATGGTCTTGAATTACTTATGCAATTATTAAATACAACAAATACTAATAATGATGTTCGTCATTTTACAAGTCTTGCATTAGGTGCAGCATTTCAAGGGTATATAAGAAAAATTTTTATAATAAAAAAAAGTAAACAGAGTTCTTTGTATTTTAGAAATCCAAAGGTACAATCGAAAGGATTTAATCTTAATTTTGTTCCATATTTATTACGTTTATTAAATATTGAAACAGATAATAATATTAAATTTCGTCTTCTTTTTACATTATCAACATTATTAAGAAATTATCCACAAGCACAAATGAGTTTTGTTGAACATGGTGGAATAGAAACAATAGTTAAAATTTTTGACGAGACCAAATCTCATTATAAACTACAAATGCGAACTATTGAACTTATGGGTGATCTTATTGCTGAAAAGGTACAGACAAAAAAAACTGATATCAATATGATTTAATCGAAATTTTTATTATTTCTAGGATAGTGAAATGGATGATAAACGACAAGCTTATGAAAAGTAAGTTAACAAAAGAAGAGAAATCAGTGTTTTATCTAGGTTACGTTTTTCGGATGGGCGAATCGAGATTGGAGTAGGCAGCGTTCATTCAGCGCCCACCTGGACCATCTAAAAATATACAGCTACTATATGATGAAAGTGGGCGGCGCCCACCCATCCCACCCGCTAGATAGAACACTGATAGAAATTTCATAGTACAAACTTTCGAGTGTTATACGATTTCTTATTTTGTATGTGAATAGAATATAGTAGAACGGAGAAAATCTTAAAAGAATTTTAATATATAGACTGGAAGATACGATCATTTGACTGTATTGTAACTCATCGGTAGATACTGACGGAAGAGCTAAATTATGATCATCACTTTGATTGTCCGATAAATATCTACCGACAGACTTATCATCCACTGGAACGATCATAACTTCTGATTAACGAAACATACTCTTAGGCACATTGTGATTTGAGTCTACGAATTAAATAGCACTATAAATAGATTCAATGAGAAACAGTTTCCTAAATATTTTCTGTGCATTTCTAATCCAAATAACACGACTTATATCATTTGAAAATGTCTAGAGAAGATTATGAAGAATATAAATGTTCGAGATTCTTTAAGATTGTAGCGCTAGTTTATTTTTATTATAAATTTTGTATTATTTTCTTTTCTAGTATTCATATTCGAGCTCAATTAATCAAGCATAATTGGTGTGCAAGTATTTCTCATCATTTTTCATCGACTGATTTTGAGAATTTTGACCATATTGAAAAGATAATATTGGCTATGATTCCATTAACAGATGCATGTCGAACTAACTTTGTTTCCTTATTACCCACTCTCGACAAACTTAATGATGTTTATCAGAAGAAAAATCTTAATGAAGATTCAACATTTACCGATCTCATAACTAATATTCAACATCTTCAAACAAATTTAAAGCAAATAACATCGAACGATTTATAATTCTATTCATTCTAGTTGTTATCACATCATCTTTTTTGTTTTGTCAGATAGTTGATTTATTATTCATGTTTTGTTTCATTATATCGTAATGGTTTTATTTTTTAAAAAGTAAAAATAAAAGAGTATTCATAGAAATTCTAATTATTTCGGAAAATAGTGTTATCTTATTGAAGACTAATAGAATTCTGGTGGATATATTGACTCGCTTCTTTTTTCTTTTCCTCTATTAGACGACCAATGTATGTTATTAGCCTTGAATATATGGTTGATCGGAATTGTAACGACGAATAAAGAGACAAATGTGACACAAGCAAAAAAGAAAAAAGTCTTTATGTTATTGCACGATGCTAACCGCTATCCTATCTGTTTCAAGGCACATTATTCAGTTGCGTTCTATCCGTCTTCTTTTCTTTTGTCTGTTATATTTAAGACCAATAATATGCAAACCAAATAGTATGTCTAGAATAATATCTAACAGAGAAAGAGCAAACATTTTTTTGCAACCACCATATTAGGCCTCTTTCTCTATTAGTATACGCACGGTTGGAAGAAAGATGAGATCGATTTAGGTTAAGATGCATCCGCGTTTGCCGTCAGAAAAGATGTATATGTTATAAGTTAGATATACGTTAACATATCTCATACAGAAGAAAAGAAAAGAACTCCGTTAATATCCACAGCGGTTATCCATTTTTTTCTTCTTCGTCTTCTTCTCTCGTCTTCTCTAACATTTGGTGTAACACAGCACCCAAAATAGGCAATTTCTTCCACAATAATAACAACAACAACATCAAGAAATAAGAAAAAGAGAGAGAAAGATAGAGACTAAGTGTTCCTTTGCTTGTAATCTCCATCAAGAAGAAGTTGCTTGTGGTACTATATACAAGATCAAATCAGAATCATTATCGTAGACTTTATTCGAACTTAAAAAATGACCGATGTAAGTAATAATATAATACAAATAAAATAAAGAAAAGAAAAGACAATCTTTTTTTTCTTATTTTAATATAATAAATCTTAACTCATAAGTTATTTAAATACGATTCATATTGATTATTCTAGAAAGACGACGTAAGTTTATATGAAATTGTATCTTCATCCCTATGTACACATATCTTCAATCGCACACACACACACACATACACATGAATCCCTAATTATCTTTTTTTTCCAGTTATTCTTAAGCATGTTGAAGAATTATATTTTAAAATATTTTTCATTGCTAATATACCTCACATTCTTTCCCAATACCATTCACTATATCACTTATATATATAGAAGAATATTACCTAATTATTTAATTGATTTTTATTATGTAATAATTTTCTTTTTCTTCTCTAATAGAAAAAAGCTAAAAAGAAAGCTCAACGTGCCACCAGTAATGTATTTTCAATGTTCGATCAAAAACAAGTACAAGAATTCAAAGAAGTATTTAGAAAAAAATTTTGTTAATTTTTTTTTTTGCATAAGTAATATTTAGGCATTTGGTCTTATGGATCAAGATCGTGATGGAACAATTAGTTTAGATGATCTTAAAGAAGTATTTGCTTCACTTGGTAATGAAAATAAAATTTTTTCTTTTTTTTTTGTAATTATTTATTTTATTATTTTAGGCAAAGCACCAAAAGATTCTGAATTAAAAGCTATGCTTGAAGAAGCTCAAGGTCCAATCAATTTCACTATGTTATTAACATTATTTGGAGATCGATTGAATGGTACTGATGAAGAAAATGTTATTTTAAATGCATGGAAAAACTTTGATCCAGAAGCAACTGGATTTATTAACACAAAAAGGTTAATTAAAAATTTAATTAACTAAAAAAAATAAATAATCGATATTTTCTCTTCTAGTTTACGAGAAGTTCTTACAGGTGAAGGACGTCCCGATGATAGTAAGTGAATAGTTTTCTTATTGTTATTTTTTAATTAATTATTTTCTTTTTAGGATTATCCGATATGGAGGTAACAATCGATTAAAATTTCGAAAGGCATTATGTTTCTTTTTTTTCGAATTATTTTTTTTAGTTTAGTCAAATGCTTGAAGGAGCTCCAGTCGATCCAAAAGGACAGCTTGATTATGCTGCATTTACAAAACAGATCAAACGTGGCAAAGAAGATGATTAAATAAATAAATAACTATTACTAGAAAAAGAAAAGACCTTTGTGTTTTGTTTAATCACTTTCTTCTTGACAGCAAAGCAAATAAAATTCACGCTCAGCCTTCTCTTTTTTTTTTCTTCTTTTTACCCTTATCATTACACACCTTTATTTCATATAATATCACTCTTATTTTTTTTTCTTCATCTGTTTTAACAACTAATAAAAACCGTATAATTAAATTTGTACTGTCATGTGCTGAATGTAGAAGAAGAAGAACAAAAAAAGAATCTGAAATTTGGACTATTATTTAAAGAAAAAAAGAAAATATTTTATTAGACATTTGTTTCTTTTACAAAGTAGTAAAAGATGTTTTTCAAGGGTTACGTCTATACAAGAATATAGAAAAACGGCAATAGCTAAGTGTTCGATTACATCGACAGGAGTTGATCAATCAAAATTTTAAAAAATCGAACACCAGTTTTGCATCATAAATAAGTCAACAAAATTTGCAAATCTGCACCGAATTGTTTTGTTAAGTAACTGTAAGAAAATCGAGCACAGCTAATAGTACGACGGGGACAAATTGTTTTTGTTCACGCCTTTCTTTTCTCGTTTGAATTATTCATTTTTATCCTAGACATACATTTTAGATACGTGTAAGCCATTATTATAATATAATTGAAAACTGATCTTTTACCTTAATAAGAAGCTTATCTATTCCTAAATATATTTTTTCCATGGGACATTGTTCTAATTTTTTTTCATTGAATTCAGCTTTTGTAAGTTATCGACAGCGATAGTATATGAATCCTAGAACTCGTCAGAGACTTCATTATTTCCATTGGTTTAGTCTTAATTATAAAAAGGATATAATGTCATGATATGCTTTTCAAATCCAATAACAACATAAATTCGTCGATGACAACGAGGATATGTGTGTAAATTCGATAGAGAATAAGGATATTCTCCAAAAACAAGAGATCAGAGGAGGAGAGACAAATTGTGACGTCACTGTATCGTAGCTGTAAGAACAAAGGATATTTGAAAAGACTTTATATAAAAGAAAAATATAAGATGAGAAATGCAATTGTTTATGACTTTACATATTTTAAAAAGACAAACTTTTCGGTCGAATTAGAAAAAGTTTTATTTTTATACTCAAGGGGGAATCAATGGGAACCCTACCACCCATTGAGAAAAAAGTTTTTTTGTCTTAATTAGCTGTAAGCGCAATGAAAAATGACTTTCCCCGAAAAATTGTATGACTGTTACTTTAGACAGTAGACATCTAGGTAAAAATCATAAAATTTTTCAGGGAAAGTTATTATTCATTGCGCGTACAGCTAATAAGGACAAAAAAAGACTTTTTCCGAAACGTGGTAGAGTTCCCATGAATTCACCCTCGAATCATTTATAAAAAGAATACCTATAAAATGAAAATAAAGCTGTTTAAAGATTCTTTCTTATTTTTTTACTAATAATCAAACATTATTCATTGACTATATATTACTTTTAAAGGAGTTCAACATATGCCGGTATCTAGTGGTTTCGATTATTATCCGTATAATTATCCAACAACAAAAGTAAATCGTAGTACACCAACCACACAACTTATATCACGTACTCCTAAGGTAAAATATTCTTTTTATTCAATGTTTGCCTCAGTTCGATATGACTAAGCATATAGTTTATTTAAAATACATGACAAAAAAAACAGAAAATATAAAGTATTGAGAAAGAGAACAAATTCTTTCTTTTACGAACACCAAAACAAATACTGTACAATTTTTCAGAAGGAAGAAGTAACACACAATATAAAGTAGTCAGCCGGTTTTTTTTCTTTAAAGTCATTATTGAAATAAAAAAAAGTATACATGTCAAAAATTTTTTATAAACAGTTTCAATCTCTGAAACAAAATGGTATCAATACAAATTCAAAATCAACATCTACTGGCAAATTACCATCACTTCTGTTATCGACACGAATGCCCGCCGACAAACGGCCATCACTACGTTCGCAAACATTTGTATTAATGACAAAACCCAATGAAACAAAACTTAAAGTCCGTAAAGAGAGCTTAGTCAAAACTAGTTCTCAACGATTACCAACAGTAGAAACTCCTGTTAGAAGTATTTCAACATCTCTTGAAAAGAAAGGTGCACAATTACTATATAGCAAAAGTTTGAATCAACCGACATCAAAATATGTTAGTACATCTACTTATCTTCGAGATTCTGATCAGAAACCTGCCAATCTTCCTAAAAGGCATAAGAGTGCTTATCATTCTTCTTCTCCTGCTCCTGCTTATCAACGAAAGTCTACACCACCATTTAAAGATTTTTCTGATGTACCACCACGTTTGCGAATAGGGAAACATGATTATATAGTACAACGAAGAAATTTAACGCCCGATCATGTTTATGAAGATTATAATCTAGTAAGTAATATAATAATTCTTATGTTATACATATTTCATGCATAACTCTAACAATAAATCAGATAAAATCTACTGTTATTATTCATTCAAAGAAAAAACAATTATATATTGTGTTCGTTTACAGAAACACTCAATGAAGAGATAAAATATATAGATTCTTTGAGCTTTTATGTTACTATCGATCTTTATAATAAACAGTATTGAATATTATTTATAAATTTATTTAGAAGGGTTCTGTCGAAAAAAGAAAACCCCTACGAGCTACACGCAATCCGCTACGTCGAAGTGAAAATGTTTATTATCTCAAACCTCGTGCATCTCATCATTCAATATCAATTGAAATACCTACACCAACAGAATATGCTGAGGTTATGGAGCCAACACCAACACCACCGCCGCCACCAGTGCAGGTTCGTCATCATCGTTCATCTCGCGCTGAAATAATTTATATTGATGAGGAAAAACCAACAACACCACCGCCAGTACAGGCTCGTAATCATCGTTCATCCCGTCATGAAGTAATCTATATTGATGAGGAAAAATCAACAACACCACCACCACCACCGCCGCCGCCAGTACAAGTTCGTCATCATCGCTCATCCCGCGCTGAAATAATTTATATTGATGAAGAAAAATCAACAACATCACCAGTACAGGTTCGTCACCATCGTTCTTCCCGTCCGGAAGTAATTTATATTGATGAAGAAAAATCAACAACAACGTCACCGCCGCCAGTACAGGCTCGTCATCATCGCTCATCCCGTCCAGAAGTAATTTATGCTAATGAAGAAAAATCAAAAACCTATACTGATAGTTTTATATATTTTGATGAGAAAGGCAGTGAAATCAAATATATTGATGAAAATAGTGGTAAACTTAAATATATTAATGAACGAATTCCATCCCCACAATATGTTCAATATCCTTATGATGATCATAAAAAGAAACGACATTCATATGAACAAAAAATCATTTATATAGAAGATAAAGATGAGCAATATTCACCTGAGCCTCAAGTTATTTATATAAATGATAAAGATCATCGACATTCAAAAGAACCCGAAGTTGTTTATGTAGAAAAAGATGATCAACGACGTACACATCAAGCTGAACGACATACACAAAAGTCTGATACTATTGATGTTGATAATACAAAAAAACGACACTCGCATCAAACTGAAGTTATTTATATCGAAGAGAAAAGTCATCGACGTCGTCATGACTCTGAAGTTATTCCTGTCGAAAAGAAAGATAGTCAACGTCACGATGAATCTGAAATGTTTCATATCGAAACGAAAGATAAGCGACGTCGTCATGAATCTGAAGTCATTTATATTCAAGATGATTCATTACTTAATCCAAACGATTATAAAATGGTATATACTCAACCACCAATAACAAAAGTTTTCAATTAATGAACGAAGCTTTTTAAAAAAGCCCTTTTTTATTTTCATGTAAATATACTGTCATCGAAATCGTTTATAAATCTTTTTCGATATTTCAAGTCTAACTATTTATATTTTTTGTTTCTACAATGAATAAATGTGTTTATTTTAGTTATATAGATTAAAACTCATTTCGATCAAGAGACTCTTAAAATGATCCCTCGAATCTTTATTTAGACATTAAAAAAAATAACATCATTTTGTTCGATTTATCATTAGGGTTCCATGTTCTTATATATCTTGCCATGAATGATATACCTGCACCACACTATTCTATATGGATAAAAGTTTAATAATTTACATTGACAAAAAAGGAATTGAACAAAATACCTAAATTTTATATACTAAGAAAGCTTTTTCTTAAGATTTATAATCGTCTTTCACAATGATACGTTCAACTAGAACATTAAAATTAAGAAAAAAGAAAATTTCTTCAGAAAAATTGATAGAATCCAATAAATCTATCGATTATTATGATTCAACACAAATAAAGAAAAACGAAAAAAAAAAAGAAATTTTTTTTTGTCTATCTTATGTTGACACACGACCAAGATGAGGGAGTAAAGTTGTTGGTGATTCATGAGCGAATAATTGTCCTTTTTTTTTCATTTGAAAATATTTCCAAATTAAATAACTTATTGTAAGAATAAATATAGAACTGCATATAAATAAAAATAATGCCAAATGTTTTCTTATTTTTCCTTTCGTACAACCACCTTGATCTTCAGTTTGAAAACATTTAAGCCAAAAATCATACATTGAATCAAAATAATTGATTTCATTATGAATATTATTTAATTGAAAATATAAATAATTATGATTCTTATTTGTATATGATTTCCATTCAGTATCAACTTTATCAGGAAACGATGGGTTTATATTTGGATTTCTATTGAAGAAAATAACGGAATAAAAATATTTCAATGAAAATTTTAAACAAACCCAGTTTTTATAAAATTTGACCAATAACGTATAATTTTTCGACTAAAATTTATTTCATCGCTTGTATAATTATAAAAACTCATATTAACATTTCGATGTATACGAGAATAATTACGTGCTAATGGTACACCAAACACATAATCTATTAAAATATGAAAGAAAACATTTTATTTAAGTGACAGAGATACTCAATTAAAACTTGTAGTGTTGATTAGTACACGCCGCATACTCAGGGGCGTTCCCAGAGAGGGAATCAATACCCCCTTCCCAAAAAAAAATTACAAGACTTGGAAGAAGGTACAGCGCGAAGAGTTTTCAGAAATTTGGAATAACCTTTTTCTGTAATAAACTTTCCTGTAAAGTGGTCAATCCCTCCCTCCCCCTCAAAAACAATTTCTGCAGACGTGCTTGCTCATACCTCTTAGATAATATTAATATTATTTGTATGTTAGATTTCTAAGGAGAATCAACTCCAATGAGCGTTATGTGAAACGCAGATAACCATGTCAGCTATAATCTATTACAATTTTGTCTCTTATCAACGAAACTTTGATTTCAGTACTAACGAGATCTCTGACAGTTCTATTATGGGCGTTTTACTTATCTATGCTTCATAGAATAAACAACATGAAACCGTGCTGATTGATGGTGTACTACTGAATTATTATTTTGTATTATTATTGACAACGAGAATTCTCACAATTTTTATGCCCAAATTAATCTTTCAGCAGCGAAAATAACTGTTTGTATAGGTTAATTATGTATATTACAATAAGAGTTAATTCTTATCTTTTTTGTTATGATAACAATAGCAGGTTATTTTGGTACATGAAGTTAGCGTGCAACTGCCATAAAAGAAATAGTAAACCTTAGAAATCTAAGATTCTATTCAAAACATAGATTTTAAGAGAATTTGCTATGATAAATGTGGGTGTTTTTTTCGTCATAGACATGCAAAAACAATGATTTTTTTTTCTTCTGACCTAATTCTGCAAAATGGCCAACAGCATCTGGTAAAAGTTTTTGATCTCGAAATGCACTTTTAACTTTAAATGTAGGTCGATGTGCATAAACATAAGCATAATTTGTTGAATTTATCTTTGGTACCATAGCACGTAAATTTAAACAACGAACCATATGAAAATTAAACATTAAATCCGAAACAAGATCAATATAAAGTTTTAAACGGGTAGTAACATCCTTATTTGCTAAATAAAAAACAAACTCTTATTATCTCCTAATATTTCATATGAAAATACCTGATAATTCATATTTCTTTTTAACTTTATCCATAAAACATTTTCCATGTTGAAAATTTGCATCAATATATCGTTCGATATAATTTACTTTAACAAAACGTTCAAGAAGAACACTTACGTTGAGAGAACTCGATGATTGTTCAATACTTGCACTTTGTTCTGATATTTCTTTTAATCTTTTATCATTTTCAAGATTTGTTGTAAATGTTATATCGGGTGCAATAATAGCAGTTGAATTCGGAAAAATAATAGAACGTTTTTCTCTTAATGGAGCTTTACCCATTGATAATGATTGATTTGAAAGTCCATTAAGTAAATGTTTTATATGATATTCAGCAAAATATAAACCTTCATTTAATGTCACACCTGTTAAAAAATCAACATTTTTATAAACATCACTTTGTAAAACATTCTCAATTGTATCATTTATAAAATCATAATCAATTACAGGATATGGATTATCATCAGCTAAAGAAAAAATTCTTTTGATATATAGAATAAATGAAAATTATCTACCTATATTAAGACTTAAATGAAGACGATATATATCTCCATTACTGTTTTCTAATAATTGATAAACACAATTAAACATCTCTTGTTCATCGGAACGTACACAATTAAAATCTTGAGAAAAACGTTCAAGTAATTTAAATGGATTACGATTGATACTCCATGGTGCTAAGCCAGTACCTGATTGTGATATGACACGTTTTACCATACCACGGCAATAAGGACTTGCTAAATAAATTTAGAAAAAAAACAAGAAATATATTAAAATAGAATAAATTATTGCCAATGATATACCGGGTATTAACATAACATTTCCAGCACCTGCTGAATGACCAGCTAAAACTATTCGATGTGGATCACCACCGAATAAATGTGCATTTTCATATATCCATTCAACAGCTAATAATTGATCCCATAGGCCATAATTACCTTAAAATGAATATACAGATCTCGTACTCATTCCGGTAAAATTATAATCTGTTAGATTATAAATCAGTATACTAAGCTCAATAACAACATGATAGTCTCATATACATGCTAACAAATTTCTCGAAGATTGTAATTTAGTACGAATTTTTTCTTCAAATCAAATTACTTTCAGTGTTAACAAACTAAATGACGTCACTCATTATTTTTAATAAACAACTAGCTAGACAATATTGATTAATCCTTATTAAATATAATCCCCCAAGAAAAATAAAATTATTCAAATAATTTTTACCTCGAACTCGACTATCTCCACTTGATAAAAATCCATGATAATTCAAACGAAAATTCATTGTTATAACAATAATATCACCTTCACTAGCTAATATACTTCCATCAAATAATGATCCACCACCTATAACAGAAAAATTTCAATATGAATTTTCTTTAATTTACATATCTACCTAATTGATTTGAACCACCATGTGAAAATAACATAATAGCTTTTCGTTCTTCTCCATGACGCAAATCAGCTCGATAGATATTTAATGAAAGACAATTATCATTAAAACTTTGTTGCATAACAAATGAACCATATGAAAGATTTTCTGCCATCATAATAGATTGCATACAATATGGACTAAATTTTGTTGCATTTTGTATTGTATAATTAAAACGTTTTTTTATTGGTTTTTTTAATGACTTAGGTATTTCAGCATAATAAATACCAAGAAATTGATCAACATAACGATTATGATATTTAATTCGTTTACCATGATAAATACCAGTTGAAGATATAAGATATGGTCCATGAGCCGTATTCATTTTTCTATTTAATCTATTGAATGAAGATAATTTAAGTAAATCCTCATGCGATACATTTATATTGGAAAAATTTGCTTGGGTTTCAGTTTGACTACATGTTGTTCGTGTACATTCGGGTAATGTTGAATTAGTTGATAAATGATCAACAATATGTTTAAATGATGGATAAAAATTAATAGATGTTGATGAGTATATTATATTACTATGGAATAGTAAAATAAAAAAATAAGTAAAACATCTAATAAGTACATTGTTCACCATGATGAATTTCAGACAAATGATAGATGATATATAGTTTAGAAATGAATGATTGTCTTGAAAGAGAAAAAAATGTCATCAACATCAATAGAAATGACAACAACATTGTCATACATGTATGAATCTGAAATTGTCTAATCCATTTTTGATCATACAGATAATTGATTGTTCTAGGTGATCGCTTGAATAAACAACTCTAAATATATGGAATTATCTGAGATGTTAATAAACATATAAAAAAAGACGAGGTAGTTTATTAGCTATCATATCAAAGATTGTATTAAAACAAAAAAAGAAGACGTAAGAGAATGTTTGTTATTCTAGTTAGATGAGATCATTGAATATTGATATGTACATGTATATTCAAGAAAAGATGGAAACTCAACAATACTCTCTATTAGAAAAAAACAAAAGATGTTGCATGTTATTAAGAATTCGTTAGCCGAAACTAAATTCTATATAATCTATTCGTCCAATCACATCATTATAGTCTGTGATAGACTGAATATTAGAATAAAAGATAATCTTGATAATGTAGGCACCTAATATTAATCTATTTCATCATGCTACAATAACACGCACAAAAGAAAGTAAACTGTATAGATTGACATGTTTTTCTACGTCAAATCTATATTCGTCAAAGAAAAAAGAAACGCTATAGTGTTTGTTTTATATTCGTCAATCTACACTTCTAATTCACCTTTTATATATCAACAATGATGTCAACATTCAATGATAGCTGTCATCTTATAAAAGAGAGAATAGATACATATTTTATGCATATTGATAAATTGATAGTTGAATAGATCCGACAGCCAATTAGGAAAAGTTTACATATCTGCCACTCGTTTTTATACGATGGATTATTGTTCATTGATGAGAATCATATGTATAAAAAAAGTTTTTTTTTTGTTATCTTTTTTTGAGATAATAAGAGTATCGTATTTGTGTTTTCTCTTTTAAATCTCATACAGACGAAGAAAAAAAAACATTGGAAAAAAAAGAGATAATTATATCAAAGAAAATACTGAATATTTAACAAGAAAATGAATAAAAATTGATTAAAATTTGTTAGTTAATTAAAGCCAGTGGATGACGATATCGGTTCTGATAATGTTGAACACTAGAAATAAACAATATAAATTATAAAATCAATAAAAAACATAGGAAGAATTTACTTCAACAAGAAATTTATTTATCTGAGTTGCATAGTTTCGTGAAAGCCATGTTGTATTATGTTGACCATCAGAAAATACAATTAATTGTTTCTTTGAACTCGTACATTCCTTTATTGAAAAAAAAAGTAAATAATTAAATCGAAAAATTTCGTATTAACAAACCTCATGTAATTTTTGCATCATTTGTGGAGGAACTAATTCATCTTGTTCACCGGAAAGAAAAAGTACTGGTACTTTTATATGACGAATCTTTGTAATCGATGAGAACTAGATTTTCATCAAAAAAGAAAAGTGAATTCATAGGTTTTTTTTTTCTTCTTAAATCATACCATATTTTTATAGTAACAAGAAGGTATATAATCAAGTATAAAAACTTGAAATAATCGTTTAGCCATACCAGGAATCGATGTAAATGTATTTTCAACAATAACACAATATAACGGTGGTGTTGCTTCTGTTTCAGCAAGATGAGAAGCTTTAGAAAGAAAATAAGAAAATAAATGAATATTTATTATTAAGTTAAGTTTTACCAAGATGCAATGCAACAGCACCACCAAGTGAACGACCAAATATAAAGATCTTTTCTTGATTAAGATCCGTACGTGTACGAATATAATCATAGACAGCTTGTGCATCTATATAAAGACCTGTTTCCGATGGTGTACCAGTTGATTTTCCGTAACCACGGTAATCAAAGAGAAGAATATTGATATTACATGCTTGATACAGTAAATGAGCATTGTGTAATCTAATTGAAAAGAAAAATTAGATTCTTATAGTTATTAAGTGCAAAAAAAAAGTGTGTTATTTACCGATGTCCAATATTTCCAGCATTTCCATGAAAAAAGACTAATGTTGCACATTCATTTGTTCGTTGCATTTGTGTTAATAAATATCCATGTAATTTTTCTTTATCAGCTGTTTCAATTGTTACTGTTTCATATTCCATATGAAATAAATCTGGCGTTTGAACGATTGTTCGTGCTGTATCTGGTTCATTTGGTTGAAATAATAACATATCTTGTAAGCCATAAAGTGAAGCTAGAATAAAATAATTTTATTGAAAAATTTATTTGACTTTATTTTTTCAAGCATGAAGAATAAACTAATATGAATAGAATATATGTTGATCTACATACTTATTCATTATCGACAACAACAAAAAGAAACGATGCTTTATCACCTGTATGAGATTTATAAAAGAAAATCTTATTCTTTGACTTCTTTTTTACGATTCAGTTTTTTTTAGAAAGAAAAATATATAGCAAACAAATACTTACAGAGTATTCCGCATATAATAAATAAAATTAATACGAAATTTCCAAATAATTGATAGAATAGATAGAATAAAAATAATGATAAACCAAATACTAATGATATTTCATGAATTATATTCGATAAAACTAATCTATTATTATAAATTAATCCTGAATTTGTTAATAAATGATATTTATTTCGTAAACAACTTTGACTTAATGATCTATACATAGACGAGAGACATCGTGAAAACATAATGAATGCGGAACAACAATGACGTCTTGTTAAATTACGTATCGACATAAACCAAAGAATAGAACATTAAATAAATTCTTTAGAAACATATCTATTCATCTAGAAAAACAAAACATTTATACACAATAAAAAAACAACAAAATAAAGAAATTTTTATTTAATAAAGTTAAATATGTTGTTGAGGTCTTTCTGGAATTAATGATGAAAAAAATGTTGATACAGCTGTAAATAATAGACGTGCTGGTGTTATTTGATTATCAGTAGCAGATTCTGTTGTAGGCGGTGTAACGGTAGAAGACTAAATAGAAACAAAAAATGATATATTTATTATCAATCACGATATTATCATTAAAGTTTATAATTTCACACTTTTGATTTATGTTTACATTAGAATCTATAAGTTTAAGTATTTATGAACGAAAGATGAAAAGTTTTTCTTATAATTTTATATTAAATTAACATTAATTCGCTGAGTCCCGAAGACATATATATATAGGGAAAAATGTGTTTTGATCACCAAATATAATCAAGACATGCGCTGATTAAAATAGGACAAAATTTGGGGATATAGGTATGGGTGAGGTTGTGGGTGTTGGTATGGGCGAGGTTGTGGGTGCGAGTGTGGGTGGGTATGGATGCCCCTTGTTTAAAGAGAGCAACCACACCCACATCCTTAGCTGTTTCATGTGCTCTAAATAATGTGTTTCTTTCTATCTGTCATTGTTAGTTTAATCAAAAATAAATTTAGTGATCAAAATATTCATTTTTTATGATCACTTCGCAGCTATCAAATTTGGTGATTAAAAAATACCAACCTATATATATATATAGGTCCTGATGCTGTTATTTGATAAATATGTCTCGAGTATATTATTTAATTGTTTAGAACATCTTTTTATCGTTTATTAAATGCAATTCATCTTTCTTTCCTTTCTGCTTGTGAGTATAACACGAACATTTTCTTTTACTCCAATGCATTTCAATATGATAGTATACAGTATATTTGTTATTCACAAAATATAGAACAATATTTCTTACGACTTGTTCGATTTTCGGCTTGAAATAATTAGAAGAGTTTTGATAAAGTACGAACTACAAAGAGCGACTACTGCTCTTCACTTAGTCCACAAGCATTCTTTAAGGAAATACATCGTTTACATGTCGCATAATATTCGAAATTTTGCGAAAAAATAGTCGGGAGTCAATGGGTTGAAGGAAATCATACTATTTATACACTAACAACAGTGTAAATTGTAGAAATATATATATACTTTCGGATTTTATTTTACATTAGTACTATTCAAATATTGAGTGAGTAGACAAGAAATTCAATATTAGTAGAAGTACAATATTAAATAGATACTTCACTTTATCAAAAATAAATCGCGTTTAAGTGGTTTTTTGATTAAATTTTACGGTCTATAGATACATTAGAATATGTCACTTGAAGAAAAATGTACTTAATCGTAATAAATAAATTATGTTTCAATATGAAAAACAAGAATTTGTCAGAACTATTAATATAATAATCTATTCAAAATATGATCTTGAGGAAATGCTAAACTAATTAATTTATTTTTCTATTCTAAACACATACTTCTTGAAGCTGTATATCATTAGAATTTTGTTCATCATTTTGTATTTGTTCTATATCAATTTCTTCATTCATTCCTTGTTCAACATCATTGCCTGCTGCTTGTTCAACTATATGTGGTATTTGTTGATTTTGTGCATGTCGACGTTGTTGAATAGATAAATAACCACGACAATGTCTAATTTTTTTTCATACGATAATAACAATATATAAAGTCAAAATATTCTAAACTTACAAATATACTAATGCAAAAATAATAAATATAAGAAAAAAATGATTAAATGTTGAATAAAAATAAATAATTGAGCAAAGAATAAAGATTTCAATGATAATATGTAATGTTCGTAATAAATCATTTTCTTGATTGACATTATTATTATTTGTAACGGGTGTTGCAGGTGAAACAGTAATAGAAGGAGATGGAATAGATGTATTTGTTATTGGTCGTTGATGAACAAAATTATTTTGACTAAAATTAAAAAACAATAATCGAATCTCTTCTTTAATCTTTACTTACTACATTCGATGATGTGTATGGCAATATTGTAGATATGTTTGTGTATCAGAATTAGATGTTAAGCAAATCCCATATGGATTCGACATGAATCTAATCGAAAAAGAAAAGTTAAATTTTTTTTTTCGATAAACAAAATTTACTGATGAAGTTGTTGTTGATATTTATTTAATTCATTAATATATCGTTCATATGTAGATGAATGTAAAGAAGTCGATGATGATTGTTCGGTATGACTAGATGAGTTGGCTGCTGTTGTTGTTGTTTGTTGAGGAATGGTTGATGACTTAATTGATAAGAAATTTATTGAAAGTATATATATTAAATAATCTTACGATTTCATTTTTATCTGAATCAAGCACGAGATGTACCAAGAATGGTGAATCTATATTTGACTAATACAAAAGTAAAGAACGATTGAAATCGTGTACTTTTTATTTTTCATTATTAATCCGAAGAAATCGTATAAAATAATTAAGTGCAATATTCATGAGTACTTTCGATTAAAAATAAATGTGAACTAGATTTGTTTGTAGTTCGAATTCTCAATATAATTAAAAACAAATAATGAATATTTTATGATCATATAGAAATAAGTAGCGAATAATTGTTTTACAAATACATTTGAATTTTTCAAAAAAAGCATGACAGACATATATCAATGGATTCATTAACTAACAAAATTAAAAGATCATTTTCATGGTTATTAACAAAATAATACACGTAGACAAATATGGTTTATTTCAATCAGACTACACATATTTCAAAGGTAGATATAATGATTATTGTCTTACCTTAATAAATACTTGATTAAGTATATTTTTATTATCCAATAATTTTCCTGAATGAATTAAACGTTGATTTTTTGGTAACTGGAAAATTTAATTAAAAAAATAAAATAAAATGAAATATATATGTGTGGATATTCTTACTGGTTTAGTTGGATGATTTATTGTTATAGTTTGTTTGAGATTATAGATAGTTGAAGATGATAGAATATCAATAGAAAAATCTGCATATTTATTATTCGCACAACGAATAATTATATGAATTGTTTCATTTACTGTTGCCATCTTTATTTTTTATAAAAACAATTTATTTAAGTTCAATAGGAAAAGAAGAAATATGCTTCAATAGTCAGGCGTTTTATTTTCTATTGCTACAATGTCTATCCAATAGCAAGACAATGAACGACATTGAAAGAGGTCGTTCATATCGTTTCAATGAATCATTTGATTAGATAAATGTTCTCGACTTGTCTATTGTTAGTTTCTCGAATATTTTTTCTTCTATAAATTCCAACGATCAAATCAATAAAAAAACTTGTTTTTTTCTTGAAGATTACTTCATCTTTTATCTGTCTTTTTTTATTTATTTCTAATTTGTAAATTTTTTTCTTCTCTAACAAATATAATCAAAAGAACAGAAACAAAAAAAAATATGAGAGAACATCGTGACATTGAGGAAAAAAAATAAAATTCTTTCCTATTCTCGTTTTTTCTTGTAATCGATGTTAGAAGGATGTTGATTATCGTTTAAAACAACATTGCTTTTTCTTTACGATTGACTAAATATTTAAGAAAAAATCATTAATATTACATCAATCATGTCAACATGACCTTTTACGATGTTTTTTTGAAATAAATTTAGATGATAACTAATCCAATGAAACGAATGCGTAAAATTGTTAGTAAAAAAAAGCGACGTTATCAACAAGATGGTTTTGATCTTGATTTAACTTGTAAGTATCAGTTAAAAATTCAAATATATTCATTTTTTTTCTAAAATTATTTATTTAGATATTCGTCCAAATGTTATTGCAATGGGTTATCCAGCTGATAGTTACGAAGGTGTCTATAGAAATAATATTGCTGATGTTAGTCGGTAAGAATGAATCTTTTTCTTAAATAAAAATTTCATTAGAATATTTTCATTAAAGATTTTTATCGGCAAAACATGGAGACAAATTTTATATTTATAACTTGTAAGTAACAATTGATGTTTTTTGTATTTCTGAATTCGAATACTTTGTTTTTTAGATGTGTGGAAAGCGAAAGACAATATGATGGTTCACGATTTAATAATAATGTTTGTTCAGAATTCAGTTTTGAAGATCATAATCCACCAACAATTAAAATGATTTTGGCTTTTTGTCAACATGCTGACGCACAATTAAAAGCCATGACCGATCGAACACTTGTTATACATTGTAAAGCAGGAAAAGTAAATGCAAAAAATTTAACAATGAGATAAACTGAATTAAAGAGATTTATTATAAACTTAGAATGTACAAATATAATATCGACTGAGAATTAATTTTACAGAACAACGAAAAAGGATCTTTAGCTTGTCTTTTAAAAATAAGTAATGTACCGATAGGCCTGAAAGTTTTGTATAGATACTTTCTCATATTTTATAACTAAATTTTTATCTCTCTGTAGTGTGGGATGGGGTAATATCTAGTTTAATCTTGAAATAGATTTTCTTCTGTAATATTGTATTATTTAATTTGATTTCAAATATTATAATTTAGGGTCGTACGGGTGTTATGTCATGTTGTTTTCTATTATTTTATTACCGACAAGAATATAATGATCCATTACAAACGTTAAAATTCTATGCTCAACAAAGAACATCGAATGAAAAAGTATGAATATGTTTTTTATTTTATTTTCTAATATAATCTTGATTAATTTAAGGGTGTTACAATTCCTAGTCAACGTCGTTATGTAGAATATTTTGGACATTTATTAAATAGTCAAGTACCATATACACCTAAACAAATACTTTTTATTGGTTTATTAATCACATATGAACAAAATCAAGTGCTTCATTCAAGTTTGTTTTATTGACAATTAGGATCATTTATACTATTATTGTTCTTTTTTTTCTTCTTATTAAGGTCTTTCTTATACAGTTAAATCAGCGGATCATCGTATACAGTATCAATCATTTGAAATTCCTCTTGACCGTGATACAACAATTCGTCGAGATTTACCATCAAATTATTCAGTATTAGAAGCATCACATAAACATTTTATACCACCATCAAATCAACAATGTCATATATCATTAGAAGAAGATGTTCTAATTGAAATATTTCTAACAAAAACAAAACGAGGAAAACCAGTAAGAAATTCGAAAATAGAGAAACCATATCTTATGATTTTTTTTCGTAGGAAAAATTATGTCATTTTTGGTTTAATACATTTTTTCTTGTTGATCCAAAAGTGCGAACGATATTAAGTAATAATATTGAAAAACAACCTGAAAGTAATTTAGGTATACTTAAATCATGTTTAATACCTGAATGTGGACATAAACATTTATATACAATGGTTAAAAAAGATATTGATGGTTTACATAAAGATAAATTTCATCGTTTAGCACCATCGTCATTTACTGTAAGTTAATTTTATGAATAATTATTATTTAAAAAACCAAAATGAATCTATTGCGTATTTATAATTTTAGAATAAATCTAAAGCTTTTAGTTTAATCCCTCGGAGATTTATATAGAAAAAAACTATGATGAAGTCTATGAATTTGAATTAAAATAGAATGTCTTTTTGAACTAGATTAATTATATTGAGTATAAATTTTTATTACGAAATTTAGTTTTGTTAAATTTAATTAGATCTGATGTTTTTTTTAATTTATATGAAAGTATTTTTCTTTTATAATAATGCATATGTGAATTTTCATGATAATGGGTTTGACAAGGTCGATATTCTGATCGTGATATATTAAAATTTCTATCGACACTGATGAATGATCATACATGACAATGTTTATTTGCAATTTTTAGAATAAAATAATCAAGAGATTACAAAAAAATAACATTCTTTATTCAAAAAGATAAATGCACTCTTTGACGCCATTTGTTATATATAAAACAATAGATAATAAAACAGTCTATTAACAAGATTTCCCATGAGAACAAAACAAAATACATAATGCTTAACTAAAGAACTTCTCGTCCCTGATCATGACATGAATATAATAATTTTCTTTTCCTATATATATATATATATTGTCAAATAACCATTTCTTTTGTTTTATTTATATATAGGTATCAGTATTATTTGATTATATTCCAACGCCACCCTCTCAGTCATCAACAATAATAAAACCAGATCGATCATGTTCTTTATCTGAAAAGCAACCTAACGTAGATTTAAAACTAATTGAATCAAATAATAATTCATCACTTATAATTGGCCCATCGGATAAATTAATCGATCAAGATGAATTAAAACAAAATAATAAAATCAATGAAAAAATAACAAAAACTACTTTAAATTCTAATAATATAAATGGAAATCGTCGTAATGAAAGATCAGCATCATCGAGTCGACGTGCATTTGCATTATATTCAAATGGTATGTCGGATTGGGATAGTACAGACTCCGAATCAGGTACCAATGAAACAAATCTTAATGATGAACCCGAACCATGTTAAATAGAAATTACTTGTTTTTTTGTCTCATTATTAATAGAATTGCACATAGGAAAAAAAAACTAATACGAAACGAAAGAAATCTCATTGTATGAGTCTGTTTATAGTCTTCTGCTTTTTCTGTTTTGTTCTATTGAAGAAAAAGAAAAATTATATATATATATATGTAATGTTGAACAGTTTATGAATTTTTGTTTCTTTTTTAAATAATGTGTATCGTAGTATTTGTATTTTCTGTAGATTGATTTTTTTCATTCAATTGTTTGTTAATCAATATATATATCTATATATTTTTTTTTCTCTTTTCTGACTATTGATAAAAATCCTCATTTGTATTCTGTTTTTTTTTTGTTGCATATCCTTTCTGTCTACTGAATTGGTTTTGTTATAAGAAACAAGAGAGAAAAAAACAACAAGTTTTAATATTTAATTATTCTCTATTTAAATAAGAGACAAAAACAAAGAGAAAAGAAATTGTCTTTTTTTTCCTAAAGATCATATTTTTGTTTTTCTCATTTTTATTTAATTCATTCGACAATGCTCAATTAGAAACGCATCGTATCATAAACCCTTGAAATAGGAGAACAATCGCGTGTTAGTCTACGCTTCTTTTGCAACCAGTCTTATATTAATGGTAAACAATAATACTTTGCGAATGGATATTATCCTGTTCTCTTTTACATTTTTGTCACCTGTGTCTATCATCGTACCCTACTTTTAAGTATACGCGTTAAGATATCGATTCTCTTTCGCTCTTGGTCTCTCTCTCTTTTCCTTACCATACTGTTACGTGTATGTATACACTTATTCTTTTCACAATTATTTAGTAGTTTTTGCTGTTATTGCTATTTCTTTTTTACTTGATTGAGTGTTTGCGACAAGAAAAAGCATACATCTACCATGGTGTGTGTGTGCGCTCTATGCCGACCGTCGATTTTTTTTTGGTGAAGTGAAGAGGAAAGAGAAGAAAATTAGTCTCCTATTCTCTCGCCAACTACAACGCTTTTTACGCGTACTGTAGATCATTATTAATATTATACACATATAATACAAAGAAGAAATCTACAAGGACTTTCCTTTTGCCAAAACAAACTAGTCTAAGTATTAATTCTAGCAGCCATGAAGCTTTGAGATGTTATTTGTAGAATGAGGTAAACATCATGCACTCTGTAATTATTGTTAGCTAAATGTATAACAAAAAAAAAAAGAAAAGTAAAATGTGACTAGAAACTATGAAGTAGAAGAAGAAGAAAAAAAGAAACTTGCATGTAAATATATATATATGTACATAAGTAGCAACTCTAATCTTGTAAGAAGTTTTCTTTTAATATTGATACTAATAAATGCGTTCTATGTCGTTTGATTATTTGAAAATGCGTCGATTTCTCTGAACAATTCCTCTCTTAATATTCCGTTTAAGTCGAGTTCTTTTTTTCTTCTCTTTCGCTTCTTGCTAATCGTTAAGATCAAGGTTTTTCCTCGTGAGAATGATATGTTGTCATTTTTTGTCATCAACGACATGCATAAAAAGAAATTTTTTTTTCTTTTCAGATTTCTTTTTTTTCTTCTCTTTCTGTTTCTTCTCTTCTCTTTCTTCTTCTTCTTTTGGTTCTTTGCTCCATTATGTTATAGCTACAATATTCATCGTTTCTTTCTTCATATTTTATCTGCTGTCTAAAATTACAATAAAAGACAAAATAGAACAATGGTGCAAAAATATCAATCACCGGTACGTGTTTATCGTTATCCATTTGAACTCGTTATGGCTGCATATGAAAAACGTTTTCCAACATGTCCAATGATACCTGTTTTTCTTGGATCTGACATAACATCAGAATTTCATAGTGAAGATGGAGCTGAAGATATAATTGAACGACGTTGTCGATTAAATATAGATGCACCATATTTACTTAAAAAGGTAAATAATGTTTAACTATTCTTTTGTTTGTACAAAAATAAGAAAAAAAATCTCGATGTTTTTTCTATACAAAAACAAATATGAGTAGATTTATCCATTTCATGATGAATAATTATTATATAATTTGAGACGTGTTTTGCATAAGTAAAAATATTATTATTAATAATCCGTCGGAATTCTAGAGAATTATAACATTTATGTATATATATATTTGAACTTTAAATACAATGAAAACTATTCTTTGACAGTTTCTTTGTTAAACACGTATATAGAAAAGATAAGAAAATGAAGTGATGCAAATTTTATTACGTATTTGTTTTTCTTTCTTGAGATATTTGATTAGACAACCGTAAATGTTAAAACTTAAATACCATATTCACACTTCAAGTAAATATTAACAGAAGAAGATTAATCGAGTAGAAAATTCTTAGCCTTATTTATATATATATATATATATGCCAATTTGATTGTCTTAGATTGTCAATGTTGATCATGTGATATTTCTTCAAAAAAATCATCTAGATCGTCGACAACGTACATTACGTATTGATGCATGCAATGAAAGTTTTTCATCACGTTTAACCATAAAAGAATTTTGTCATTATTATGTATGAATAATTTTTTTTTAAATTCCCATTAAATAATTTATATATCTAAAATAACATATAGGTTCATCCTGATAATAATTTATGGACTTGTTTCGAACAAAGTGCATTTCTTGATATAAAATCATTTTTTGGTTTTGAAGCAAGTGTTGAAAAAATAGCGATGAAACAATACTCAGCTAATTTAGCGAAGGGAAAAGAAATTATTGAATATTATATAAATGAATTAATGAATGATGGTATAACAAGTGTTCCTATATGGACAGAACCATTATCAGCAACACCAAAAAATTCCACACAAGATAATACAAATTCTCTTAGTGAAGATCCATCATTAATAGCTGCACGTCGAAGATTATCATCACAAGATGCATCAAATATATTTACATCTTCATCCCCACCAAAAGCATCGGCATTAGGTGCAACAGCAGCAGCAAATTTTTCTGCTCTATCTGATGAACTTGAAACATTTCAAATAGATGAAAATTTACAAGAAAGACAAAGTAAATTTAATTTTAGCTTTTTTTTGTAATTATTCAATTTGTTTTATTTAGCTGTTGGAAATATTGATGATGAATATATACGTCGTTATGTTGGACAATTAGATCCATTTGAAGAAAGTTGTCTTGTACAACTTCGAAAATGGGTTGCAGAAACACATAAAGGAAAAGTATGAAATAAGAAATACAATGGATTATGTTTATATTTATTATTATTATTTAGTTACCAAATGATTCTCATCTCTTACGATTTCTTCGTGCTCGAAGATTTGATATTGAAAAAGCACGAGAAAGTGTTTGTCATTCATTAGCTTGGTAAGTGTCATCTCTCAAGGATAATAGAATTAAAAAACAAAGAAAAACTTCTAAATAAATATTTAATAACAGACAACAGATTCGAACTAACTAATTCTCTGGTCTTGTCATATATATCCAGGTATATTTTCAACATACGGTCTCTGAAAATAAATTTTCCTCGAAGAGAATATTATATTTAACTTGAGAAGACAAATATATGACAAAAAGGTTGCTTTCCTTTTTTTTCAAAATAGAACTCATTAATTTATGCCCTTATAAAAAAATATTGCATGTCTGTTTTCTTAGCTTTTGATACAGATTTCTACTCGGAAAAAAACAGTATGGTCTAATAATTCTTCATGACATTGCGTGTACCATATGGAATTAAATATCTCGATAAGTTAAGAATCTTATGTAGATAAATTAAGTATTTGAAATAAGTTTTCAAGATGATGTACTTTATCATTCTATATTTAATACATGTCCTTTTCGGAATTAATAACATACTTAGTCATATGATCTATACTCAAATTTCTTATTAAGAAATTGATTATAATAAAAATCTTTGGTTTCTCTCGATGACATAAATAAATCGATAAAAGAATCATTTTTTTTGTGTCTACGTGATAAAATGTAAACAACTTTATATAAAGAAAAATCTTCCATACGGATATTATATATCATTCAATGACATTTATCTATTTGTTTATTGTCAGAAGAAATAAATATTTATTGTGTAATTGGACAAAAACAAAAGATTTTTTTTTTGTGTTAATATTTTAGGCGTAAAAAAAATTCTATTGATCGTTTATTGATGGATTATGAAACTCCGGAAATAATTCAACGGTATTTTCCCGGTGCTTGGGGTGGAAATGATCGTGATGGTCGACCAATCTATATTTTACGAATCGGAGATATTGATGTTCGAGGTATTATGAAAGCAGTACATGGTGAAGATGTATGGATTAGACATGTATGAAATTAAAAAAAAAAGAATTTTATTTCTCTCTAAATAAAAATCTTTTTTAAGGTCCTATATCTTGTGGAACAGGGTTTAAATAAATGTGAAGAGAATACCAAAATATTTGGTAAACCAATCAGGTAGAATTCATAAATGAATTATTTGTCTTTTTTAAAATTTTTATTTTTTAGTTCTGTATGTGTTATACTTGATTTCGAGAATTTTAGTGTTAAACATCTTTATCGACCTGTTTTTCGAGTTATATCACAAATAACTGATACTGTTGAAGCTAATTATCCTGAAACACTCGGACGGTAATGATTCGATAAAATAATAAATTCTAAACTATTTCTTTTTTATTATTATATTAATTTAGATTATTTTTAACACGTTGTCCTCGACTTATACCAGTTCTATGGACAATAATCAATACATTTGTTGAAGAACAAACAAGAGCAAAATTTGCTATACTTAAAACTGACGAGCTTAATGAATATGTTGATGAAATAAACATTCCTGATTTTCTTGGTGGTCAAATGCCTGTACGTTATATGTCTCATTTAATTATAATATTTTTGTTGTTGTTTAGTTTCAAGGGTCATCAGGTGGAACAGTTCCACGTTCACTTTATCTCCATGAAGATGAACATGATAAAACTGATGGTGAAAGTTCATTATTTGGTGATAATGCTTATAAAGTTGTTTCAATAAAAGAAAACTGCGCACATGAGGTTTATATACCAAAATTTATGAAATTGAAAAAAACAATTTTTTTTCTTTTAAATTAAATTTAGATTCTTATACCAGTATCACAAAAAGGTGAAAGAATTTGGTATGATTTTGATCTATTAAAATCTGAATGTACATTTACAATTTATCGTCTGGGAAAAATCAAAACTAGTGAACATAATGATAATGAAGATAATTTACGTCCATCATCACCTACACAAAAATTAAATTCAACATTACATGCAACAACAATTTATGATAAACCATTAATTGAATCTACAACAGATGATATTGTACGTTTAACTCAACCATGTATTTATCATGATGGAGATTCAGTACAACAAACATTTGTTTGTCAACAACCAGGAAATTATGTTTTACAATGGCGTCATTCAACAAGTCATCATACAGCAAGTCCATTTGATTTTATTAGTGGAAGTCATAAAACAAAAATCATGTATCATTATGAACGGCAATCACCTGCTAGATTATCAACTGATATATCATCAAACGGATATTTCAATAATGAACAGCGAACAACATTGACTTCATCTTAAGAAAAGGATTTTGTTATGTTCTATTTTTTTTTTGTATAAAACGGCTTGGTTCCGTTACTAAGAAGCAAACATGAAACATTCATTTGCGTGCGTCTCACTTTCTCTCTCTGTCTGTTACTTTCTTTACTTTTGAACGATATCCTTCCCGCCATCTTCTTTTCTTGCAATGCTGTCTGTCTATTTATATATGTTTCATCACTATAACGACTATCTGATATTAGAATTAACTGCTCAGGCAGACAGATATTCTTTTCTCTCATATATTTATATATGTCTGTAATAAAAGTAAACAAAAACTAATTTTCATTTTTTCTGCTTCTTTCAATATTATATTTCATAAGAAATTTAATAGTATGTTTCATAGATAATAAGCAAATTTTACGTCAGGAGAATGATGACTCATGTATTGCGCATGTTTGACATACTATTGGAAAAGTCGAACGAATCAAAATATATAGTTTATTTTCGGATTTTAAAACACGCACGTGTTATAGATAATTTAAGTAGACTATTAATGTTGAGAAGTTATTAAAATAATGTGCAGATAAAATTAACATTTTATTTTTCTATTATTCATCATGTTCTTTCTTTTCCTACTAAAATAGATGAGTAATATGAAAAATTATAGTATATAAGAAAATGAGATGCACTGATTATTGTTATATTTTTTTGTAATACAAAAGTGTAAGACTGTTATTCTTTGTAGAACATTCTGTGTTTCGTTTTAACATTATCATTTTGTCTCGTAAAGTTCGAAAGTTGACCTTTGTTTCTATTCGAGACTTTTCCTCGGATCATATTTAGACGTCACAAGGTAAATCAGACCATATGATGTACCTTTTTTAGATACGAACCATAAGCATATATCACATAGGTGACTTCATGTTTACTTTTTTTCGTTCTGTAATCAAAAGGTATGGCGAGATGTTTCCTATTGGATCCTGCTGCCCTGTAAAAATTTAATGAAAAACAAATAGTCTCAAAATTTCGCATAATAAATATCGGAAGATTCTCAAGTTGTTTTCATATTTTTTAGATAATAATAAAAATATAATGTTGAAATTTCTCGCACTCATCTCTTATGTTCTATTAAATTCTGTTATAGCTGAGGTAATAATTCAACTTTTTACGAATTTTGAAATATTTTGAATTGTTTATAATTTAAAGGAAGGTCATTGTATCTGGTATGGGCAATGTGGTGAAAATGCAATGGGTAAAACTGTAAATTGTTATTATAATGGTACTGCAAAAAAGTTGACTGACCCAACAGCATTAAAAACATTAGAAACAGCTTGTGGAATGAGTTATAATGGTAAGTGAAAATTGAATTTACCTATTTAAATTTATAAAAATATCTTCTAGGTCCCGATAATACATATACTTGTTGTGCTCCTGAGCAAATAACTAATATGGCAAATCAATTTGGTATGGCGAAATTAATGTTAGGTCGATGTCCATCATGTTATTATAACTTTCGATCATTATTTTGCGCTATGACATGTAATCCTCAGCAAAGTCGTTTTATAACTATTAATGCAACGGGTACCAGTACAAAATATCCTGATCGAGTAACTATCGAAGCTATTGGATATAAACTTGCTGATGATTTTGGTCAACGTTTCTTGGATTCCTGTCGGTTAGTTTTATTCTTTTGTATAAAAATGATATTTTAATTTAATTTGAATTTTCAGTGATGTTTTATATCCCGGAGGTAATCAACATTCACTTGATACAATGTGTGGTCGACCTTATGATAAATGTACAAAAGAATCCTTTGTACAATTCTTGGGTGTTGATAATCCTGCAGTACCATTTCCAATATATATCAAATTTGAAAATGATACAACTCAAAGTGATACCTATTATAATCAAACAACATTTCTATGTGATGAACCAATAATATCAAGATATGAAAATAAAACTGCATGTGGATGTTTAGTAAATATTTGAAAATAAATTATTTCTATTTTCTTTCTAATACGATATTTTTTGATATAGGATTGTATAAAATCATGTACTCCATTACCACCGGATGTACCAGTTGAAGAATTTAAAATATTTAATATTGATGGATATGTTTTTATTGCTGGAATAGTTATTGTAATTCTCATAACAATATTTATTTCAACTATGGTTGTTATACCATCATTTCGACGACGTCAACATATAATCTTAGAACCAACAGGTAATTAATACGAAACAAAAAAAATACATTCCTTAATTTTCCGATTTTCTATAGAACAAACATCATTATTACATCATCCGAAACAAACAAAGAAAATTCGATTTTTATTACGTATTCGTCAATATACAGAACGATTTCTTGAACGAAATTTTTTTCGGTATAATTCAATAGATAAAAATAATACCTTGCAATTATTTCTTTTTTCAGTTTGGGTTTATTCTGTGCTCAACATCCATTTATTGTCTTATGCACAGGTGCAATCATCATTATTGGTCTTTCATGTGGTTTAATTAGATTTAAAGTCACAACTGATCCTGTTGAATTATGGTCATCGAAATCAAGTATTGCACGACAACAAAAAGACTATTTCGATAAACATTTTAAGTAAGGAGATTTAATTAAAAGAAAAAAATGAATACAATTTAATTTTTAGACCATTTTATCGAACCACACAAATAATTATTGTTCCTGATGATCAATCATTTGAAACACATTATTATGAATCACCACCAGCACCATTCAGTGAATATACATTTGGGCCAGTATTTAAACTTGATTTTCTATCACGTGTACTTGATTTACAAACAGAAATCTTAGCACTTACTGGACAATTAAATGATAATAATCAAACAATTTCTTTATCGGATATTTGTTTTAAACCATTGAAACCTGACAATAATAATTGTACTGTTTTTTCAATTTTACAATATTTTCAAAATTCAAAAGAAAATTTATATAAACGTGTTGGTGATGATTTTTTTACATTCTATGATTATACAACACATTTTATGACTTGTTCACAAGCACCAACAACAACAAATGATCCATTAAATATAACATGTTTTGGAGATTATGGTGGTACAATTAATCCATTTATGGTTTTAGGTAATTATACAGATAATGTATATGCAAATGCAACTGCATTAGTAATTACTATTGTTATTGAAAATTCAAATGATCCAGAAAAAATTCGTGCAGGTTTGTATAAGAGGATTATATGAACTTTTCGATAATTTTCGTTCTTATATTTAGCTGAAGCATGGGAAAAAACTTTTCTTGATTATATGAAAAACTTTACGGATACTCAAAAATCAATACGTGCTGCTGGTCGTTGGAATGAAAGTGCAAATTTTACTGTTTTTTATAGTGCTGAACGTTCGATTCAAGATGAATTAAATCGTCAAAGTCGTTCGGATATCTTAACAATAATAATATCTTATTCCATTATGTTTCTCTATGTTACATTAACTCTTGGTCATATACGATCTTGGCGTACATTTTTAGTAGATTTGAAAATTTCTGTTGGATTCATCGGTGTTCTTTTTGTATTATTATCTGTAATGAGTTCCATTGGATTTTTTTCTTATTGTGGTATTGCTGGTACATTAATTATATTTGAAGTAATACCATTTCTCGTCCTAGCTGTTGGTGTCGATAATATATTTATAATTGTACAACATTTCGAACATACAAAATACGAGAAATACGAATCAAACGATGTACGTTTAGCAGTAACAATAAGTCGTATTGGTCCATCCATATTATTAACGGCAACAAGTGAATCAATTGCATTTTTACTTGGTTCATTAACACCAATGCCTGCTGTACAAATTTTTTCATTATACGCATTTATGGCTGTATTTATTGATTTTTTACTTCAAATAACTTGTTTTGTATCTGTACTTGCACTTGATGCTCGACGACAAGATTCTGATCGACCAGACTTGTGTTGTTGTATACCAACATCAAATTTCCTATCAAATAATCAAATTGAACATAAATCGAAAGGAATATTACAACAAATATTTACTAATGTATGGACACCATTAGTATTAGGAAGCACTTATGTACGTGCATTTATATTTTCAATATTTATTATAATAACATGTTTATCATTATCAATTTTACATCGTATACCTATTGGTCTTGATCAAAAATTATCTATGCCAAAAGATTCTTATGTATTAGATTATTTTTATGGTTTAGAAAATTATTTAAGTGTTGGTCCACCTGTTTATTTTATTGTTAATCAAGATGCAATTGATTATAAAAACATTAATGATCAAGATTTACTTTGTGGAACAGCTGGTTGTTCATCATTATCATTACTCGGACAGATTGGTCAAGCATTACGACAACCAAAACATTATTATTTAGCACAACCACCATCATCATGGCTTGATGATTATTTTGATTGGTTACAATCAACAAATGATCCACCTTGTTGTAGAATTAATAATAAAACACAAGAATTTTGTCCAGCTACAATAAATGATACATCATGTATAGCATGTCCCGTGACATTTGTTAGTAATCAACGACCAGCACCAGCTGATTTTGAAAAATATATTCAATATTTTCTAATTGATAATCCAGGTGATAAATGCCCGAAAGGTGGACATGCTGCGTATCACGATGGAGTTGAATTAATTAATAAAACTTATGTTAAAAGTTCGTATTTTATGGGTTTTCATTCGATACTTAAAACATCTGAAGATTTTATTGGTGCAATGAGAAGTGCGAATGATATAGCAAAAAATATTTCAAAAACAATTTTAATGAATCAAAGTCATACGTATCATGATTCTGATAAACTTGAAGATTATCCTGTTTTTCCATACAGGTAATTATATCACTATTTCAGAGTATATATTTGTTCTAATAGAGGCATTACACCCAAGCACTTTCGATTTGGGTCATGTCTAATACTCACGTGAGCTTATATCTCACGAGACTAATATAGAAATATAAGTTTCTTACGAATTTTGTACTTTTTCTATCATCGACCTCACTTTTGACGTTGAAGATCTTGAGGGTTAGTCTAATTTGAATGTTTTGATTCTGATGTACTTAGACGACATATTTGAACCGTATGAACATATGATATTTGATAGAACAACTACAAATCAAACAATTCATCTTCTTTTTCATATAGCCTAGGGCGAAATGACATAAAAACAATTTAGTCTACTGTATTATTATTTTCCTCAGTGTAATTTCCGAACTTTACATTCTTCTTCATTGATTTGTCCATGACTTTACAACACAACGACTAATTTTTGTTTCTAGGGTTTTAATAAATAAAACTTTTTGAACATCGTAATTCTTTTATATTAATAATCAAGTGAGATTCCTATTTGTTGTTGTGATGGGTCAAATATCGATAGATTAAGAAATGAGAATCTCTATTGTCAAAAAGCTCAGATGTCATGTTGTCATATTTTCTAAGTCATCATATCTAAATACAAATCGACCTTTTTTTTCTTTCATCTAATTTCCCTGTTGTATTTCTAGTATCTTCTATGTTTTCTATGATCAATATTTAACAATATGGCGTAATCTACTTACAAATCTAACATTATCATTTACTGCTGTATTTATTGTAACATGTGTATTACTTGGATTTGATTTTCATACAGCATTCCTTATTATTCTTTGTGTATTTATGATTATTACGGATATGTTTGGTGTTATGTATTTATGGCATATTGAACTTAATGCAATATCGGCTGTAAATATTATTATGGTAAGATTTAATAGAAAAAATTTTTTTTTTTATTATGATTTCTTTATAGTCTGTTGGTATTGCCGTTGAATTTTGTGCTCATATTGCTCGATATTTTGCTGTTAGTCAAGGAGAGACTCGATTAATTCGTGCTCGAATTGCATTAGCTGAAATGGGTAGTTCGGTACGTTTTTTTTTTCTTTTTTAAAGTTCATATTCTTCTACAAATCTATTATTTATAGGTATTCAGTGGCATAACATTAACCAAAATTGGTGGCGTCGTAGTACTCGCATTTGCTAAATCACAATTATTCCAGGTGTTCTATTTCCGCATGTACTTTTCATTAGTAATTATTGGTGCTGTTCATGGTCTATTGTTTCTTCCAATATTATTAAGTTATTTTGGTGAGTATAAAATCAATTAAAAATTGATGTCGTCTCGATTCTTGTTTATTTAATAATGATAAAAATTCTTTTTTCAGGCCCACAAGCAGTCGCAATTGTGGATGATAGAAAATATCCAGATCAACTAAATGCGAATAATGATGATTTATCAAATGAAAGAATTATAGATGAAAATATATGTGATATATCATTTCCTGTTGGTGAAAAATTATAAACACGAACGAGTTCTATCTTTGTAAAACATTTTGTTTTTATTCTTGCTTGTCAGATGCTTTTTTGTTTTGATCGTTTAATATTAATACGTTGAAAGAATAAATTAAATACAAGATTATAATTCTTTTTTGCAGTTTTAGATTTGTTTTATGACATAATTTATATACGTCAAACATGAGAAGAAGAAGAAAAAATATGTATATAAATAGATTCTTTTTTTATATCTATTAATTTTGAAAGAACTTTGTTTTTCTCTTAGTTAGTTTATTGTCAGACAAGAGAATGAAAAAAAAAGAACAATCTGTCATTGTTGATATTAGAAAATGTATGAATTCTAACGAGATAATAAAAGGTGAATATTTATTGTATTTAATCTAATAGTCTATATAAAAAAAAAGTTTTTTCTAATAATAAAATTCTGACATTAATTAAATGAAAGAGCACTTCATTTTTTCTCTCTCTTCTTCTTTGCAGTAGATATAATAAATATTAATCTGTTTTTTCCTATCTAAGAAGAACAGAAAAAAAAAATTAGAAAATTTATCTTAAAAATCAACGACGCAATATATATTTTTAAAGTATTAAAGCATGATTTCAAACTAAGGAAATGCTCTTTTCTTTTTTGTTTCCTTGACATCTTGTTAAAGAATTTACATTATGAAAATAGCCTCGTTACATGCAAGCATATTTAATATTTTACATATTTTATGAGAAACTCCTAGGTTAATATAACATTCATGTTATTTTTCTTATGTAGTTCTATTACTAAAATATTAGTTTTCAGGTCATCATTCCAGACCTGTCTTTTTTTCCCCTATATATAAAATACATAATATATATTTATATATTGTCTCGTTTTATTTTTCATAATATTATTAAATACCAACATTGACCGACATCTAGACTGTTAATGTAATATGAGTTCTTATTCACCAATAAGTAAAAAATATCTCTCTCTCGTCTTTTTTTTTTATAAATAAATATTTTCTTTAATTAAATCAATATAATTTGTCTATTGTGATATGATAAAAAAATTTACCAATGATCAGTAGATTATTGTCATATTATATTTGATTAGTTTTGTCTTATTGCAAAATAAAAAAAGAAATCCCAAAATTTTTCTATTATTTAACTTGCATTTTCTTTTTTCATCATCATTTATTATTCTTTTCATTTTAAGTTATGTTTTACTTAGTTATGCATATATTGACTAGTTTTTACAAGTGAGTTCGTAGGTGCTATTGTTTTTTTATCAGGAATCTGTCGCTCGTTTCTACGTGTTACTAATATTTTTTTCCCTATTTACATGCGATGAATCAACAAAAAGTCATGACTATATTTGCCGTTTTATGTTTTTTTTTTATATTTCTTTCTATGACATTGAGATTTAGGAAGTTTCCAGATTATCATCTAGGAGAAAACCGTTAAAACAATAAGTTAATTGTCAGGAAGGGAAAAAAAAATTTTCTATATCATGAAGGATATATATATATATATTTGAAGAGAAACAGTAGTAAATATATATATATATTTTGATCGAATTTTTTTGTATTGCGTAGTAAAAGAAAAATGTAGAAGGTAGAAATAAGAATGTGTGCTTTTCTTATAATGCGTATAAGAACAGAACACCAAGTTGTGAATAATCATGGACGGGCAAACATCGCTAGCATAGACAATATTCTGATAGAGTGCAAACTATAGTCTAAAAAAGAATCTATTCGAGAGAAAGAAGAAAAAAAAGGAAGTAAGAGAGGGAGAGAGAGAACGAGGGTGAAAAAGACGAAGCATGACATTTGCTGGACAGGAGAATAAAGTCATCTTTCGTCCCATATATAATTCTCTATTTTTGTCGTTTTTTTGCTGTTCCTGTTGTAGTGAACGGAGAAGCGTCTGAGTTGATTAGTCTATCACATAGGAAAAAAAGAGAGAGAGAGAGAAAGAGGGAGCGAGAGAAAGAAGAAAGTCGATCTTAAAAGAATGACAGAAGGAAGAAAAAAAGAAAGGGTATATAATCAGATTGCGTCTCAATTGTTAGTACAGTAAGGTAGTGTGCGCATGTCGCATGAGCATTTAATCAGCACGAGACTATTCCTACATTGAACATACGTCAAATATCGTAATAAAATAATTCAATTTTCTATATTCAGTTTCTTTCAAACGTTTTTTTCATCAATATTATATATATATATACATTTAATTTTTTTTTCTTCATTTTTCTTTTTTATTCTCATACTTCAGATGATGTTGTTTTTGCTCAAAATATAATATTTTCTAGTGTGTTGTGTGTGTGTGCGTCGTGTGTGTATGATATTTATTTGAACACAGAACCAAAAAAACGAAGACGGTATAAGAAATCTTATTAAGAAAAATTCAAGTTTATTATTTAAAATATGGTAACATTATCGGAAAAATTTCATGAACAATATAATCTTATTCAACAACAATTTGATGAATGGACACCATTTGAACAATTTTATGCATTGGTTGAATTAACAAAAAAAATACATTTATCATATCGATATTTTCTTTCACAATTATTATCTCAAACAAATAATCAATTAGAAAATAATGATATGTTTCATCATACAATTCATCAAGCTAATGCACCAGGTAAAAATCAAATGAATACTAAGAAGAAAAAGACTAACTGATGATTTTGATTTTATTTTAGCGATAGTTGCTTGTCTTTTATCGGATCCATTGGATAAAATTATTTCAACACTACAACTTTATTTACCATTAGTTTCATTAACAACAACTAATGACAAATTACTTGATTCTTATCGAGATGTATTCATCTATTTGGATTCAAAATTAACTAATCCATTAAATTTTTTATATACAGAACAACAATTAATAAATCTTTCTCAACAAATGAAATTTTTTATTCAAACAAATCCATGTTTACAAAAATTTCTAGTTGATATGCCGCAATTAAATGTTTTAGCTTGTTCAACGACGACAAAGATTAATAAAGAAGGAGGTGATACGGATGAGGTATGATATAAATAAAGTACTTTTTTCTTTGATTTAGAATAATGATTTCTAACTGCGCAAAAGAAAAAACAAAACATGATAGAAATAGTCATGACTTTTTAAGGACGTCATTTTTTTTCCCTTGTTTCAAAGTAAAAATACGGATGTAAATATACATACACTATAACTAACGTCAATAATAAAAAAAGAGAGCATACAAAGACATATATGTCGTCTGTCTCGTTTTTTTAATCTAATATAAAGAAAAACAATGTTATCATAAAAAAAGAAAAAAATCTTTTTTTGTTTATTTTTAATAAATAGAATTCAATATCACCATCATCACCACAACGACATCATCAACCTTTACAACGTCATCCATGTGTTCGACCCTACCAACAACCACCACAATCATCATCACCACCACTACCACCGCCACCATCGTTAGTTAATTTTTCTTCTGATGGTTCAAAAAATTCTTTTATAAGTCAACAAATAATACATAATGATGCAAGTGATAGTGGTGTTGATTTATCTGAGCCAGGTTTAACAACATCTGTACAAAATCTTTTATCATCTCAAAATTCTCAACATACAGCTATTGGTCGATCGAATTCAGCTAATTTAGCATCGACAAATGAACAAGATAATCAATCGAATCATCAACTTGTTATTAAAACATCATCATCACCAACACCTGAACAAACAAATACAATTCGTTCATCATTTACACCTTTGACAGGTGTATTGAGTGCACCAGCACCATCAATTCATTCATATTTTTCAGATTTTCGTCATCAAAATTCTATTTATCCACATCAACAAATTCGACCAACATTAACAATAAGTGATGAAGATGAAGAAGAATATCAAATGCAAGATTTTACAACAGATCATACACAAAATCTACCAAAATCAATCGATAAATTCTATTCTGATATTAATTCACAAGAAAAAACTAATCATCGTTTACGTCAATTTTCTTCATTATGTCATCATAAACCAAAAAATAATCTAAATAATTCTGGCAATACCGATTGTGTATCACAATATTTAGCTATTGATGGTCAAACTGGTAGTGTACGTAATACATTTATACAACCAAATAGTGGCATGCGTGGTAAATAATTCTTCTGTTTATTTGCTTGAATTTTCTTATTTCTTTTGTTTTTGCTTTCAAGATGTACCAAAATGGTTAAAAAATCTTCGTTTACATAAATATGCATTTTTCTTTTCACAAATGACCTATGATCAAATGATGAATTTAAATATGGAACAATTAAAAGAAGGCAGAATAACTGATGGTGCATGTACAAAAATTTTATTAAACATTAAAAAATTAAAAGAAAGACAAACAACATTGCAACAATGTCTTATGGATATTGATAATGGACAAATCGATATGAAAAACGTTTTACAGCAATTAAATGAATTAATGTTAACACCAATACGTGCTAAACAAGCCGAACAAAATAATGATACTGATGAAGATTTACCTAAATTAATTATGCAAGTTCTTGAAAAAGGTAAATATTTAAAAGATAAATCAATAGTACATTCATTTTTTTGCTTATTTTAGTCTATCAAGAATTAACATCAAATACATCTTCGACAACTATTTTATCGGATATGTGTAATAATTTAGTTGGCCTATTTGATCGTTGTTATAAACATGAAGCTTTTTCAGCTAATCAACGTCATACATTATTACATTGGCGTGGACCATTATGTAATAAATTACAAACATCGGGTAAAGTTGAATTTAAATCTATGCAATCATCATCATCATCATTAAATCGTCGAACACAACTTAAACCACAAACAAGTATGGGAAGTATGAATTCAACACAAATAACTAAACCAGCTATACGTAATATAAAAAGTAATGTTTCATATTATTCAAATTATCAATCGCCTTCAATACCATTATCACGACAACATAATTCAGAATTATTAACACAAAATGGAAATAATAATTTTTCAACAGATTCAAATTTAATTCGTCGTCCAGTTAAATCACCCACACTTATTTTTACAAAAAATAGTGATTCAAAAGATGATGAAATACCAGGTCCAAATCATTTATCAATTGTCACAAGTCATTCATTACAAGAACAATCATCATATCATCAAAGCCAACCATTTGTAACGGAACGTTCGGGTAATGGAAGTGGAAATCTTCGACCATCATTTAGTTATTTAATGTCACCATCACAACGTAATAATGGAACTTATTTAGCAGCAAATCAACATCAATTATTAACACGGAAAACAAGTATTGATCCATATGGTGAAACAAATTCGGAAGATAAATCAAAATTATGTAAAACATATAGTGATCCAAATCGAATTCGTTTTTATAATCCAAATCAACAAACATCGAATCATTTACAAATATCATCACAACAAACAAATTATCGTTTAACATCAACACCCTATTCACAACGACAATATTTATCACGATCACAACCATCATCCACAAATTCTAATCATTTATATGATACTGATCTAATTCCTGAATCTCCCATTCAAAAATCTTTTTCAGCGAAAGAAACATCGAATTTTTTTGGTAAAAATAATTTAAGAAATATTTTATTTTTGAATATTTTTTTTTTCTTTCAGGAAATGATGATAATAATAATAATACTCATGATGTTGAACTTGCTTTTAATCAACAACAGAATAGTACAGAATTTGAAACATTATGTCGTCAAATAACTGAAAGTGCCATAAGTGATGATGGTAAAAATTTTTATTAAGAAATTGATTACAATAAAAACAAACACACGTTCATTTTAGTTCATGATAAAGACTGTTCGGATATTCAAAATAGAAAATCATCTTCAAATAATTCAACAGATACCGAATAGTAATTCAAATGATTTTATTATTATTAAATACATAAAATATAAACAACATTTTCTTATGTATATATATTTTTATCTGTATGTTTTTTTCTCAGAGTGTCCGGTACACTCATTCATAATCTCGTTTTTTTCTGTAGTTATAAATCTGCGCTTTTGTTGTTGTTGTTGTTGTTGTTTTTTGTTATCGTTGTCGTCCCCGTCCGGTGGTATAAAACAAAATTTAATACTCAAGCCAAAAAACACAAAACGACAACATCGAAAACTTTGCCGGTGATTTATTCATATATATATATATATACATATTTATTTTTCTCATTTTGGCTGCTGCGCTGCTTCATCTTTATGTATGCTTTAAAAGAAAATGTTGACAAAACAAAAATTTATTCATTTACTTTGCTTTTTATTCTTTATTATTTGTATTATTCGAACAGATTAGCACTTATCGGCAGTGCCGTTTTTGTTTTTTTTTGTTGAAATCTCTCGTGTGTGAGTGTTTAGAAGAGATGTAACACATATTTAAACACACACCGGAGGTGTTCAATTTTTTTTTCGTTGTTGTTTTTGTTGCTTCTTTTAAATGTATATTAAAGTTCATCGATTATGTTTTTTTGTTCTATCATTTTATTGATTAAACATTAAAAGATAGTAGATTGATAAAGTCCATCGGATTTCTAGATTTTTTCATTGCGTAAAATGGCATCGTCATCATCAGCAGGATTATTTAAAGAACGTGAAAAATTTGTTAAGAGACATGCAGAAGAAACAGCTTTTCTTGCATCAGCTGAAAAACGTCAAAAAACTGAGAAACCATCATCACAAAAAACTAGTCGACCTAAACCTGCCATTAATCGATCGAAAACATCGTCAGGTTAATATGATTTCATATCCACATTGACAAAATATTTCATAATTTATTTTATTTAGATTTTACATCAGATTATCCTTCATCAACTACTGGTTCTAAATCGCGGTTTTTGTCATTGGCAAATGTTGTCGAAAAATTACAAGTAAATATAAGAGAAATTTTTATTTCTAATAAAGTTGATGTATTCCACCGTAATTTGTATAGTTAAAAGCATTTATTCTTTCAAGAACTCTTAGAATTTCATGATTGAATAATAATCTTTAAATAAATGTACAGACATGAAGACTCATAATTATGTGCTTTGAAGTATAGTTCTTTTTTTTTGTCGTCATAGAATCTTCACGTAACTATTTGCACTAAAAGAACAATCAAAAGTGTATTTTAAAATATACTTCAAAGAATTTTCTCGGTACAAGTACATCTTGAAATATCAGCTTTTTTGGGAAAAAATAGATTTATGAAGAATGTCATTATTATAGTTGAATATCATACTTGACCTTCTCATCTTAACTAATAAAACTATTTTTAGTCCTACGCATGCATAATATATTCCACCGCTGACCATATGACGCTTTTTTTCCGCGAAAAACGCAATACTACTCTTTAAGAAATGTTAAGTTTTACAAATCTTTTTCGCTTTAGGAACGATTTCTTAGTGGACAAACTGATGCATTAACATTAGACGAACTTATTGAAGAATTTGAATTAAAAATCGATTCATCTGATAAACATTGGCTTAATTCTGAAGTAAGAAAAAGAAATTTTATATTTGATAAATCTTTTGTTTTTTTTCCATTTAGGCTCTTTTATCAAATAAACAAATTGATGTAAAGAGAATTGATGATATTAATAAATTTGTATATAAACCACCACTTGATTTAAAAGCTCCTAAAAAAACTCCACTTCTTAATCTTTTAAAATCACGACACGAAAAATGTGAAGGTGCTGTAACAGTTGATGATGTACGTGAAACTATTCCAAGACAAAAAGCTGATTTTATAATTGACGTATGTTACGATACAGATTATAAGACTAAATATTTATTCTTATATTTATTATATAGAGTTTAGTTAAAGGTGGTGATGTTGTTAAAGTAACTAGTAATAAAAAAGAAGTTTTGTTTTATACTGATCGTCCTTATGATCTTCGTGTTAATCAAGGTAAAGATCAAATTTCGAAATAAATAAATGTATATATATATATTTTTCAGAATTTATTGAATCATGGAGAAAAATATCAGTTGAAGGTTTAGATGATAAGAAGATATGTGAATTTCTTGATAATCAAGGACATCATGCTTTAATTAAGAATGCATCACGGCCATCCGTAAATTAAAATTGATTATTTATTCAATATATATTGTATATATTTGATTATTCTAGAATTTACCAGCGAAATCAAAACGAGGAGGTCGTCGTCCTGATACTATGAAACATAATCAACACGTTGCTCATAAACTTGAAGTATATCATTGAAAAAAATATATATATATATAAAATAATGATTAATTTCTTTCTAGGATTATTCTAATCCAGCACCTAAAAAATAAAACAAATTTGTTTTGGTTTGAAAGCGAACAATGTTGTATAATTAAGACGGAAGAGTCGCATATGTTTTTTTTTCTTATTTCAAAAATAAAAATTCAGGAGTTTAAGATTTAAATATCTTACGATAGAAGTTAAATAAACAAAACTACTTTTCGTAAAAATTAATAAATACAAGAATCATGCAAGTTATATTGATCAGACTATCATTATTTTATTCATAATGAATATTAATATGAATGCATGTTTCTCTAGTTTTTTTTTATTTCGATACATAAGCAAATCATTGAACAATAATTGTTTAAAATCGTTTTTCTTGTGGTTAGCATAAAACGTCAAATGTGATAGTGATTAATTACAATAAAATCATTCAACATATGCATGATAATCGTTTTAGGAATGGTGGTTATCAAAACAAAGTCTGTTTCATTCTTATCTGTACAGATATGGATGCTTCTTGAATCAATCATCAACATATTTATCATATAAATCTATCTGAATTATCAAATACTATTATAAATTATTTGTCACCTTTCATACAGTAGTGTACTTAAGTCTATAATGGATTAAACTTAGTATAAAATAAAAAATAATTATTTTTCTTTTTGTTCTATCTGAGTATTTAATTTGAAAGAAGGAAAAAAAAAGAATTTTTCAATTCATGTACGCATGACTTTTTTTCTTTTACATGACATTTGCATACACAACAACAGTAAAGAAAAAAAAATGAGTATAGTGTAGGTTTATCATATTCAACAACTCAAGCATGATTTTTTTTTCTTTTTTTTTTGTTATTTGTTTCATATACAAGAAAATTACGAAGAAAAGAAAGAAAGAAAAGATATGTCATGTCGATGGTCGATCGTGTGATTGAGAAGATTCACGAGTTGAACCAGATTGTTTTGATGTTGGAGGTTTTGAAACAACGACAATATCTTTTTCCGATAAAATTTGAACAAAAAATGCGCCTTCTTTCTTACGAAATTTTTTATTAGCTGCATCAAATGATAATCGTATACCAACAGATATACTTAATAAACATATAAAACATTCAATTAATGAAACAATTAATGCCATAAATATAAGTAAATCTTTTCGTTCTTTTAAATAAGCTTTCCCATCAGTCATTATATTAACCAGACCTAAACGTAGCAATTGAATATTAACACAATCTACTATAAGTGTAACAGTACTGATTGCTACATAGCATAGTATCTAAATTTTGAAAAAACAAAAATTTTAAACAAGAGAAAAGTTTGAATTTACCACATAGAGACCTTTTTGACGTGCACATATTATTCCTATGGCCCCACAAAGAGCAAACTGAAAAAAGAAAAAAGAAGAAATACAAAAATTAATTACAGAATGCATTCGATAACTCACAAAAACGCCACTCCATAGTGGTGAAATACTATGTGCCATCCAAACAAGTTCTCGACTTTGTGAAATAATGCCAAGAATAATAATTATTAAAGCAAGTACAACATGTAACGATGATATAGCATAAGTCAATCCGATGAATATGTACATGAGATGAAGAACATTAAAATCATCTCTCTATCGGCGGTTCAGAATTTACCGACACGACAACATAAAAAATATAAATGAAAAAACAAAAAGATAAGAAGAATAAGGGAAAAAAATATGATCGCAATAACGATAAGAACAAGGACATGCTCATGTCATATCTCATAAAAGATTAGAAGACGTTCGTTTTCTGTTGGTTCTCATTTTCCCTTTTTGTCGACAACAACGAACAAGTTTGTGAACGTCCGGAATAAAGAAAATAGAGAGATGATGATGACGAAGAATAAGAAGAAAAAAATTCGAGGACATTATAAGGCTGTATTTGGCATTGAACGATCCCTCTCGCTTATTTTCTCGAAGATTATGTGAGCGAGAATAGACGGATATGCACGTTAGAACGAATACGAGCGTTAATAGAATCTGTTCATAGTAGAAACAGCTAAAAACAAACAGCCAATATAACATGATAATAAACCACAAGTTATTGATAAAGTGGCGGAGAGAAAAAGACAACGAAAGGAATTTTTACACTTGAAACATCGACGTTTATTCGGCATTGATGACAACTTCATTTGACAGCCACTTCGATCTCATATCATACATATTGATCAATACAATAAGAATTTGTTTACTCCAAAACTAAAGTTATATATGAGATTTTCTTTTGAAAAACAGCAAAAAATAGAAATAATTATTCAATTATTATTTTATTTAATTTAAAAAAATATTCTTTTTTCTAAACTTATTATTATTATTTGTTTTTTATTAAGAAAAATCGATACATTAATGAACTCAAAACGTATATATTTTCATATACCCTATATCTAGAAACTTTCTCTACAATCATTTTGTTCCCTGGAATAAGAAAAACAAAATATGACATATAGAAAAGCATATTTTTTTCTAGATGATTAAAATATGTATATACAACAACATCATCAAGAAAGAGAAAGAAAACCGAAGTACATCATTATCGTTGTTGATATTCTGATAATGATGATGATTTGACCGGCCGAGGTAAAACAAATTTACTATAAGATGAAACATATTTTGTATAACGTTGTGGTTGATCTTTTCCTATATTTAATGGTTTAATTAAACCTGTTTGATTATCAGGTTGATATAATTCTACATGACCTTGTGAAATGACACGATTATTAATATCATTTGTTCCATTCATTAACGATCCAAGACCAAGTTCTTCGGATTTATTCATTTTAAATGAAAAACGTTCTTCATATTCTTCATCAATTGTAGTTGGTACAGGTGGTAATGTTTGATAATGACGAAGATAATTAGTTAAATTATCTTCATCATCATCTTCGGTCCCAGTTGATGATTCTCTCGTTACTGTTTTATGAATAAATGGTCGTTGTATAAGAGGAGGTGTTATTGATTTTCTATCTATCATAGGTGAATGACTAATATGAGTAGCCGTCACTGGTGCCGGAGGAGGAGGAGGAGGTGACTGTTTATGTTTTTGGTCAATTGAAGAAGGCGCTGGAATGGTACCATTAGTTTCAGTTGAAGAAATTTTTTCTGTAATCGGTGGTGTTATAAGTGGTTTTTCAACTGATATTTTATCTGGTAATTTTTTTCGTTTTTGTTCATTATTTTTTGCAAGAAACCACGAAAGTAATGCAATTGATAATAAGAAAAAGCCAATAAGAGCAAGAATAAAACCAGCCAAAAAACGAGATTTAAATAAAAGTATAGCAGCTAATAGAGAAAGAGAGAGAAAAAAAATAAACAATAAAATATAATTCTATTATTTAATTAACTTACAATCTTGATTTTTTATAAGATCATCATAATTCGTTTCACATTGTTCACCAAAATATTGTTTGTCACATCTAATTAAGTATAAAAAATTCAATAAATATTCTATCAATCAAAATATTTTTACTTACAAACATTTCAATTGATTTTTAACAATAATACATTGACCCCGATCGTGGCAATCTTTTAAACTAGAACATGTTAGATTTCTATTTAATTGGTTATGATGATCAATATCTAAATAAACACTAGTTGTTGTACGATTCATTGGATTTTCTGCGTCTAAACAAAATGATATATTATTTTTATTTATAAATTTTGAATAATCTTACGACACACATAAGTTCCAATATCATCAAGTGTTAATGATTGAAAAAATAGAGTTGATTGATATCTATTAAATGAGAGAAAGTAATAAGATTTACTTTTATTTTTGATAATAAACTTTTTCTATTTACTTATGTTGTACAGAATAAATTCGACATGAAGTTTGACATTGTTTCGATAATGGATAATATTCAAATGTTTCATTTATATCGAGTTTTTTACTCCATAATAGACGAGGTAATGGATTACCGCGAGAATTACACTGTAGAGAATAATCTTTTGATAGAATTGCTTTATCTATGCGAGTTTTTATTAGGACTTGTGGTGGATATGTCTCTAAAAAGCAAAAAAATAGAAGTCAGAACACATACGATAACTGTCTATCTGTCTATTACAACTATGGCATTACGGATAATAATCATACTCGTAACATCATTTATAGAACTGCTCGAACGAAGAAGAAGAAAAATGCCGAACGATAGTAGGAATCAGTGTCTTTTATATACCCTCCTACTGAGAAAGCAAACGATTCTGCAAAGTAACATGTTATATACTTCATCTAAACAATCAACATAGCCAATGTCAAATAAATAGCAGAGCCTCTTCAAGGAGGCGCTTGATAAAAATCGGAGAAAAGAGCAGCTCATCTTCGTCATTGATAGACGATGCACTATATCAATATATACATATACATGTATCCTTTCACTATAATATTCTTAAGATACTGCTGATATTTATATGCTATGGCACATAGATTGAGCACATAAAGGACGATTTAATATCGATTCTTAGTTGACTAGTAAGTTAAGACACATATCTATTTTCTTTTTTTGAAGTTCAATTGTATTATCTAATATCATTTTTTTTCTGATTACAAACGGAAATAGGTAAGATATAAATTTGGCAAGATACTCTATTTTTACGCGCCGACGATCAATCTCATCAAGCATTTCCGTTTTACTCTTTTTTTCTCTCTCTTGCCTCTGTATGTGTGTAAGTGAGAAAAGAATAAATGAATGTTTGCATAAACACCTGCATACAATATAATAAATTAAATTTATAATGAAAAGAAAGAAAATGGAAAATATAGTTATGAAGAAGATTTATTATTAGGTTCTTTTTTTTCTTCTTCTTCTTCTTCTTTGTTGTTTTATATGTATGATGACAAGACATTCATAGTGAATTGATACTTACCATGATTGAGAACTGCATCAATATTTTCTCTTACACGAAGTGTTGATTCAACTGGTGGATAATGTAAATCGAATTCATTGGTATTAGTTTCATTAAGAAAAAGAATAACATCAACAGTTGATATTCGTAGGAGATGCCAACATGAATTATCAAGAAACTCATCATCATTATCATTTATTCGTATTATTATAATGTCATTCATTTTAATATGATGATGATGATTATTATTTGTAGGAATTTTAATAACTTCACGTACGAGAACTTTTCGAATAATAGTATTGTTAATATTGTAATCTTGATCTAATAAATGTAATGGTTGTACACGTAAAACTAATGAATGAGTATATGTAGCCGCTTGTAAATATATCGAACTTGAAAAATCACACTGATTAACAGCAATTGCTTGATGAATAAAACTAATTTTGCTGATCAGAATGATTAATTGAATACAAATGATTGTAATACTCGACATGCAACACTGAACTGCATTGAGATCACGTTTTAAGAGTTTCGAAGTATACAAAAGACAAACTTTCTATTCAAATAAACCTATATAGACAAGTAAATAGATCGTCTAAGAAAATTGTGTATGTCGTGTCTATCTACACCGCTTTTTTATGTTACTCTTCAAACTCGGCTTTTTTTTTCTCCTGTTCATCTGATGATTTCTTTTTTATGCGAAAGATGATGATGAAGAGAGAGAGAGAGAAGAAAAAAAAGAAAATAGAAGGAGAGAGAGAGAGTAGAAAAATAATCATCAGTAATAATGGAGAATTGAACGTAGAATAACATAGAAAATTGAGTAACGAATGAACCAAGAGACAGATCGCCTACATACTTACATATCCTTGTTGTCATCTCATCATCATTTGTGTCTGACAATCGATTGTTTCTCTGTCATGTACAATCTATTGTTTTATTTTCTACTAGTTCGGTTGTGACAAGTATAAACGAATGATAGGGATGGAATACGAGCTATTCTTAATGACAAATAAAATAAGAAATAAGAAAAGAAAGAAAGAATGTTACTGTGTGATCATATCAGTAGACAACTAATCATGTCATTGAGCTTGTCTGAAGTTATAGTAAGAATCTGACATGTGAGCAGTTCGTCGATAAATGCATTCAAGCTTAAAGTTTATATCGAGATTAGAAAAAAAAGCGAACAAGGACAACATTATTTTACTAATTATTAATCGTATTAAATATCTTATTCTTTGGAAGATATTATTTCTCACAATAGAATAATGTTTCAGATTTTTATATTTAGAATTAACTAAATAATATACCTTTCTTCTTTTGTAATTATTTAATATTTATATATACATTGTATAACCTAATAACATGTGGTTGAACTCAATCGGTATAACATCATCTATAATATATATTTATATCTGTATGTATATACATATATATTATTTATTTCTTCTTGGAAGTATTCATAACAGTAATGAATGGTGAAAGATAGGTTGTCGTACATATACAATTGCTTGTTTAATTTGCTCGAAGGTACTAATCGATGATTAATATTATGTAAACAAAAATGAGAATTTTTTTTCCATAGAAATTTTAGTTAGGTTTTTTTTTTTATTGTAAAAAATAAAATATTCCATATGCGCATTTACTTATTCACAATGTATTAATAATAAGAAAGAATTAATCTTCTGATTATATATACGTGACAAAAATTAATATCAATTAAAAATCATCTGATGGTGCTGTACCATAAGCTGAATTGTATACTTGATCTTAAGAGAAATACGGAAATGAGATAGAATAATAAAAATAATGATACTTTACCAACGATAGATTTTTGTGAAGGAAGATGAGGATTTGAACGTATTGCTGATTTGGGACGTGATGATAATCCACTAGATGGTTTTGTTAATGAGCTAATAGAGTCATTATTTAATCGAGTTGATTTCGGAAATTGACTGGTTGATGATGATGATAATCGTGGACTATTAGATGATTCATTCGATAGTTTACCTAATGTATTTCGTTCATTGACTAATGAATCGATGGGAACATTAGTATTATGTGGTAATTTTGTACGTTGATTTATTGATGACAATGAATTGATAGATGTTCGTGAACGATTTGATGGTTCACCAATAATTCTTGTTAATAATTCTTGTTCACTATTGCCTGGATTAATAAATTCATTAGAATTCCGTAGTGATTTCAAACGTTGATTAGATGTAGATTGAGAGTAGCTTGGTAATTCATCGGAAATTTTGAGCGAAGATTCTTGTTCTAGTAAATTTCGAGGAGATTTTGTACGATGGTTTAATGTTGATAGTGAATTTACTGATGATCGTGGACGATTTGATGGTTCATCTGTAATTCTGTCTAATAATTCTTGTTCATTAATTATTGAATTAGTAAATTCATTAGAATTACGTAATGATTTCATACGTTGGTTAGAGGTTAATGACGATGTTAAAGTAGGTTTTAATCGAGAATAATTTGGTAGACCATCTGAAATTCTATCTAATGAATCTCGAGTGTTAATTAACGCATTAGTATGATCATTACTAGTGCGTGATGATTTTATATTTTGACTAGATGAAGCAGCTGTCGTCAATCGAGGATGATTTAAAGATGAATCTGAAACTCTAGTTAATGGCTCTTGTTCATGTGTTATCGGAGTAATAAAATTATTGATAGCACGTGGTGATTTGAAACGTTGTTGACTGGTAGATGATGAATTTGAGATATTTGCCAAGGAAGAATAATTTTCCGAATCACGTGATGTTCTAATTAAAGATTCTTGTTCATTTATATCTCGAGGTGATTTTGATCGTTGACTTAATGGTGACATTGAAGTAACGGATGGTCGTGGACGAACTGATGGTACACCTGCTATTCTTGCTAATAATTCTTGTTCACTATTTAACGAATTTATAAGATTATTATTTTCATGAGATGACCATGAATGACTGGAAAATTGATCGACATTTTTTTGAGACGAATGTAAATCATTAAGATGTGTTTTTGGTGTCACTGATGAACGTAAAGAAGATAATTGCGAATCACGTGGTGTTAAACCTCGTGGAGTTCTTTCAATAGATTCTTGATCATGTGAAGATAAATGTTTGTTCTTATCATCATATGTAGGGTGAAGTTTCGATGAACTCATAGGTTTCTTTCTTGAATCAATATTTATATCGGCAATAGTTGATGATTGTTTTGGTGTTAAATAAACTTCAAGTTTTCCATCTTCTTTGTCTTTTGCTAACCATCGATTGGCTTGAAATTCATAGATTTCATCATGTATATCTTTAACAGATATTATCGTTTTGTTCTTTGTTGTTAAACGATCAGAAAGTAATAATGAACGTATTGATGAATCGAAATTAAATGAATTGGTTTCTTCAACAGATTTTATTTGCCATTTACTTTCTTTATAATTATGTGATGATATCCAGAAAATTTCATAATCATTATGATCTTTTTTATGATGTGAAGATTCTTCTTTCTGTTCTTTTCTAATTTGCATTGATTTCGTCCGTTGTGAATCGATTGATAATAAATCATCTTGAGAACCAATACTTTGTTCATCCCATGTAACTTTCTTTTGCAAACTACTTCTATCATTCATTATTGGACTACGTAAAATACTTCGATTACTTCCTAAATGATCATTCGTTTTTAGTTTCGAACTTTGTCGATCAATTGAATGATGTTTATTTTCATTTGTCGATGATGTATGTGTAGTCGTCATATTCTTTTTCATTTGTTCATGATGTTGACGATATAATACTTTACTTATTTGTTCAAGACGTTGAATGTATATATCTGATATTGTATGACACGTGGAATGTTTTTTATAAATTATAACTGAATCAAGAAACCAAGCTGAACGGGGATTAGTATTATCATGCCAAATTTTTATTCGATCAATCTTACCAATATCAATATCCATGATCTACAATTAAGTAAAGGAATTTCGTAAATATCAACATCATTAATTATCTATGGAATGTTAATCGATTTATCCATATAGACTGAAATGTCATGATTACAATAAATTTCTTTGAAAGATTTTCATTACGAATATCGATTAGTATTAATCATTGGAAAACATTTCTAATAATCATAATTGAACAATAAGTAATGTGACAAAATAAATGTACCCTCTCTCTCTTATTAAAAACTAATCCTCTTAAGTATTGTCACTGTTGTATTTATTAATATCTTACAGTAAATTCTGCTGATGTATTTCGTTCAAAATTGTTTTTTGATCGATCATTAAGTTGATGAATAGTTGTTCGACCACATGTTCCATAGATAATTAAAAATACATTAGCATCTATTCCAGCATTCATTACTTTACCCGTTTTAACTATAATTTGATAACATATAGGACCTATAAAATATTATTAAATACATCAAAAGATTATTTTGTCTCTAATTACTTACCTTTTAAATGTGAATCAGCTAATGGATATAATTCTTTTTTAGATTTTAATGTATTCATTTTTTTTCCAAGAAAATTATTGAATGGAAAATAAATATGAAATTTTTTCTCATTTTCATTTGGTAGTATTTGCCATATTGTCATTTCTTTTATTTCCCAATCACTTACAAAATGATTTTTATCTGATTCAACACTAGAAAATAAAAAAATTTGTTTCTATACAAAATAAAATCATTTCAATTACATTATTTCTAATAAATCACCAAGATCCCATCCAATAATTGCAAAGGTATCTAATTGATTTTGTTCAAATAAATTAACATGATTACTTGTTAATACTAATCGCGATGTTTGATTAGTTGATCCACGAATTAGAATCTGAATATTTGTATCAGTACTAATAAATGGTTTATCACCTGTACGAATTTGAAGAATATAAACTAAATAAATACCAAAAACAATAACTCGAAAAATTTTGTATTTAATGATTTACTCGCGAATGATGTTTCTGTTGGTCGATCGATATTTAATTTTACTTCATGAATTTCTTGTTCATCAGTTTTCGGTAACCAACAATTAAATTCACATAACCATGTTGTTGAATTTTTTAGATTAGTAATTTCAATTTCTTTTAAAAACCATTCTTTATTTGATCGAGAACCCACGAGCTATGTATAAAGAAAATAATAAAGAAAATTAACGTGTTTGTTACATTTACATTCACATTTAAATGATGTAATTGACCAATATCTGGCCCTTTCAAACAAAATGTTCTCGTAGAACCACTTGGGAAACCATCCATAGATGATGAAGAATTTTGATTCATACGTCCTTGTAAATGAATTGATGACCAATTCTTTTCCGTTCCATACATATATAAAAATACCTAGGTAAATAAATATTAAAATACCTTTTTTTTCAATATTTTTTATTACTTGAGCGTGTGTACCACTATTTTTCTGTGTACCAGTTCGTACTATAAATCGATAGGATGTTAAATCTAATGATGAGGAATTTTGTGTTACTCGATCTAATGATGATGATAGCAATCGAGCTTTAGGATTATTATATGGAATAAGTTTTCGTCTCTTAAAAGAAATAAAAAAAATGATTAAATAAATAATAAAATATATTGAATATACTTTGTATTCATCACGTGGTTTAGTTTGTTCATGTTGATTTTGATTTATTGAACATAAATAACAAAATGTATGATTATGATCATCATGAAAATCTATATATTTAACTTTTTTGTATAAAGAATTCTTTCGAAAAAGTAAAAACCTGTACTATTATATCCATTTGAATTAATTATTTCATTAGGAAAAAATACATCTGTATTTGATCGTCGAGAAAGTGTTTCCGAATTTATAAATTGTTCAAAGCCATGTCGACGAGCAATAGTCTCTAATTCGGTGTCTAAATTAAAAAATAGTAATAAATATTTATTCGAAAAGTTCTATTTACTATATTTTTGTGAATCTGCTGAATTTACACGTTCATCAAATCGAAGTGACCATGGTAAATCACTTCGAATATATTTTAAATTCATTTTGTTTTTGTTATGGAAGTATAAGATCTTGGTGATTGTTATATGTTTTCCATAATGATGCCATTTGTTAATAACATACCTTAACGATGGACTTCCTTGTCATAGGTTGTCAAGAAAAACGGGGAAAAAAATTTATCATTTCTATTCTCTTCTGCCTTTTCTCTTGAGGGCAACTCTTAGCTGAAGAAAAAAAAATAAAAGAAAAGTCTTCGAAGGAAAAGAACAATACTAACTGTTGCGTGTAATATTATTATACGACAGAACTATAGGAATAATAATATTTCCATCTGGTCATTAAATTCAATTAGACAATAGACTTATTACAAAATGTATTATTAGAAAAAAACGATATTTAATAATACTAATACATACTTGTAAAAGTATTGCTTTAAAACAATATTTATCGGAAAAAAGTCTTGTGTAAAATAAATCAATATTGTAGTATTTTTTATTGTATGAAAAAAACAATTGGGAATCGCTCGAAAGCGTCTGTTGAATGAAGCTTTATTTAATATGAATGAAAGAAAAGTTTATTATCGATTAAAAATAAACCTTTTTACTCTTTAGAATGGTTAGCAAAGATGTTTTTTTTTGAGAAAATCCTATCGATTTATTTTTATCTGGTAAATACTATCATATACGTACTATTGAGCTTTTCTAAACATTTCATTAATTTAAACAAAAAACTATTATAGCTTTATTTCTAATAATACTAAAAACGATTTTCCGAGAAGTTGTAGTTAGATGTTCTTGATAGATTATGTATCTTTGATTTTTTCAACTTTTTTATTATATTATTTGCTATCAGATATGTAGAGAATTGAATAATAAGCCTAATGGAAGACAAATGCATAATAAAATATATAATGGGACTATATTTACTATCAATATACAATAAAGAGCATTATTCCAAAGCTTTATTTTATATTTAATTCGTACAAGGGAAGGTCCCCAGATGTATTTATCTTCGATGCGAAACAACTTCGTACAGATATTTCTTTATTTTTTTGCCAATGATGATGGTTAAAGCTGAATGGTATAGTATTCTATAGGTAGCAAATAGTTCTACATCATAGTTTTTATTATTTTGTTTTGCCACAGATGATAGAAGAGAAAGCATCAGCTTAATGTTTATGTATACTCCTAAATTAAAACTCTATTTTCTTTTTAGAGATGCTTTGTTTGGTAACAAGCACATCATCACCATATGTGGCGAATGCGTTTTTTTAAAAGCTACACCAGTTGGTTTATGAATGAGTGTAACAAAACATGTGGTTTATCATAAACAAAATTATTTTTTATTAATGTTTATGATCATCGACAAAAAAAAGTGTTTGAAGCAGGGACTGGAAGAGAAAAGCATGAACATAAAGACACAGGGTACATATAATTAATATACAAGATTCAGAGCGATACGAAGGAAGCATAGAGTACATTCAAATCGAACTAGATTTATGATACCTAGAGAATCGCTTATAGTTTTGCATCTGACTTAACAATCCCACATCGTTTTCATTCGAATCTCCCGAGACACATCTAGGAATATTCCCTTGTTAGACAAATTCTTTAATCATAATATGTTGTTTATTAAACTAATTTTCAGTTATGTTACCATTGATATATATCGTTGAAACTAATGTATCATTTATTTTTATTCCAAAAATCTTGATACATAAAAAGAACGTTGAAAAAAAGACTTCAAATGAAAAACAAACAATCCTACAAAACACAACAAAATTTTCTATCTTATGCTGCACGTTTCCAGAATTTTTTCAATTCTTCTGGTGCTGGATCTGGATGTAAATTAGTTACTACACCTGTTCCAACTGTTTTATTATCCGCATCACGTAATGTAAATCGAGCACCTTTTTCAACAACCTAAATATTTTATATTATATAGAATAGTATAAGGATTAAAATAAAACAAACCATTCGTTTGCTTGTATATAATGTCATTGTTGCATCTTCACCTGGCATAATCATTTCTCGACCTTCAGGTACAACACCTTTAACACCAATATCATATGTTCGACAATACATAGTTAAGACAAATTCTTTTGGAATTGGTTCTTCTCGGCCACCTTCTTCTTTCGATAAGAAATAAGTCTAATAAAATTATTCAAAATGTAATATAAACAAGAATTTTCGATTATTATATTTTACTTGACAATCAAATTTATTATGCATTTTTAATGTACCAGGTTTACCAACAAATACACCTCTGCGTATATCTTCTTTTCGTACATTTTTCAATAAAATACCTAATTGATCACCTGGTTGAGCTTGATCAATTGTTTGATGAAACATTTCAAGACCTGTAAATTTAATTTTTATAAGGTTTTTGTTATTTTTCAATTAGTCAAATGTTTACCTCCAATAATTCCTTTGCCAAGTTTATTATGTCCAACAACTTCAATTGGATCACCTTTCTTTGCTGAACCACGTTCAACACGGCCAGTTACAATTGTACCTTTATCTGAATAGAAAAAAATCGTAATAATACGAAAAATATTATTATTATTATTTAATTCTTACTTGGGATTGTATAAACATGTTCAACTGGTAATAAAAATGGTTGATCAGCTGCTCGTGGTGGTACAGGAATATATGTATCAACAGCTTCGAGTAATTTTAATACTGTTTCTTTACCTAATTTGGGTTCTCGATCCTAGAAAAGACATTTATAAATGAAATACAGTAAACAATCAAAATTTAGTTATATACTTCAAGTGCATATAATGCCGAACCAGGTATAATGGGAGTATTTTCACCATCAAAACCAATTTGAGTTAATAATTCACGTAATTCAAGTTCAACCTAAAATATTAATAATCTTTCATCAGATAAAAACAAATGAAATATTATATGAACTTACTAATTCAAGCATCTCTTTATCAGCTGCATCTGCTTTGTTCATAAAAACGACGATTTTTTCAATACCAATCTAATAAATACAAGATTAAATTGAACGATAAATAAAAAATTATTTCAATTACTTGTTTGGCAAGAAGTAAATGTTCACGTGTTTGCGGCATAACACCATCAGTTGCAGCAACAACAAGTATTGCACCATCCATTTGTGATGAACCTGTAATCATATTCTAAAAGAAAAAAAAACAATTTTCATGACTATAGTAATCTAAAAATATACTTTGATATAATCGGCGTGACCAGGACAATCAACATGACCATAATGTCGATTTGCTGTTGAATATTCAATATGTGCAGCATTGATTGTAATACCACGTTTTTTTTCTTCAGGTGCATTATCAATATCTTCGTATTTTTTTACTTTAGCTAATTTTTTTTCACTCAAAACTATATTATTACAAAAAAAGAGAATGAATATACATCGGAAGTTCTTTTCTATTATTACTTCGAGTAATAGCAGCGGTGAGAGTTGTTTTACCATGATCAACATGACCAATTGTACCTATATTAATATGTGGTTTATCTCGTTTAAATGTCTTTTTTTCAACAACAACTTGAGCAAGGCATCGACGAACATATGCATTAATTAGAGACATATCAGTGGTTGGTTGCTAAAATAGATTATTAATTGATTTATACGAATTAAATCTTGGTTTACTCTCTAATCAGTTATTAATGACGCTCACTATTCTTGAACAATCATGTTTCGTTATTATAGAGTTCCGTTTAACGAAAATTACAATACAGTATGATTTTCTATTGTCACGCTTCAAATAAGCGTGTCTTAACAACCCGACAACAATGTGTAGTCAATTGTACATCATTTAATTATTTGTTCTTCGTTTAAATTCTATTTGATCGTAAATTTGCTTACGTTTTTGTAATTGAACTTAACTTTCCGTAGCAAATATCATACTCCATACGTAATATATCTATAAATTAATGGATCTGTAGGAAACTCTGCTTTCATTCGGAAAGGGATGAATCGAGAGGACCCTTTAAATTTTTAGTAAATTATCATTTATGATCAAAAATTATTTCGTTTAACTATATGAGAAATTCAATTATGTAGATGCATGCAAATGATTGCTATATGTATTTTTTTTCATTGATAAAATCTACCTGCATAAGATGTCGATAAGTAGGTGTCATTTGTCGAACACAAAACATTGTCCTTGTACCTAACATCTTGTCTATTTATTTCAATAAACCGATCTAGAAAAATGAAATAGATTTATAATTTGATCAAAATCCTATAATATTAGAAATTAATATTCATATTTGAATTGTATATAGAAGAAAATCGAAAGTATTATAAGATATTTCTAAGTTCAATTCGATTTTGTTTTAATTTTCAGCAATTTTTCTAGAAGATTTATTTATTTGTATATTGTTTACTTTTATTTCTATTTGTTATTTTTTTTTAACCAATCATTCATAGAAAAGATAAAGTCGAAATGAGCGACATCATTATAACAGAATTATTCTTTTTTTTATATAGGAATTACTATACGGATCAAATTCCGCATCCGTTCGAACAAAATACACTAAGAGTAAAAGGAAAACGTACTTAAGAGAAAAATGCCTTTTATCATTCACTTTCTATAATTATTAAATGGAATAATAGCTTTATATCGATTAGAATAAAAATTATAGGAACGTATTTCCGTACTTGAATAGCTTAACAAAATATTGATTTATGTTTTGTAATTTAATGCGTTGAGATACCAGAGAAAATTTTTTAAATGTTCATTGACTAATGAATTTCTAACTTTCAATTTTCATATATACGAGTCGTATCGTTTTGACTTCTTTGTATCGAATATAAATGCATACATTTATGCTTCAGGCATTAAGCTTTATACAAAAGAGCATTTATCGGAAGTTATTTCAACCAATATGCGTAGCATATAACTTCATTCTGTTTTCATTGTCTTTTTTAACTTGATCCAATACATTTATTTCGAATACTTTCATTTTTATGTCATGCTAAATGGATTAATTAAAATGTTGATCATATTTTTTTACGTTCAAAATACATTTTCTTTAACTGATAATGTATAGTATAAAAGATTGACTGGAATTTTTTCTCTCTGAATGTTTTTTTTAAAAAACAGACTGATGTCATAGTTGATCATATATTTCAAAAAAAAAGTTTGAAAATTTTGCTTCTCTATCAATAATATTAGTTCGAAATCAATTTTATTCAAGGTTATTTTATTATTTTTTTAAAATTTCTCTCACTAAAATTCAAGTAAGATTGTTATATTAAAAACAAAACTAAATTCATTTCCACTTATGTTATAAAAATAGATTAACATGTACTCTACCTGATTTTAAAGTAAGAAAATAAACATTTATATAACCTTTAGCAAAAAAAGAATTCGCTTTTATTTTTATATAGAAATTTTTTCGTTTTTTGACAGTGAGACAAATGAAATTTAAGCGATACTTTATACAGTATAATTAAATAAGAAAATTGAAAAGATCTGAAGGTCAATAAAGTATGTTATGATTTGAAATAAGAGCAATAGAAAATTGTGTTTTTTTCTTTCATCGTTCATCGATTAGGATTCTTCAGTAATGAACTACCGATTTTGTATTGTTATGAAAGGAGAGAAAAAAAAGAGAGAGAGAGAAAGATTATTTTACTCGACTTTTAATCATTCAAGATGATGGAGCGCATGAACTAATCTTTTTTTATTGTCAAAGGAATTACATAAATAACAAAAAAAAAAAAATTCTATAAAATGAAAGTGTAATCAGGAGAAAAAAATGAAAGAGAGGAAGCATGGAGAAGAAAAGGAGAACAAGAAAAAAAGACGCGACTGTGAGACTCCTTGGAAAATTATATGCATTCGTGTTATTAATAACTTTTACTCTGCACTATTATACTTGCCTGTTCTTTGTTCGTCTTATATCGTATACCGTCGACTTGTCGTCGTTTTTTTTTGAATTAATAAAGATGCGGCAATCAAATTCAATGAGCGCGCAATGTTCAGCAACGCTTGACTAGTTTAGTATATCTTCTCCTTTTTTATTTCATTCATTATTCATATTGACAAGCAGACAAACAATAACTAGACAATCTTTATATTAAAATGATAGATGATGATATTGACAATGAAGAATTAACTCATACTAAAACCGTTTTTCGACGTCATTCAAAAGGTTCTGTTATGTTTAGTGGATGTTCACCATCAGGTGACGTTATTGTTATTGATAATATTAGTTCAACAAAATCCTATGATTTAACTGGATGGTATATTGAACGACAAACCGATGCACATTCATTTCTTCGATATACATTTACAAATAATTTTATTATACCTCCATGGACAACAATAGAATTATGGTCGAGTAGTGCAGCAAATCGAACAATGCCCAATGATGTTGAATATAATCAATCATCTAAATCAATTGAAAAGCATCAAGAACAACAACAGCAGCAGCAATCATTTGTTAGAGTTAAAACAAAATTGTTAACATGGAATACAGGATTACAATGGAGTATTAATCGACTAATGGACTCAAACGGACATGAAAGAGCGATTTTTACTCATCGAACATTGACATCCATAGAACAGGAAAAAGAAGAATAAATAAAAAAATAATTATAATAAAATAGAATATTGTTAGGCTAAATCGAAAGAATAAAAAACTAAGTGTTACTTTATTGTTGTTGTTGTTGTTGTTGTTGTTGTTAAATGTTTTATTAAATTTAAAGATTTATTTCTCGACTATGAACTTTGATTAAAATTTAAAATGACAAAGAAAAAACTATGAAAAAGAACCTAAAATTATATCCTATCATTAAATGTCCTTTTTATCGATTTCATAAAAAAATGTAGATTATACATGAATGTTTTTAAAGTCAATATTACTAAGCAGTATTATTATTATCATCATGCGCAGATGTTTTAAAAATATTTTTATGTTTCACGGTCCCACGATATAACGTTGAAATTAAAAGACGTAGGTGTACGCAAATGTCGATTTTTCTCACTATGTTGAAGGACAGCTTATATATCCCCGAGTAACTTGTTATTTATTATTCGATAAATCACTATCACATATTCAACTCAAGCAAAACTTACCGACGAAAATATGAAGTGTATCGCATTACTCGCTGTTTTCTGTTGCATTGGTGCATGTGCTGGACAAGGATCACTTTCATTGGATTTCCTTAGTGACAACATTCTTAATCCTTTACTTGACTCAATTCAAACCAGTCTGTAGAATAAATCATTTAACATATTTCATTCTTATAGACTTCATTTTTCGTATAGATGCACTCTCCATGCTTCAATCCCAATTATCTTCACTCATCTCAAGTCTTTTCTCCGGTATTGGCAAACGTGGAATCGCTGATGCTTTGAATATCAACCTTCCCCAAGTAAGACAGATAATAAAAATTAAATAAAAATTTATTTTTAACAAAAATAGCTTTTGGCTCCATTTATTGCCAAAATTAAAGGACTCTACCAACAAGTCTTCACAGTCTTTCTTAGCATTGTCCAAAACCCAACTGAAGTAAGAAAATATTTTTTTTCTAACAATTCAAATCTAATATTTATTTATTTATTTCTAGTGGATCATGAAACCCGATTGGGCCCGTATTGAATTTGTTCGCATTGCTTCTGAAGTTGAAGTTATTGTTTCAAAACTCAGTCTTGGATCTGACGTAAGAATACTCATTTTCTATTTGATATATTAAATATTTTGAATCTATATATTAGTTTTTACAACCACTTGTTGCTCTTGTTCAAAAACACTTAGGTACCCTCATTGACCAATTCCAAGGTATCATCTTCCAAGTCTTACAATCTGCTCAAGCAATTAAACCACTCATTGGTAACCTCATCCAAGGATAAAGAAAATAATTCAATCTTCTTTTTTTGATCTTTTCTTCAATAATGTAATTTTAAAAAAAAACTTAAAAAAAATATATTATTATTGATGATAAGATAACTATGATTTTCTCATTGTTTTATTCTAAATGGATTTAACAAAGAAAAAAAAATATGTGATAATTGAAGTCGTTTTGTTTTACGACAGATGTAATATATGTTATAGAAACAAAATGGCCTCAAGAAAAAAGTTGAAATCTCATATTTTTGATTGTATAATGAATTATTATGTAGATGTGACGAATTGTAAATTGAACCTAAGAAGAAAAGAAAAAAAATTATTGAATTTTTTTTATTCTATTAATAATTAATTTGTTTTTCTTTTACCATTGATTAATTTCTTTATCATGACTTTGAAGATCACTCAAAGGAATTAATATCTAAAATAAATTTTGAAATAAATTTATATTGTATTAAATAATAATCTTCTTTTACTTCTCGATCACGAGGTGCTGATGGATCCGTATGATTTGTAGCCAATATATGTAAATTTTGTTCCAAAATATTTTTGTGTATATGAGAAAATACCATAGGTTCTTTCCATAATACAGCTGAATTTTCAACGATAATTCTATTATGTTTTTCTGTACTAAATTCTTTATTATCATTTCCAATTAATGAAAATGTTAAATTCATATCAGGTGCATAGAATTGTTCAGGTCTTATTAAACCTTGTGCATCAAGAATTTGAATAATTAATTGATTTTGTTCATTATTATACCGTATTGATAATTGTAAACGACCTAGTTTCGAATCTCGGTGTACAACAGGATCATATTCTGATGTAATACTTTGAGATCGATGATTTATAGAATCATTTGCTCTATGATGGTCACCTGTTTCAATTTCATGAACACGTAAACGAAAATCTTCATCTTGTAATCGATATAAATCAGATTTTTCTCGAATAATTTCACCAGTTGGTTCATGTCCAGCAGGGAAAATTTGTGTATTATTCTCAAAATTAATTATCTGATCTGGTTCACCTCGAGGAATGGGTTTCTCATTTTCTAAACCTTGAAGATTTGATGAAGCACGTTGTCTAGCCTAGAAACAAATATTTTCAATATTCGACAGAATTTTATCACAGAAGAAAATTAAAATTTCAATTTTTCGAGCGTCATACACATACCATTGTTGTCTAAAGAAGAAAAACATCATATCATAAAATGACTTCTTAGTATATCAGATAAGATAAACAGATAAGAGAAATAAATAAAGATATTCTATCGACTAATGATTATTAAACAAAGTATTTTCATTCGTTGTTCAAATCGAACTAATGACTGTATTATTATTGATATGTAAAATATAGAGCCCATGTCATCAAAATGACGTTTTATCGCGATATAGAAGCCGATTAATTGTACGATCTATCGCGACAAAATCGCCAAAATTATGGATTTTGTTTTCGAAAAGTCTTGATTCGTAGTGATTCCGATATAATCGTGATTAGTCGCCCAGACCTTGGCGATTTTGATGACATGGGAGAGCATAATGTTTCATATTAGAATTTAAATTGATCCTATTAATTCAATACAAAGTTTATCTCTTCGCTTATTTGATGATATAGCAGATTTTAATGTACTTAAATTAGAACTCGTTTAATAATTATAGGTTAAGTATTTATAAAACTTTTCTTTTAGATTTGGTTAGTATTAATTGAAGAAAAACTTCAAAAATCAAGAGCTATTGATTAAGTAAAATATGGACATACTTTATTGGTTATATTTTTTGTTCAACAGATGTCGTTGTATATTTCTTAAACAAACTTTTTTCAAATAAAAAAGTTTTGAAAATATATAAATATTGAAAAAAATTTCTTTTTTGAAATAAATATTAATATAATAAAAATTTTTTTATTTCTAAACGAAGGTTTTCCAAATCAATGTAAAGAAATCAACAATATGACGACTGTGGATGCAATTCAACATTTATTTTTATTTTTTTTTTGAAAACTAATTATTTATTTTTTAGATCGTTTTAAACAATGCCGGCTAAAGCTGCTCCACCAAAAAAGACTCAAAAAGAAGCCGCCAGTTCATCTAGCGGTGCTAAAGCTAAAAAGAAGAAGTGGTCGAAAGGAAAAGTCCGCGACAAACTTAACAATATGGTATGTTTCACATTAATTTTCTTTATTTTCCTTATTCAAACATATCATTTAGGTCTTATTCGACAAACCATCATATGACAAATGTGTCAAAGACTTGCCACAATATAAACTTATTACACCAGCCATTGTTTGTGAACGTTTTAAAGTTCGAGGTTCATTAGCTCGTGCTATAATTCGTGAACTTGTTCGTAAAGGTCTTGTTCGTCCAGTTGTTAAACACAGTCGTCAAGAAATCTATACTCGAGCAACTAAAGAAGATGCACCTGGTGAACAAGATGCTGCCAAAGAAGGTCAAAGTGAGAAGAAAGAAGGTGGTGGTGGCAAAAAAACTGGCAAGAAAGCAGCTAAAGAAGCAGCAGCCGCAGCAGAAACCGCAGCTGATGAAGCTTAGGCATAACAAAATAAAACCAACAAAAATTGTTTTTTTTTGTTTGTTCATTTGTTTTTTCTGAATAAACATTATAAGAAGAGGAAAAAAACCCCGAAGAAAAAAAAATATTCTTTTTTTTTTCTAGATATGTCTTCAGGAAGTAATTCTCAAACTAAACGTAAAGAGATCTATCGATATGAAGCACCATGGATGGTTTATGCCATGAATTGGTCTATTAGACCAGATAAACGTTTTCGTTTGGCACTTGGTTCATTCGTTGAAGAATATAATAATAAAGTAAACGGATTTGATTTTTAAATATATTCAAATAAAAAATTTCTTAAAGGTTCAAATTATTGCACTTAATGAAGATACTTCAGAATTTGTTTCACGTTCAGTATTCGATCATCCATATCCAACAACAAAAGTCATGTGGATTCCAGATACAGTAAATAAAAGAATATTTAAAAAAACAATAAATTCATTTCATTATTTTTTTAAAGAAAGGTACCTTTCCTGATTTACTTGCAACAAGTGGAGATTATTTACGTGTATGGCAAGTTAGTGATAATGGTACAAGACTAGAGTGCTTGTTAAATAATGTAAAAGTATTCATGTGTATCCATGTTTTTTTGATCTTTCGACTGATTTGCTTTATAGAATAAAAATTCGGACTTTTGTGCACCATTAACATCATTCGATTGGAATGAAATTGATCCAAATTTAATTGGTACATCTAGTATTGATACAACTTGTACAATATGGGGTCTTGAAGTAAGTATAAACGATAGAGATATGAAAAATACTCATTTTGCAATTAGGATCAATTTTCATGTATTAATCCTAAGCAAAATAAATTAATAGATATGTCCTAAGTACTGGTAGATATATTGATTATAATACTTATTTTTAGACAGGTCAAGCTATTGGTCGAACAAATCCAGTTAGTGGACATGTTCGAACACAATTAATTGCTCACGATAAAGAAGTCTATGACATTGCTTTCAGTCGTGGTAGTAGCGGACGAGATATGTTTGCATCTGTTGGTGCTGATGGTTCAGTACGAATGTTTGATTTACGCCATCTAGAACATTCAACTATTATTTACGAAGATCCGCAACATCATTCATTATTACGGCTTGCATGGAATAAACAAGATCCAAATTATTTATCAACATTTGCTATTGATTCCATGGAAATTGTTATTCTCGATATTCGAATACCATGTACACCAGTTGCTCGATTAAGTAATCATCGATCTGGTGTTAATGGAATGGCTTGGGCGCCACATTCAGCATGTCATGTTTGTACTGCTGGTCAGTATATATATATATAGAAGTCTATTTCGAAAAGACAATCTTTCATTTTCTTTAGGTGATGATAAACAAGCATTAATTTGGGATATTCAACAAATGCCAAAGGCAATTGAAGATCCAATTCTTGCTTATTCAGCTGAAGGTGAAATAAATCAGGTTCAATGGAGCACAACACAACCAGATTGGATAGCTATTTGTTTTAATAATTTTCTCGAAATCTTACGTGTATAGTTAATGTCTGTGTAAAAGTGCATTTTTTTAAATTGTATTTATGAATGATGGGAATCTCTTTTCTATCGACACGCAGGATCACTTTTTTTTTTCTTGTTTTACTTTTTTTTTCTTTTTGTATTAAACAATAGAATTTAATTCATACGAAAAGATGGCGTGAGTATTGAAATTTATTCTCATGTTTCCTTTTTTTATTTTTGTGTCGGTCGTGTTTTGGGCGTCAATATGAAGGACTGCTAGCTTTTTGTTGACAACCAATAGGATATAACTTTGAAAAATGTATATAAATGATCAGATATTGTTCATTTCATGTCATTTTAGATTTTTCCTCATATTAATTTTCTCTAATGTCTGGACGTGGTAAAGGTAAGTTTATTTTTCTTTAGATTTTCAATAGTTATATAAACGTTTTAAATTATATTTAGGTGGAAAAGGTCTTGGTAAAGGTGGTGCCAAACGACATCGTAAAGTACTTCGAGATAATATTCAAGGTAATTAAATTAGGATAGAAAGATTATCATATCAATATCAATACATTAACTTTCGAAGAATATCTATTTTTCAGTTAATTATTATATTTAAATTAATTAGAAGATGTCACTACATATATTTTATTTTTATTATAGGTATTACTAAACCAGCTATTCGTCGATTGGCTCGACGAGGTGGTGTTAAACGTATTAGTGGTTTAATTTATGAAGAAGTACGCGGTGTCTTAAAAATCTTTCTTGAAAATGTTATTCGTGATGCTGTTACATATACAGAGCATGCTAAACGTAAAACAGTTACAGCAATGGATGTAGTCTATGCTCTTAAACGACAAGGTCGTACACTTTATGGTTTTGGTTCATAAAGAAAAATAAAAATTTCGAAAGAGAATTGACTTATTAAAAAAAAATATATATATAAATAATTCTATGTGTATGTTGTTCTTTATTTCTCGTGTTTATGTTTTTCATTATTGTAAATTGTTCCTACTTTATTCATATACCAACTGTGTTGTGTTACTTATCATGAAAGATTTTTCTCTTAACTTTATATTTACTATTCTATATTATAAATAAAATAAGAGAGAAAAAATATATATATACATCAAGAAGTAATTGCATCACGCTAATGAAATGATTGAATTTAATGGACGTTGCATTTTAGGAAGCTGAAAAATAAAATCTTTATTTATATAAGCTAAATGTCAGCAATTCTAACATTGAAACTAGTTTATACTTAAATCAAATTTGTATTCTTTTAATCCTTCGAGACCTACGATTTAATCTATGGACGAAACCTCTTAAAAACTTGATATTTTGTATCAGCATTGAGTATTATCGACACTTTCATTGATACTTTAAAAAAATATTTTAAGTCATTTTTAACTTTTAGCCGTACCCCCTTACGGGAATGATGAGAAATATTTTAGTCACTTCCTTGGAGGTGTACGAACGGGAGCCTAAAAACTGACTCAGTAGGATTTTAATCTCGCCCAAATATGTCTTAACTACCAACATTTGTTAAATATATTCAAAAATTTTTGAAAACTAGAATTTTTCACTAGGTGGAAACATATGAGTCCCACCGGGACTCAAAGGGTTAAACAAAGTGATAATATCTAGTTTGTGGTTAATTTTTCTAAAGTGACGCAACTTAAGGTAAAACAACCAGTTGATATTGATTGGTTATTCTTTTATCTTGATGAATCATCATTCGACACCAATCACAAAATGGTGGCTATATACAAACTAATAAAAAATTGCAAAATAATTTCAAATTTAATTTAAATAATATGAAAAAAAATCTTTGAATTTTATTTATAAAATTTCTATATTTAATTATAATCAACCGATTTTTATTGATTCTTGAAACAATTAGGTAAAATATGGATTATTCGACTCCTCTACCCCCAGATAGTTTTAATAGTTTATTCGAACAAAAATTATATATTTGACAATTTTTTTTAATTTTAGATCTATTATTCTCGAGTTCATTCTTTACAATGACCGAGTTAGTATGAAGTTTTATCTCTTCTAAATAAACTTATTGATTTTCATTGTAGCGTCAAAAAGGTGAACCCAGTTGCTGCTAAAACGCAAAAAACAACAACATCAACAAAAAAGGCTACACCAAAATTACCTGAAGTCTTATTGAAAAAACGAAAACTCTATGCTGATCTTAAAGCACGTCGTCTTCGTGCTCAAGTACAAGGTGCTAAAGTAAGAAAAAAACAAAATTTTCTTTTTGTTAATCGTTAAAATCTTATTTTTTTTTCTATATAGAACAAAAAATATAAACGTTTAGTTATCTTCAAACGTGCTGAAAAATATTCAAGCGAATATCGTAAGAAAGAACGTGATTTAATTCGTCTTAAACGTTCAGCTAAAGTACGTGGTAATTACCATGTTGAAGCTGAACAACCACTTGCTTTTGTTATTCGTATTCGTGGGTATGATTTTCAATTGAATAATTATTTGCATTGAATTTTGAATTTATTATTTTTTAGTATTCGCGGTGTCCACCCACGTGTAAAACAAGTGCTTCGTCTCTTTCGTTTACGTCAAATAAACAATGGTGTCTTTGTTAAACTTAACAAAGCTACCGTTCAAATGTTACGTATTGCTGAACCATACATTGCATGGGGTTATCCAAATTTAAAATCAGTTCGTGAACTTGTTTATAAACGAGGCTTCGGAAAAGTTAATAAACAACGTATACCATTATCTGATAACAGTGTCATCGAAAAATCTCTCGGTATATTATCTAGAATTTTTGTTTATATAGAAAGACATTTTTGTTTTCTGTATTTATTTAGGTAAACAAGATATCATTTGTGCAGAAGATCTTGTTCATGAGATTTTTACTGTTGGAGATAGTTTCAAAAAGGCTTCAAACTTTCTCTGGCCATTTAAACTCAACAATCCAAAAGGTATTTGAAATTAAAAAAAAACATGTTTAATTTTAATTATCTTTTTTTTCTTTGATTGAATAGGTGGATGGCGAAAGAAAGCTAATCACTTCGCTGATGGAGGTGATTTTGGAAATCGTGAACAATATATTAACCGATTGTTACGTAAAATGGTTTAGACGTGTTTCGTTGATTTTTCACGTTCTATACATTTGTTAACAACAGCATGAAAATAAAAACAAAAAGAATAATCGTTATTGTTTTGTTTTTTCTTGTCGATTTAAATACATTCGAAGAAAATAAAACACAAGAAGATAAGAATTGAAAATTTTCATCTATTTAGTATAACAAAACTATTCTAAATAAATTCCAATCAATGAGCACCATTGATGATATGCAAAATAATAATATAATTATGTTTAGACTTCCTATTATCTATGAGCTATATTTAAGATTGAAGATATGCATAAGACATTATGAATGTATTTTGATACCAACGAGTTTTTGTATTGCAGAAAGATAATACTGACACACTATTGATGAACAATAAAAACTTTGAATAAACCTTGGATTCTTCAAGACAATTTCATTCTAATCTTTTATGTTAATTCATGCTAAGAAAGAAACTAGACTCTTCTTGTCTCTACTGATAAAAGATAATCTGGAAACATACGAAACGTCGTAGTAATATCAAATGAATATATCTTATACAAATAGCTAAGAAAAAAATATTGCAAAAATAACGGTAACTTCTAAATCTTTTGTCATATATCTTATTTTACTATTAACATATTTACAGAATAATTCACTGCTAAAAGATTACCAATAGAGGGAATGTTTTGAATATGTACCGAAAAAAGCTCGTCAAATTTCAGAATATGAAAAACGAATAGGCATTTTTAAAAGAGCTTTTATATCTGTGGGTTCTGAAATGAGATACATTCTATCTTTTTTTCACAGAAGATTAATAATCTTTATGATACCATTTTTGTAATTTTATTTATTATTTGTTTGAATAGTAACATGACAAGCAAATATATATCTATAAAGATTTGTCATTCGTCCAGCTCTTGTAATTAACTGATTGTTTTATCATTCATGTAAGTTTAGACCTATTACTGAATGTCTTCATTAGGCCTGTAACAGTTCTATATCAATTCTCATCGCAGGAACTTTTAAGAAGCTCTTTTGATGAAAATTTAATCATTCTTGATATGAATTAATAACTATTCGTTTTGTAGTTGTTACACTTTTTTCTTTCTTTTACATTTTACAATTAAATCTAATATCATGTAAGAGTACGATATTACATTTAGAACTGTACAAATAATGAAATTGATGATTGAAAAGGATGAATAATAAGAACTGAAGTTCTTTTTCTTGTAAAAGTAGAACTAGCATAGGAATTGTTTTTAATAACAATGAATGCAAAACGCTACTATAGGTTGTTGATTGCTTTACTATAATGTACAAAGTTAATGAAAGTTAGACGATATATTGCTCATCTCTATAAAAGGTATGCACTGTAATAAATTGACATAAAAAACTAGCCAAAGAATGCAATAGTTTTATCTAAAAATAAGATCCTACCTTTTACCAAAATTTATCTGTTTGCACAAGGGAAACTCCAAAAGTTTTTTCGCCAACTCTTTTGACAAATAATCAAGGCCTGGTTCTAGTGTATTACGACTTCTAGATTACTATATTTTAATTTAAACTTAAATTATATTTTTATAATCCATAAGAAAATAAGACCAAAACAATAGTTGCTATCTCTTTTAGTTTTAAATTTTCATAAGTATCTAAGATTCTAAGTAAAATTGATAAGAAACATCAGTCAATCAATTAACTTTTGTTTGTTGTTCTATTTTGCACTAGGATATTCAATGAGAAGAAAAAATAATAGATATAAACAAAATAAAATTGATCTTGATACATGTCATTACTTATACATAATAGAAAGTTCTGCAATACCCTTTTTGCTAGTTGAAGACAGATCATTAAAAAAACTGCATTGCATATCAAAATATTTCAAATTTCAATGTATGACTTATGCGTCTTCATCTTGTTCTAATCTTGTCAAACATGGATATAATATTTTTACTCAACAAAAAAGTAATACTTCTTATTATTACTTATTGATTCATCATTTGCATAAGGAGAAAAAATTATTCAATATGTCAGTTGTACTCTAATTATTTCATTTCGACAGTGTAGAATGATTTAAATAGCGTTGCAATAATTCATTTCTTAGTTTATTCTGTTGAATATTCTATAGATTATCAAAATAGAATTACTGGGTTATAAATATGCACATTGAATAATAATTGAGATAGCCATTCAAGCTGTCCCAAAGTCTGAAATCAGTTTACTAGATATGTTACTAATCAAGAGTAATATATGTAGAAATAAAATACAAATAGAATGTGTAGAACTTGATCAAAAGCATGACGATGTTATTGATTTTGATTCAGCGATTGTATTAATTGGTCGATATAATAATGATAAAGTATGAGATAGAATAACTTCAATAGTTTTTTTTTCTATTGAGTATTCTTCTAGCAAATACAATACTATTTCAATCATAATCATTCTTCGCATAATCAGTACAATGATTTATTTTATACATATGGTTTTAAATATCAGACATATTCTGATAAACAACAACAAATATATGTTATTGATCAAATGATTGCTCAATCATATATTTTATATTCTTCATTACCAAAACGATTCAGATCACAATAATTATATTTAATAAATAATAATAATGATGACGATAATATGCAACAGTATTAATGACAGAAATCATCTAAAGATCGATATTTTATCTCTAATAATTTATACTATGAACCATATACAAACGATTGTTTATAATTCACATTCTTACCAACGATTTAAACGTTATTTATATGTTATCAATAAATGGTGATGAAATCGACGATCTTTTAACGATTTTACTACATATACACCGATTAAACAACGAAATTAGTTCTTTTTCATTATTATTGCGCTGTTTGTAAATAAGTTGTGCACATGAAAAGCACATGTGATATTATAAAAAACGATAAAACGAAGGACGTACAAAGGATGAAGAAAAAAGTATGAGAGAACGAAAAGAATAAGACAATGTACAGAACAAGCAATAAATGTGACGCGTGTTCAACTAACTCGATTGTGTAGAAATTATTCGAGCGTATACCACATTATCAATCGATAATATCATATCTTTTTTTATAACAATATTTTAAAAGCAGTTTTTTTTAGTAGCATCTTAATTTCATTTCAAACTTGATATAGATTCAAAGAATTACCTATTGCATTTTATTAAATAAAACAATCTCAATTAGTTGTAATATTTTATTGAAACTAGTCTGTTTGTAGCAATATTGAAAAAATCTACCTGTCGTATCGTAATCAGTAATTTGGAATGCATCCGCAGATGATAAAAATCAATTAACATTTTTTCAAAAATATAAAATTTGAAATAGTGTATATAAATTTTCACAACATAGAGATATTAAGAGATAGAGATTTGTTTGATCATAGCGCTTTCGACTAACGACATCGTCTTCTCATATGGATTCTCTCGAATATACAAAAATACATATAAAAAAACAAATTGAAAGGTTAGATAACATTTCCATCATGTTACTGGTAAATAAAAACTTTTCATGAAATTTTTATTCCTAACACTAATTTTATTAAATTAAAAAAAATGAAACGCTAGAGTAATAATGAAAAATTTTAAAAAATATACTGTCAATTATAGTTTTGGGCAGCCTTGATCGATCGTAATTAGCTGTCTGCTTTTTGTGCCCTAAAAAGACAACAGTATATAGTATTAGTCTGATTAACAATGTATGATATGCGTGCAACTTACTGAGGTTTAAAACTTCATTCAAATATATTTCTTTTCACAAAGAACTAATACGAGTTCATTCATAAAAGATATCTAAGTACAATATAGCTTTCTTTCAGTATTGTGGAACATGATTAAGTGACTAAAAATGGTTCGGTGGTTGGCAATCTTTTCAAAGTTTCAGTGAAGTATTAAGTAGAAAAATAAATAAGATTTCCTACTATTAAAAAGGCCATATATCTCTTCCTGCTCAAAACAGTTCTGTTAGATACAGATACACAAAATGTCCAAGTAAAGTGTAGCAACACTTTCCATCATGCATAGTCTAAAAATTATTTTAGTAGGATGCCATGAACGTCGTTCATACTTAGACTATGATACATATATACATATCTCAAAGTGAGAAAAGAAACGAGTTATAACAATTTACATCATCAGATGCTCGACACGATTGTGTTAAATATTGGAACACAATTCTATTCATGAAAAGTATTAATCGAAATATTTTTTAGCTCTTATCTGAAGGAATGAGTTATATCGCAGATAATATCATTGTGCATGATGTCAATAAAGTTTTATTTGAACCTATTAGGATATAATATCGATTTCGTCGATAAAATCTGATCAGGCACAAATAGGAAAGCTGTGCATTGAACAAGGGAACAGTTACTCACCATTTGTTGCTTTGCAAAGCTCTATCAAAGATAATCAATGAAAGAGAGTAGAGTCAACATCTGAATGATCAAAAGCATACAAATTATGAGTATTATTCACTGATACATGTGTTTAAGGTTTTCTTTAGTAGAACAGTAAGACTTTTAAAAAGTCACTTTTGCATACGATACTCATACAAAAACCACACAAAGTGATAGTATCGATCGATATCGGTTACATTAGCTAGTTTATCATATGATCCAATCAACTATTTCAGAGATGGAACCGGTACCGGCAACCGGGCGCTCCGAACTTCAGACCAGTAACTCTACCGGTATTTACCGTTCTGCCGCTTTTTGTGTCGGTCAACCGATATGTACCGGTACCGGTCGTCAAAAAGTCGAACCAGTTCCATCTCTGTCATCAGTAACACATCATTATTCGTTATTGAATGAAACCTACTCTTATTTCATCATGAGGATGCTTTAATGACCGATGCTTAAAAAATACGAAGCGTCCGAGTATTCGCCAGCACGAGAGAATGAATTCACTTACATAACACCTTCCTGACACTTCTATCTATTCAGCAAAAACAAATCTGCAGTATGACTGTGTTCCATAATAATTAGAATCTTACCAAGTGTTGGACAATATTCTGTTTCT